AAAGATCTTCACGACCCACTTAGTCACGATAGTGTGATCTCTCACCTAGAGCCAGACATCCTGGAATGTGAAGTCAAGTGGGCCTTGCATCACTACTTGCATCAAGTGGGAAGCATCACTACGAGAAAAGCTAGTGGAGGTGATGGAATTCCAGTTGAGCTATTTCAAATCCTGAAAGATGATGCTGTAAAAGTGCTGCACTCAATATGTCAGCAAATTTGGAAAACTCAGCAGTGGCCACAGGACTGGGAAAGGTCAGTTTTCATTCCAATCCCAAAGAATGCTCAAACTACCACACAGTTGCACACATCTCACACGTTAGTGAAGTAATGTTCAAAATTCCCCAAGCCAGGCTTCAGCAATACGTGAACCATGAACTTCCAGATGTTCAAGCTGGTTTTAGAAAAGGCAGAGGAACCAGAGATCAAATTGCCAACATCCGTTGAATCATCGAAAAAAACAAGAGAGTTCCAGAAAAACATGTATTTCTGCTTAATTGACCATGCCAAAGCCTTTGACTGTGTGGATCACAATAAACTGTGGAAAATTCTTCAAGAGATGGGAATACCAGACCACCTGACCTGCCTCTTGAGAAACCCGTATGCAGGTCAGGAGGCAACAGTTAGAACTGGACATGGAACAACAGACTGGTTCCAAACTGGGAAAGGATTACATCAAGGCTATATATTGTCACCCTGCTTATTTAACTTATATGCAGAGTACATCATGAGAAACACTGGGCTGGAAGAAGCACAAGCTGGAATCAAGATTGCCGGGAGAGATATCAATAACCTCAGATATGCAGATGATAGCACCCTTATGGCAGAAAGTGGAGAAGAACTAAAGAGCCTCTTGATGAAAGTGAAAGAGGAGAGTGAAAAAGTTGGCTTAAAACTCAACATTCAGAAAACTAAGATCATGGCATCCGGTCCCATCACTTCATGGCAAATAGATGGGAAATAGTGGAAACAGTGTCAGACTTTATTTTCTCGGGCTCCAAAACCACTGCAGATGGTGATTGTAGCCATGAAATTAAAAGAGGCTTACTCCTTGGAAGGAAAGTTATGACCAACTTAAACAGCATATTAAAAAGCAGAGACATTACTTTGCCAACAAAGGTCCGCCTAGTCAAAGCTATGGTTTTTCCAGTGGTCATGTATAGATGTGAGAGTTGGACTGTGAAGAAAGCTGAGCGCCGAAGAATTGATGCTTTTGAACTGTGGTGTTGGAGAAGACTCTTGAGAGTCCCTTGGACTGCAAGGAAATCCAACCAGTCCATCCTAAAGGAGATGAGTCCTGGGTGTTCATTGGAAGGACTGATGCTGAAGCTGAAACTCCAATACTTCGGCCAACTGATGCAAAGAGCTGACTCATTGGAAAAGACACTGATGCTGGGAAAGATTGAGGGCTGGAGGAGAAGGGGATGACAGAGGATGAGATGGTTGGATGGTATCACTGACTCAATGAACATGAGTTTGGGTAGGTTCTGGGAGTTGGTGGACAGGGAGGCCTGGCATGCTGCGGTTCATGGGGTCACAAAGAGTCAGACACGACTAAGTGACTGAACTGAATAGTTAATAACTTTAAACATTGTAAGGTATTGGAGGAAGATCCATTAATGTAGATGAGTACCTGATAATTTTGGCCAAACATTCAGTAACTTAGTAAATTTAAATGAATGTGATCAGTGGCCTGCAGTAATTCTGGGTTTTGCATGTCTGCCCAGGACTCTATAATGTTAAGGGGAACAAAGTATTCCTTATTTTATAGTTAGTACTTTTTTTTGGTTTTGCTTTGAATATTTCTTTGTTACTGTTATCTGGGATCCATGTAGAAAAAGGTGTATGGGGCCAATTTAATGATAATAACTATCTTGAAATTTGGATAAATGATATATATTTTCTATAAATTTGGGGGATTGAATTTAAGAAATTAAACAAATTTGATATTTAGAGAAGCATTCTTAAGTGTCTATGTAAAATCAATTTGTATATGAAAATTTCAGATGGGTAAGATGAAATTGAATGTGACAGTAAATGCTGTTTCACTATAAACATTAACATAAATATCTTCCACTGATATATTTGCTTTTCATACATTCTTAACAGTTTCTGGACTAAAAAGAGCTAGAGAGGACTGATTAGTCTTTTTTCACATAGATGAGACTGAAAACTTAATGGGCTCGTTAGTGGTAGAGGAGCTGGGAGTAAAGCCTGGATTTCTTGCCATGCAGTGGGTATCATTTTCAGTACAAATAGGTGTCCATTTCAGATACAGTTAGGAGTCCACTATGATTTTTGATAATAGAAAATTTTATGTCTGTAACCATTTCTTCTATCCCCTTCCTAATGTGAAATTTACTTTTGAGTTCTTGAATTGTTATTTTATTTCTCTCTTTACTTCTAGCATTTTGATATCCTCAAACCCTACTTTAGTTTTATACATACTACCTGCAGTGGTATTTGGAGCCATGAAAGCATCATTTAATTCTTAATCTCAGTTGTCCAGTTTTGAGAATACTTTGACAAATTTTATTCTCCCCTCACTCCCCTATTCTTTGTGAAAACTCTGGAGACAGTATTGGACTAAGAAAAAAGGAATGGAAATGAGGGGTTTAGTTGTATGCTGGTGAACAAGTATCTTTTGACAGTGTCACTACTATGGCTTTTGGGAAGTAAAGCCTTCCTTGGCCTTATCTCACAGTCTCTCTGTTGTTGAAGAGTTTTATACGTGGCTCAGAGTAAATGTGGGCTGAGGTGAGTGAGAGCTCCTGCCTCCCTGCCGGGTCTTCTCAAAGCTGTGGTTATTGCCTAGAACAGAGCCTCCCAGTTTATTTTTTCTCTTTATTCTAGTCAGCCTTCTTCCAGAGCTCATGAGTTCCACGGTGCATTACTCTTCTGGTGTTTTCTCTTGGAGCACAGATAATGTGCATTGTAAATGAGCAGACTGAGATTTGGTAAAAAAAAAAGCTTGACTTTAAAGGACTGAAGAAAACATTTTTTGTTAATGAAGACTAGAAAAATGAAAATTATTTTACTGAGAGCCAAATCACAGATGATCAGACTCTTTTCTTTGGGAGTGAAAATTAAATATGACATCATTCGAAAGTTACTTTTGCTTGAAAGTGTTAGTCGCTCAGTCATGTCCAACTCTTTGTGACCCCATGGGCTTTAGCCCACCAGGTTCCTCTGTCCATGGAGTTCTCCAGGCAAGAATATTGGAGTAGTTGCCATTTCCTTCTCCAGGGGATCTTCCCAACCCAGGAATTGAACCCTCATCTCTTTTGTCTCCTGCATTGGCAGGCGAGTTCCCAGGCGCCACCTGGGAAGCCCTATTTTTGCTTAGGAATATGATTTAGTGTTGGACATTTGCTTATACTTAGAGGAGGGCATGGCAACCCACTCCAGTATTCTCGCCTGGAGAATCCCATGGACAGAGGAGCCTGGGGGCTCCAGTCCATAGGGTTGCAGAGTCCAACATGACTGAAGCTGCTTAGCACAGCACCATTTGCTTATACACATTTTAGTGTTTCTAAGATGCTCCTTGTAAAGAAGAGAGGATAGAACTTTACCAGATAAAGTTGAAGGACAGTTGGTACCTAGTAGAATCTCTTATTGAAATAATTAGCTTATTTGCCCACATGCTGTATGATTTGTGGTAGCTTTTAAATCCTAAACTAGCTTTAAGTATGTTTAATTTTGAGTATGTATACCACTTTCATCAGTTGTTAGTATGAATGACTGAAATTTGATTTTATGTTTGTCACTCTTTACAAAGCAAACTTTATGAAATTTCCTATTGATTTACTTTTCTGTTTTTTCCCCTGTTTTCTAAAATTCTCAGCTTATTTTTAAAAGAATTATTTTTAAAAGAATAATTTCTGAAAATTATTTTTCAGTTATTATTAATAATAAAACAATTACTGTTTTCAAAGATCAGGCATTTGTTTAGGTAACTTAATAGAATTGAACTCTTGAACTCTTAAAATCTCTCCATTTGATTACATCTTTATATTATAAAATGACTTCCTTAGGTTGACAGAAGTACCTAATTTAAATGAATATTACAGTACTTTATATGAACTCAAGACTGTTTCTTTGAGAGAAACAGCAAAATGGTGATAAATAACATGAATTAATATCTTTGTTAGATAGCCCTTTGAGATTTTTCTGAGCGTATTCAATAACTCTTAAAAATATCAGTTGCTATCCTTGTTTTACAGATACAGTCACTAAGGTTTTGTTTTTTTTTTAGCAACTCCATCAGAACACGAACCTGGGCACCAAGGTTTTAATTTGTACAATTGTGTGTCACAAGGCCCTTCTTCAAGAACTTTTGAGACTATTCTCACCTTAAGTCAGTTTGGCTTTTGGATTGTTTCTGCCTTGTTGTATTAAATTCTTTAACAGTTACGTACTTTCCAAGTAGTTTTCATTTTGTGGTATACCTGTACCTTCAAGAATCTCTTTCATCATACGTAGTACAGTGTTTGAAAAATTGGCTTTCCATTGGACGTTGATTCAATTGCCAGTTCTGCTGCTGGTTTGTTAAAATCTGGAAGCCTGTTTGCTCTTCTGTAAAATAAGATGATGATTGAAGTTACAAATGAGGTGGTGAGGGAAAGCAACTGCAGGGTTGACTTATGACTTTTTTAGAGACAGAACTTAAAGATAATATACAAATCATTTTTGCCTTAGTAAATTTTTTGTGGTGGTACGATGGTAAAGAATCCAGTTACCAATGCAGGAGACCCAGAGATGTGGGTTCAGTTCCTGGATCAGAAAGATCCCCTGGAGAAGGAAATGGCAACCCACTCCAGTATTCTTGCCTGGGAAATCCCATGGACAGAGGATCCTGGCGGGCTACAGTCCATGGGGTCACAAAAGAGTCGGACATGACTGAACGCACACACACACTGTTAGAGATCTCCAAATGAGAACTCTTTTGTTTACAGAGGCTCTGTATGTGTTGTTTATTCATGTTTTGTTTTGTTTTTAAAGGTTACGAGAAGTTTCAGAGAAACTGAACAAATACAATTTAAACAGGTAAGAGTTTTAAAATATTTTACATGTCCTGAGGAGAATAGCTTTTTTTAAAAACAAAAATTAGGAAAACATACTCATGTTTAGGTAGCAGCTATTAAGAATGTTTTGGTCTAGCTGTCAGCTTTTTATGAGTGAATTCATTTGAATTATAGTTTGTGTTCATACTGATTTTTAAAAACTCTGCCATACCAAGAGCTATAATGACTATAGATAATATATTTCAATTATTGCTTTAAAATATATAAATATTAGTTTTTAAAAATGAGTTTTGCCAGCAATTCTTTTGTTAATTGAAATTGAAAAAACCCTCAAGGGTGTATTTGCCATTTAAAAAATAATTTTCTTATTTAAATTCCTTGTGGCTTTTCATCATAATGATAGGGTGTTATTGTTTTCATTATATATATGTATGTGTATATATATACACACACCCATATATATATATGTTCATTATCTGTACACACATACATACACACACATACATATGATGTGTGACTGTATGTGTATACCATGTAATAAAAGTTTCTAGTAAATACTATGACTTTGGAGGAAAAAGAAATAATAACTTTCCTTGCGTATTTTTCTTTATTCCCCAGCCATCCCCCTTTGAATGTATTGGAGCAGGCTACTATTAAACAGTGTGTGGTGGGACCAAATCACGCTGCCTTCCTTCTTGAGGTAACTTGTTTACTCTTAAGGTAGAGAAGTGAAAATGAGTGTTAAAATACAACTGTGCATCATCACGTGTCTTCCTTTTGGAAGGAACGAAGAAAAGAGCACTTTCTTACAGTAGTTATTTCAGAGCTCACCCAGTTCCATTTCCTTATTGTATAAATTCTCTGGCCCAGAGAAAGTGTAAATGATTTACTAGAGCTTGAAACTAGTTAGTAAAAGAATGGAGAAGTTCCTGATAGCCAGTTATTTCCTTACTCTGAATTCTGTTAGATTGAGATATTTTACATTATCTTTACTGGTTTCATGGTAACGCATATAAAACATACTTCTCTGGCTTCAGTATGAGTGCTTTCTGGAAGCGAGCTTATTTTTTGGCTTTTTGAATTGACAGTGATAGGTACATAATCTGTTTGTTGAATAAACTCAAGTTTTAATGCACATTTTTACTTGGGAAAGTTCTATTTTCTTTGCTTCTAGGATGGTAGAGTTTGCAGGATTGGTTTTTCAGTACAGCCAGACCGATTGGAATTGGGTAAACCTGACAATAATGATGGGTAAGACATTATGTCCTTTCTATTTAATAAATAATTCTTAAAGGTATAATATTCCATCTGTGTTTTGATTTGGGGAGCCTTCAAGTTAAAAAACATTGTTGAAAACCATATGCTTAAAATAGAATGCAATGGTTACTTTGTAGTTTGACTTTAATTTTTATGCAAGCAGTGATTTATAGCTAAAATATTCACATTAAAAGTAGCAGAGGAATCAATGATCACTTAACAGAATAGGTTACCAGAAGTATGATATGTATTTGGTAGGTTCCAAGTCAGATCTGCTCTTTGAGTGAACTGCTTTTTCAGATCATGTTTTTCCTCCCTTAATATTCCCAAATCAGGTAACTCAATTTGAAATTGATGAAGTCTTTAAAGTTTTAGTCTTTATAAAGGGTGACATGTAAAAAAGATTGCTAGATAATGCATGACGACTTTCAGTTGACTGCTTCTGAGGAAAGTATGATTACTTTCAAAGATCTAAGGAACAATTTGTTTGCAGCTAAACCATGAAAAATTTCAGACAGGAGCTGGATTGTTACCAGGTTACAAGTTGTTAGATTTGCTCTTTGTTCTGGAGTGTCCATCTCATTGAGAGTCATCAGAACTGTTAAGCTGATATTTTATGTAGTGAAGCCTAGAATTCCTAGGCATTTGGGGACTTTTCTGTGATTTTTCTACCTCTTGTTTTTTCCCAGGTCAAAGTTGAATAGCAGCTCTGGGGCAGGGAGGACGTCGAGACCTGGTAGGACAAGTGACTCCCCGTGGTTTCTCTCAGGTTCTGAGACTCTGGGCAGGCTGGCTGGCAACACCCTGGGGTAAGTTGTGGCCGGATGATGCATCCACTGGTCTGTAAGTGCTGTCACTGCTAGTGTTCGGTCTCAGTGTTACCTAGTGACGAAGCCAGGGAACTCTGGGCAGGGTCTCCGTTTGTTCAGAATGAACCATCATGACTTAAAAAAACTGACATAGGCTAATTACTGTTAACCTAAGTTTTTGATCGTTTAAAAATATATAGTGGCTATGTGCATTTATGTCATCTATATTTTTAAAATTTCAGTTACATTATCTTTGGTCTTATTTTTGATTAATTCTTGTGTAAAAAATTTCTAGCATTTCTTTCTAATATCCAAATCTGATAGTTCTTTCTGAATGAATTTAGTGAGGCTTGAAACTATTATGTAACTAAATTTTACTGCCTTTAATGAAATCATTTTTACTTTAAAGAAATTATTTTGGTATACTTGACATATAACAGTTGCAAGTGCACAACATAACAATTCAATATTTGTGTATTACATGTATACAAATATTTATGGCCCTTGAACAATGTGGGATTTAGGGCACAGTTTTGATCCTGTACAGTCAAAAATCCACTTGTAACTTCTGACTTCTTCAAAACTTAACTACTAATAGCCTCTTGTTGACTGGCAGCCTTAGGGTTAGCATAAACAGTTCATTAATATGTATTTTGTATGTTATATGTATTATATTCCCTATTCTTATAATAAAGTAAGATAGAAAAAATAAAACATTGAGAAAAAAATACATTTACAGCACTGTTCTTATCAATACTGTAAGTTTGTACCATCTTTTGCAAAATGAATTGTCTCTCCTTACCTGTGTCCGTATTTTCCTATATGATACAAAACTCCAGATGGTATTCTTATTACTAACACTAGACATCAAAAATGAAAAGATGATGTGAAAGGGAGATTCATATTTGTTGTATTTACAGATACAGTGATTGATGCATTGATAGTGAAGAAGCAGCAGTATGATTACTTCATGGTAGCCTAACTTAAACACTAATGAATGAATGGTTATAAAAACTTTATGGCATGTAGTATTACAGTCATATTTATCACATGGTATTAGAAACGTTCATTTAAAAGAAACTACTTAACCTGTGATGATAGACTAATACGCAGTTTCTCCCATTAAGAGAAAGAGAAGCATACTGTATGGTAATGTAATTCTATGAAAGCAAAGTTGTAACACAGTAAGAAGATTGTCATTTAGCAAAAAACAGTAAGAAAACGAACATTATCAGTTTTATGTTAACTATCACTCACCTTTTGCCTATGTAAGCATAGGCTGTTACCTACAGATGTTTTATGTGTTCATGACATAAGTTGTTCTTAGCTTTTTTGGAGTTTTTCCAGGCTTTGTGGTTCATCTGTGAGTTTTTAAAATTCCTGTTAGTCCCCCCCCCCAAAATAAATTTCAATATATTTATTGAAAAAAATATATATAAGGGAAGCCACACAGTTAAAGTCTCTGCTGTTCAAGGGTCAACTGTAATGTGAAATGAAACAGTCAATTTAACACCCATCACCAAATCTGGCTACAAATTTTTTTCTTGTGATGAGGACTTTAGAGATCTGCTCTCTTATCAGCTTTCAAATATACAGTACCTTGCTGTACATTTTACTTCTGTGATATCTATTTTATAACTGAAAGTTTGTACCTTATTTTTACTTTTAAAATTATTTGTAAAATTTTTACTTTTTACACTGCTGCTGCTAAGTTACTTCAGTCATGTCCGACTCTTCGCGACCCCATGGGCTGCAGCCCACCAGGCTCCTCTGCCCATGGGATTTTCCAGGCAAGAGTACTGGAGTGGGGTGCCATTGCCTTCTCCAACTTTTTACACTGCTGCTGCTGCTAAGTCACTCAGTTGTGTCCGACTCTGTGCGACCCCATAGACGGCAGCCCACCAGGCTCCCCCGTCCCTGGGATTCTCCAGGCAAGAACACTGGAGTGGGTTGCCATTTCCTTCTCCAATGCATGAAAGTGAAAAGTGAAAGTGAAGTCACTCAGTCATGTCTGACTCTTTGCCACCCCATGGACTGCAGCCCACCAGGCTCCTCCATCCATGGGATTTTCCAGGCAAGAGTACTGGAGTGGGGTGCCATTTCCTTCTCCAACTTTTTACACTAGATACTCTTAATTCCATTTTCTCTAAAGCTGATATGCTGTCAAACTAAAAGAATCATATACAAATTCCAAGCCAGATGGTTTTATTCATTTTATACCTTGATTTCTGAATAGCTGTATCTTCTGAAATTACCCATTTAGTGGTTGCTGCTGCTGCTGTCCCTTCAGTCGTGTCCGACTCTGTGCGACCCCATAGGTGGCAGCCCACCAGGTTCCCCTGTCCCTGGGATCCTCCAGGCAAGAATACTGGAGTGGCTTGCCATTTCCTTCTCCAGTGCATGAAAGTGAAAGTGAAGTCGCTCAGTCGTGTCCCACTCTTTGACCCCATGAACTGTAGCCCACTAGGCTCCTCTGTCCATGGGATTTTCCAGGCAGGAGTACTGGAGTGGCTGCCATTTCCTTCTCCCATTTAGTGGTTAGATAATGCCAAATCAGTGGTGTTAGCATATGTATTCAAAGGCTAATCAGAGAAATAGAAGCAATTTAAATTGTTTCAAAATATAATTAAGGAGAGGAAGATGGTTTTAAACATTTTGACTCTCTTGGTAAAGTTAGATTTAAAAGTTGAGATCCCATTTTATCTGATAAACTTGTGAAATGTTTGATTTTATTTAAGAAAGCATGCTATTATTTATCATACTATGTCAAACTTTACCTGTTTAAAGATTAAAATTTAGTTCTTTTTTTAGTTGAGGGGTTGTCACATTGTAGCTTACAGGCTAAATCTGTCCTGACTGCCTCCTCTTTTCATTGAGACAACTATACTTGATACTTACTTAACTCTGGTTGCTTTTGTGCTAAAATGGCACAGATGAGTTGTCATGACAAAGACTGGTGAGCCTACAAAACCTAAATAAATGATTACTTTTCTGCACTTTACAGTTTGCTGATCCCTGCTTTAGTTTATTCATTTACATGGTGGCATTTGTTCCTAATGCTGTACTCTTTATTTCTAAATTTAACTTTTCATTTGAAAATTATTTGACTTTTAAAAATTGCAGAATTTCACCCAGCTTCCCCAAATGTTAATGTTCTACATAATCATAGTACAGTTATCAACACCAGGAAATTAACAGTGATCAGTGCTTAATCTGTGGAGTTTATTCAGATTTCATCACCTGTTCCACGGGTACTATTTCTCTGCTCTAGGATTCAATCCAGGATCCTATGTTGCTTCTGTTGTCATGTTTCTGTAGGTTCCTCTCATCTGGGACAGTTTCTCAGTCTTTCCAGACCTTGATGAGTTTGGTAACTGGTTACTTTGTAGAATGTTTGAATTTGTCTCTTATTTCCTCATGATTAAACCCAAGTGAGGCTTTTTTTTTCTAAGTCTTTAGTTTTTAAGAGTGGTTTTTGAATTCACAGCAAAAATGAAAAGGTACTGACTGTATAGGGATTTTCTGTTCCCCCTGACCACACATGTATAACCTCCCTTGTTATCAGTACTTCCCACCAGAGTGGTCCATTTGTTACAGCTGATGAACCTACACCAGCACATCATCATCCACAGTCACATCATCATCCACAGTCCATAGTCTTTACCTGAGAGTTCACTCTGGGTGTTGTACCTTCTCTGGGTTTGGATAAGTTTATAATGACATGCATCTTTCATTACAACATCATATAGAGTAGTTTCACTGTCCTAAAAATCCACTGATCTTTTTACCATCTCCATAGTTTTGTCTTTTTCAGAATGTCGTATAGTTGGAATCATACAATATTTAGCCTTTCCAGATTGGCTCCTTTCACTTAGTAGTATGCATTTAAGGTTCCTTCATGTCTTTTCATGGCTTGATAGCTCATTTCTTTTTAGCGCTGAATAGTATTTCATTGTATAGATGTATCATAGTTGATTTACATATTCACCTACTAAAAGACATCTTGGTTGCTTTCAAATTTTGGCAGTTATGAGTAAAGCTGTGTGCTGATTTTTGTGTGGATGTAGGTTTTCTGCTCCTTTGGATTAAACACCAAGGAGCACAGTTGCTGCATTTGGTGTTCTGGATTTTGGTCATTCTAATAGGTGTGTAGTGGTGGCTTGTTTTTTTAAATTTACATTTGCTTGATGATATATGAAGCATCTTTTCGTATGCTTATTTGCCCAATGTAGCTCTTCTCTGGTGAGGTTTCTTTTAAGGTCTTTGGCTCATTTTCCATCAGATTGTTGATATATATTGGATAACAGTTCTTTAATCAGATAATGTCTTTTGCAGTTATTTTCTCCCAGTCTGTAACTTGTCTTTCATTATCTTGACAGAATCATTTATAGAGCCAAAGTTTTTGACTTTAATGAAGGTTAGCTTATCAGTTATTTCTTTTATTGTGCCTTTGGTGTCATATCTAAAAAGTCATTGCCAAACCCAGGATTGTCTAGTTTTCTTCTCTGCTATATTCTCAGAGTTTTATAGTTTTGCATTTTACATTTAGGTCTGTGATCCGTTTTAATTTTTGTGAAGGCCTGTGTCTTTTTTCCATGTGGATGTCCAGTTGTCCAGCAGTGATTGAGTCGGCTGTCTTTGCTTCTTTGTATTGCCTTTGTCCCTTTGTCAAATATCAGTATCTATGTATTTATAGGGGTCTGTCTCTGAGCTCTTTATGCTGTACGATTGATCTGTTTGTTTTTTCTCCAGTAGCACACGGTCTTGATTACTGTTGCTTTATAGTGAGTCTTTGAAAGTTGATTAGGGCCCAGTCAGTCAAAAGAACTTTGTTCTTCAGTATTGTGCTGGCTATTTAGATCTTTTGCCTTTCCCTATACATTTTAGAATCGGTTTGTTGATATCCACAAAAAACGTGATACAATTTTGATTGGGATTACAGATGATGCATTTTTGGCAAGAATACCACAGAAGTGATGATGTGACCTTCTCTTTGCATCATATGTGGAGGCACATGATATTGACTTGTCTCATTACCGTGATGGTTATCCCTGACCTCTTAGTTAAAGTGATGTTTGCCAAGCTTCTCAAGTATAAAGTTACTATTAATATTTCCCCTTTTGTAATAATGTATTTTGTGGGGAGATGGGCTTCCCTGGTGGCTCAGCTGGATACTTCCTGACTATGTAATTAGTCCATTTTCCATCATACTTTAGCTCATTAACTTTAGCATCCATTGATAATTTCTTCCTTTATTACTGTGGTGTTGGCCAAGTAGTTCTTTTTAAAATATGTTTTTATTATTTCTTTTACACTCATTAATTGAAATTTGACTGTAAGGAAGAACTTTTCCTCCTCCCCCATTTCTTTCTTTTTTATTCTATTCTGTTACTGTTATTTATGTTAATTGTGATCTCATGGATATTTTTTTTATTTTATGGTTTATAATTTATGGTTTATAAATTTAAATTTATAATTTAAATTATCCTCGATTTAAATTCTCTTCTCTTTATACATAAAGCTTGGATATAACCAATTATAAGAGACTGCGTGACAAGATGACTGAAGAGAATAGTGGGATTTTATGACTTTGGTGACGAAATGCACGACAGAGATGATCATCAAGGGGTACATTTGAGCTCGAATAAAACCTTAGTAGACTTGCTCCAAAAGAAGGTTGAGGCTAATTTTAAGACTTTAGAAAGCAGGGAGAATCTTTAGTTTTTGTTTTCCTCTTACTCATGCTTGATTGTATTCCTTTTTTGAATCATGTTTTTCTAAACCTGCCCCACCCCAACAGACTCTATGTTTTAGCATTGTGTTCATGATTGCAATTCTGCAAAACATCAGTGTCCCCACTGACTAAGCCATATTTTGCAGATGTCCACAAAATGTAAGCAAGCACTTAATGGCTGATTGTTTCTCTTGGCCCGTATAAAATGTTTCTCAGTGTGTTGATGGAGAAATTGTAACCAGTATTCTGTAAATTAAGAAATTTTAAAGTAAAAAATGTTATCCTTCATAATAAATTTTTTTCTCTGAGTTGTATAGTTCCCCCCTCCTCACATTCCTGTGTTGATTATAGTAAACTTTAAAGAAGCTTGCTCTTTATTAGAGAATCTAGGACAGACAGGTGCAGTTGTATATGAAAGACTGTGTCCCCACAGACCTTGGTCCCCAGCCCCTTCCTTCAGAGTCCTGGCTTGTTCCCTTTGGGTTCATAGAGGTGTTGTGAATCAGGTGGTCTCTGTTTGAGAACTACATTTGAAAGATTTTGGGATAATTAATACTGTTTTTTGCTGTCAGTGTGGGTAATTGAGAGTTGATCATGTATTATGACTGGTCATTCTTAGGACTACGTAACAGTCAATGTTTCTAGGACTTTTAATGTTTTTCCCTTGGGGGTTTTGCTAATTGGTAGTGTGGTAAGGCTTTCTAGCTGCTGTTTTTTTCTCTTTCGTAATTACTCAAATTTATCCTGGGAGATATTTCAAAAATCTCCAGGATATTTTTGTTAAGCTTATTTCAGTTGGGCAAGAGCACCAACTTTGAAGGGGAAGGACACCGACTTTGTTTGGAGAAAGAGAGTGTGTGTTTAAAGAATGTTTAAAATGGAAATATTAATATCTAAAGTCTCTTTATTCATTGTTTGTTATCACACATTTTTAAAGGAGGCAGCTAAACAGCTGATGTTACCATAGAAGTCTACAGGGCCATTGTTACCAAATGCAGGCCTCCATCACTCTCCCATCCCCCACCCTTTAATCTTAAGAGAAGCTGCCAACTTGTTTTTTTATGGGAAATCTTCTGACTTAAGTATTGAAACTAGTTGATATTTCCATGGAAATAAATGTGCACATATGCACAGGCACACACATACCTATCTAGTGTGTGAGCGTGTGTTTGTATGCATTTATATATGTATATATTCTTTTAAATAAGCTTCATATTTTTTAACAGTTTTAGATTACAGAAAATTACAGAGGTAGTACTGAGAATTCTTGTGTGCTCCATACCCAGTTTTCCCTATTAACATGTAACATAAGCCTGGTACACTTTTTATAATTAATGTATGTTGATACATTATCATCAGCTGAAGGCTGTAGGTTGTTCACATTCCCTCATTTTTCTCTTAATGTCCTCTTTCCGTTCCAGGATCCCATCCAGGAATCCACAGTGGATTTAGTTGTCATTTCTCTTTAGGCTTTTCTTGATTGTGACAGTTTCTCAGACTTTTCTTGTTTTTGATGCTGTACATTTTTTTAAACTAGCCAAGTATATGGACAGGACTTATATCATGGGTATTAAGATTGTAAACTGTGGATTAATTCCATACTATGTGTGATTTTCTCAGTTGATTGAAGTCACTTTGTGTATCTTGAGTATTATATAATGGGGTCAAATTGTAGGATTAATTTGATGAGCGAGGTGTGGATAGTAGAAACTGGTTTTTATATTATTTTTGAGTTTAATATTAAAAATATTTATATCTCACTATATATATATATATATATATATATAGAGAGAGAGAGAGAGAGAGAGCGCTCACTATAATAGACAAAGAGAGGATTCCAGTACTTTTCTTTGAGACCACTGATAAACCTCTGTTAATGTATACTTAGTCAAATGCCTTGCTCTTTCTCTGGACAGCAAGCTGGATAGAGGAATGTTTAGCATCAGTTGAGGTAGGAAGTCTAGTAGGTTGCTTGGATTCTAACAGAAGAAATCCTGCACTGTGGGTGTGAGTAGGAAAATGTGGTATTCTCCATAGTAACAGGCAAGCCAGAGATATTTTGACTTTTGTCTTTCAACTAACCTCAGTTGAGGTTTTGTGTAACAGAGATTGCAAATTGGCCTTATAACTTACTGTCCAAACTGGGAAATTTGGGAGTGAAAATAATAATAGGCTCAGACAGTATGCTGACTCTGGTGTTATCTCAGGCAAACTGGGGACATAACTGTTATACTAATTAAATCTTTTCAAGACTCTAGTGTGGTTCCTACTGTTTTCACGTTGAGATAATAAGTTTAGCTTTTGACTGTTAAAAACTTCTACAAGAGTAGTTCCACCTGACTTAATTTTGACAGCTTACAGGAAACCATGAAGTAGAAATGCTGATTTAATTTTTTAATATCTATTTGTACCTTTCATTGATCCTATATTATTTTCTGTTGCATAATTGTCACAAAGCATATAAGTTGAAAACATGTCTGTTTTCTAGAGCATAGCTTTTTTTTGGGTAACACATGACTTTATATTTTTTAAATCATGTTTAGAACTAAAACACATTACATGAAATTTATCATCGTTATGATTATAACTGCACACCTCAGTTAGTATTGAATATAGTCACATTGTTGTGAAGGAAGTCTCCATAACTTTTTCATCTTGTAAAAGTGAAACTTTATATCCGTTAAACAGCTCCCTCTACCCTTCTTCCTAGCATCTGGCAGCCACCATTCTACTTTCTGTTTCTCTGAATTTGACTACTTTGGATACCATTTGTGTTTTTGTGATTGGCTTAATTTCACTTGGCCTGATATCTTCAAAGTTTATCTATGTTGTAGCATGTGTCAGGATTTCCTTCCATTTTAATGCTGAATAATATTACAGTATATGTATATACCACATTTTGTTTAACCATTCATTTTTCATTGGATATTAGGTTGCTTGTACCTGTTGGCTCTTATGAATAGTGCTGCTTTGAACATGGGTATATAGATATCCCTTTGAGACTCCATTTTCAATTATTTTGGATATATACCTAGAAATGCAACTGCTGAGTCATATATGATGGTTCTGTTTTTAATTTTTTAAGAAACTTCGTACTGTTTCCATAGCATTGCACCATTTTATAGTCTTACCAACAGTGCCTGAGGGTTCCAGTTTCTGTACATCCTTGCTAACACTTGTAGTTTTCTATTTTTTCCTCATGGTAGCCATTCTAATGGGTGTGAGGTGATATGTTATAGTTTTGATTTACATTTCTCTCATGGTTAGTGATGCTGAACTTATGCTTATTTGGCCATTGGTGTATTATGTTTAGAGAAATGTCTATTCACATTCTCGGCCCATTTTTTAAGTCAGGTTATTTGACTTTTGTTGTTGTTGTTGTTGAGTGTAGGAGCTCTTTATATATTCTGGATATTAACCTTTTATTAGATACATGATTTACAAATATTTTCTTCCATTCTGTACGTTGCTTCCTCACTCTTGATTATGTCCTTTGAGGCATAAAATCCACTGGGGTTTTGCTAGGGCTTGTGATGAATTTGTAGATTACCTTAAGCAGTCTGGACATCTTAACAATATTAAATCTTCCAAGCCATGGACACAGGTGTCTTTCCATTTATTTGTGTCTTTAAAATTTAAGCTTTGAATTTTGCTTTTTGCATTACAGACTGTTGGTAGTTATGTCCGATAGGTCATTCATGCAAAGAGGAAGTGTATTATAACTCATTTTAGAGTTGTGTCTAGAAATGCTAGGTATGTGGTTCTTTTAAAAATTGTTTTAAAAAATGCAGATGTGTGGTATTTATCTTTAAAAAGTGAGTTTATATTTAAGCATTAAAAAAAATTAGAAGAGTGTTATTTTAAAGCTCATTTTATTATCTTGTTCTGTCAAAATACTACTGTACCATACCATGTCAATTAGAAAAATAGCTTTTATCATGTCCTAAGAGAATGAAAATGAGACCTGGAGCAATCTTTCTGAATGATTATTTAAAATGCTAATTCTACAAATTCTCCGATATTTAGAAGTCGCTGGAGTTCTGGAGTGGGTGGAAGTGGAGGAGGATCCTCTGGTAGGTCATCAGCTGGAGCGCGAGATTCTCGCCGACAGACTCGAGTAATTCGAACGGGACGGGATCGAGGATCTGGGCTTCTGGGCAGCCAGCCCCAGCCAGTTATCCCAGCATCTGTGATTCCAGAGGAGCTGATTTCACAGGTATGGATCCTGTGGAACACTTAACATAAGACAGCAGGACAGGGTGAGGTTTAACTAAATATGGTGGGCTGCAGCCATGATTTATGGTAGCCTATCCCTTTTCCAGGGCATCTTCCCAACCCAGGGATCGAACCCAGGTCTCCTGCATTGCAGGTAGATTCTTTACCAGCTGAGCCATAAGAAAAGAAAGAAAGTGAACTCGCTCAGTCATGTCCGACTCTTTGTGACCCCGTGGACTGTAGCCTACCAGGCTTCTCTGTCCATGGGATTTCCCAGCAAGGGTACTGGAGTGGGTTTTCATTTCCTTCTCCAGGGGATCTTCCTGTCCCAGGAATCGAACCCAGGTCTCCCGACATTCCAGGCAGACACTTTACCCTCTGAGCCACCAGAAAAGCCCAGCTGAGTCACAAGGGAAGCCCAAATATAGTGGGCTGTAGCCATGATTTATATCATGTGTTGTGAAATACTGCTTTTCTGTTTTAGTCCTAGAAAACCGATTTTGATTTTTTAAAAAGTTACGAGAAAGGAAATTAACATAGCACTCTTCTTTATTTTTTATTTCAGGCCCAAGTTGTTTTGCAAGGCAAATCCAGAAGTGTCATTATTCGAGAACTTCAGCGCACAAATCTTGATGTAAACCTTGCTGTAAATAATTTACTTAGCCGGGATGATGAAGATGGAGATGATGGTGATGATACAGCCAGTGAATCTTATTTGCCTGGAGGTTGGTGGAACACCATCATGGTTCTCTCATCTCTAGGGAGAGGTGTTTTTTTTTTTTTGACTGGGGAATGAAATGAAATGAAAGTGCAGTGGGTTTTCTGACTCTTCTTTCCAAGGTGGTAGATATTTCTCCCTATAGTGTTTGATTGTAAAATCTTTTATAAGGAAAAATAGGGGCGTGTTTCTGCTCGGTGGACTTGTGTTTCGTCCTAATAAAGGCATGGATGTATGTGCATAGTTTTATTGCTGACTGTGAGATGCCTCTGGAATGTTGTTCTGATGCTGTTTTTACTGAATATGTAATAACTGAAACTGCATTTAGATTTTGACTATATCATCTCTATGATGTCACAAGAATCTTAAATAATGATCCTTTTTTCTTGTGATTATTTAGGATGTAGCCCAAGCAATAATCATGCAATTGATGTTCCTTAAACTCTGTGTTAATGATGTTAACTTTATTTCTTAGATAGTTACTGCTTCTCTTCTCAGATATGTCAGTAGTCAGCCCCTGATTTTAGTGTTTTAACTTTAAGGGATTTTTCAGTGGTCTACAGATTTTTTCTCTGTACCTGTTTCATTTATATTTGTTTCACTTTATAGAGGATCTTATGTCTCTTCTTGATGCTGACATTCATTCTGCCCACCCAAGTGTCATTATCGATGCAGACGCCATGTTTTCTGAAGACATTAGCTATTTTGGTTACCCTTCTTTTCGTCGGTCGTCACTTTCCAGGCTAGGCTCATCTCGAGGTAATTGTGCATTTATTTCTTGGTGGTTATTGGGTGACTGGAGAGCTAGTGGTAGAATTCTTTGTATTTGAATTTTCAGTATTATACTAGATGAAATCATTACTTATTAGTGTTCTTGGATGCTTTGGCATTAAAATAGTTATTTTTGATTTTTGAAGAGCTAGAGTAGAACTTTAGAGATGATTTTATCTATTAATGCATTATAGAATACATATAAAGGATTATGTTTTATCTAACTATATTTTTAAATTTGGGAATATGGATTCTGAACTAAAAGCAGAATTCTACTTAACAGTGACATGCAGCATTCAGAAAATAAGACTGTCTAGTTTATTTGATTAAAATAAGGTGATTATTTTGTTCATTTTAAATCCTGGTTAGATGGAAGAGTAAATATTAAAAAAGCTTATTGGAATGAGATTGATCAATAATAAATATATATAAATACTTAGCTTATTAAAGTACTATTTTCAGAAGTTAAAATCTTGAAAAGCTTTAGTTCATAGTAGAATTTAGAAAGATTTTGAAATAGTACAAACAGAAGCCTTTCTCTGTATATGTTGACAGATATTTAACTGGCATTTTAACTTTTTAAAGTCAGTATATTTACTTTTCAGAAAGTAAAACTCCTTGATTCAAATAACAGGAAGGAATCATCTGTATTATTTACTTATCATTAGTAAACTGGAAAAGATGCCATTTTATATTAAGACTCTACTGCATATGTCTACTACTTGGAAGCAGTTTTAAAACAACAGGCTTACAATGATCTTTTAGTATACTGAACCTATTATGGTAACAGCTTACAAATTCTTTAAAAATAAGTGAATATTTTACTGCCTTAAATGCATCAAGAATTACATTTCAAATATTCACTATTTAACAAATAGCTCCTTCTAAATTTCTTCCTTTTGCTTTTCCTTCGGTCATTCTATGTGGGCATCTCTTTCAGTCTGAACCATATGAAATTGGTGGTACTTGACCATGTTTGACCTGCATGGATGGCAGTTTTATATGGTTCAACTTAATATTGTTTTTAATCCTTAATATCCAAGTCTTAGAAAGTTTATTTTAATTGCCTAGTTAAAACAGTAATGTGTGAGCAAACTGAAAAAAGCTTGTTTTAAAAAGTTTGGAAGACAGTTTCAGTGGTAGCCTTTTTATAAAACAGTCTTTCTATAAAGATTCTTAAAATAGAAAAAAATTAGTTTTCTCAAAATTTTTAAAATAAGGCATCACAAAAATCTAGTCCGTAAAATTACTCTAAACAAAGATGATCACAAGTTTTATAGTCAATGGATTTTTATTTTACCCTTTTAAACTTTCTCCCCCCTCTATGTGTAGAATCTCTAACAAATACTTTTTTTTGGTTATGTATGTATCTAACATGTCAACATTTTAATTTATGCATAGTTTCTGATAGATAAATTTTAAAAGTTATGGTAAGCATTTTAATGAAAACTAGAAGTTTAAAACTCCATGTAAAATGTCCAGAATCCAGTTTGAAGCAATTCTGCTCTTAAAAGCATATATTTGGAATTCAGAAAAATGCTTAAAAATCTAGTTTACAATTTTCATACATTCACTTGAAAGAGTTAAATGTTTTGAATGTTGCATGTCAGGCTTATTAGATATATATTACATTAAATTCTTGTTGGTGGATAAACTGCTGTTAGTTGCATCCTGAAGGGTCTTTACTAGAGAGTGGCTTACTTTTATCCCACTGGTGTGACCCAATTGCATACCAGTTCTCCTTCTTCCCTTAGAGAGAGACTCTGAGCTGTTGCGTGAACGTGAATCCGTTTTACGTTTACGTGAGCGAAGGTGGCTTGATGGAGCCTCATTTGATAATGAAAGGGGCTCTACCAGCAAGGAAGGAGAGCCAAACTTGGATAAGAAGAATACGCCTGTTCAAAGTCCCGTGTCTCTTGGAGAAGATTTGCAGTGGTGGCCTGATAAGGTATTTGGAAAAAATTCCCATCTGGTCCATTTTAAATGGATTCCTGGCACACACATACCACCCCCACCCCCCCACCCCATACCCCCGCCAAAAAAAAAGGTTTCTGTGTTATTTCAGGTTTTTGTACTGTTATTTAAAATGCAGACAAAGTGATGTTTTTGTCTGTTTTAAAATATAAATAATCTTAATTTGACACTGCAGGAATCATCTTAATGAGATGTGTTCAGTGGTGCTATATCTTTTTTCTACTTAATGAAGTAAATCGGAGGCATCAGGATGGTAGTTTCAGATAAGACATAAGCATGCTGTTTCAGGATTTCTTTTCTAGTGATACTCGCATCAGTAACTGATGGTGTATTTCTTGATAGAAATTTGTTTTGTGCTGTCGAATGGACCCAGTGTCTGCAGAGCAGGTTTCATTGATCCAGACATGCATGTGAGGGCAAGATTAGGAATCTGTGTTTCTTTGATTAGTTAGCTTTTCTAGTTGATGTCAGTGAATTCTGACAGGCTCTTTGCTCTAAGAACTGTGGGAGACAAAGCAGGCTGGACAGGGAGGGACTGGAGGAGTGATGCTCTGCATCCTGAGGAGTGGCACATGGCGGGCTTCTAGATAGCAGCCAAGACTTAAGTGGTGTGAATCTTTAAAAATCCATCACTGCTGCAAGGATACATCCTGTTGATGGTTTGTAGGTTTCACTGTCTTAAGAGACAGGTGGTTCATTTTCGCAGGTTCCTATAGGAGACCATATGCTGTCCATGTGTTTCTTGGAGTGCCTGTTTATTTCCAGAGCCAGTTGGATGAGAGATTCTTTTAAGTAGAAGTAAAAGAAGATAAGAACTTGGTTATCTGTAACAGATAAGGACATTCTGATGTGGATTTCTTTTCTTTGAAGTTGAGTTTGGAATATTAAAGGGAAAATATTGTTTAACTTTCTGAATTTGTTTATTTTTTATAGTTATTGTGAATCTTGATGTGGTTAATTTTCCTCTGTATTCAGCTCATGTGGAAAGCTTGAATGCAAGAAGGAACATGAATTTTAATCAGTCTCTTTGTGAGCAAAAGGTTATTCTGTTTTCTTTGGCAGCTGACAAAGTTTCCCTGAACTGCATTCTCTTACTTATTTCCATAAAACCAGAAATGTTCCAGTTTCTACTTTTACCTCATATGATAGAAGGTGACTTAAACCATTGGGCTTTTTCTTTCCTTTTTTTATACATTGTTCTTTGTTGCCTGTTTCTCGAGAGCGTTGATTGTATTAGGGCTGCATCTACTTCATATTGACAGGAAGTAAAGGAGGACTCCAGAATCTTGTTTTATAGTGCCATCACAAAAAAATTAACCTAGACTTCTTTAGCATGTATTTGAAAGTGATTTGAACAGTTGGAAGTTTAGTAGGACTTTTTCCTGGCCAGTGTACACTTTGTTAGAGTTAGCCAGTCTTAGTTGGGCTTTACTGATAGGCATGGTTTTAAGTACAGTTTGTTTTCAGAGGCAGTTAATAAGTTCATCATAAAATTTTAGGCCTTACTTAGTGTATTTCCATGGTTTATTTAGACGTTGAATGAAGGAGAAATACCAGTATGTGCAACAGAGTATGTCCTACCTATACCTTTTTTTTTTTTTTTTTTACCAACAAAGAAAAACCTAATTTAAAATGTCGTCACTGAATAAGAAGCACCTTTTATTAGCTTGTGACTGAAATTTAGACATCAAAAATTTCAGTTCAGAGAACGAAAATAACATAAGCCTAACTAAACTGTTAAGTATTATCCTGGTTTTCAGCAAGCCATTAAGATGATTGTTTGTAAGGCTGAATGCTACAGTCAGAAAGAGAATGCAGAGTTAAGGGGGAAAACCTTGCTTTTGGAACAGTGTGCAAAATTATCATTCGGGGACACAGGGTAAACTCCACATGAAGAGACAGGCGCTCTGTGGGTCCAGGTTTGGCCTCCTTAGTTGGAGGTGGCGATCCCTGAGGAGTAGAAAAGGTTTTTGCGGGATGATTGATAGGAGATGGAGAGTGCAGGGAGATACAGGATGTCAGCACACACTATTTGCAAGTCGTCTCTCTGTTTTGCTTTGGGTTTTTTTGGTGGCAGGAGGGAAATGGAGTTGTCCTAGCTTAATTTCAGAAATGACCTAATTTAGTATTTATAAATTGTAAGTTTGGTTAGTGTCCATGGTATTTTTCCTTCTTTTGTTAGGGTACCTGAGAAATTCCATTGTTAAATTAATTGGAATAATCTTGACTTTCCCATCACCTATTTAGAGGAACAGCTACTTCAAAGTTTCACCATTTTCTAGGCTAATAAAGCTGCTTCAACGGTGAAATGTGGAATAGGAAATTGGTATAGCCACTCTGGAAAACAGTATGGAGATTCCTTAAGAAACTAAAAACAGAACCACTGTATGATCTAGCAGTTTCACTTTTGGGTATTATCTGAAGAAAAGGAAAACACTTAACTGGAAATACATGTACCCTCATGTTCATTGCAACATTATTTACAGTAGTCAAGATATGGAAGCCACCTAAGTGTTCATCAGTGGGTTGATACACACAGACACACACACACACAAATATTATTCACCCATAAAAAAAGAATGAAATCTTGTCGTTTTTGACAATATGGATAGACTTTGAGGGCATTATGCTAAATGAAGTTAGAGACAAATACCATATGATGGCACTTAAATGTGGAATTAAAAAAAAAAAGGAATCCTATATAATAGAGAACAGATTGATAGTTGCCAGAGATGGGAAAGAGGGTAAATGGGTGAAGGGATTAAAAGATAGAAAGAAAAAAATAAATCAATGAATTTTTTCCCCCTTATTAACTTTCCAGCATTTTTTTAAAAAAATAAGCATAATTGATAATTATGGAGATGTTGAAAGATCTGTGAAGGCAGACGTGAGGGTCATCCAATGAGTAACTGAGTAGCCTTGATTAAATACATATTGTTTTTTAGGTTTTTTGTTCAGGTGTTAGGGTGAGAATTTTGTAGGAAGGCAGAACAATGTTAAATACTCTGGAATAAATACTGTAATAGGTACAAGAGGCTTTGGGGAATCACAGGAGGCCAGAGTGATTGCTAAGAGTTACTTCATCAACATGGCTCTGTTCTCATGTCTTGGCCATTTTTGAAATTTACTTTTCTCTGATTAGAAATTTAGTTCTATGTTGTTGAATGCCTACATTTAAGTTGTAACTATATATATATATATATATGTATGTAGTTGTACATACATATATGTGTATGTGTGTATACACACACACACACACACACACCAACCTACTTACAATAAGAATCTTAAAGTGAATTTATAAGGGAATAAAAAAATGCATCTCCAATAGTAACAAAGACTGTTAGAAATAAGACTGCAAAGATAAGAGCTAAGTGATAAAATGCTGAAGGTGAAAGGGTGGAGAAAAATTGTAGGGTAATTCACGCTATGTCAGTCTGTTGAAGTTGAGGATAAGAGCTTCCACATTGTGCTCTGAACAAAACAAACCTCCAGTTTAAGGGATGCATACATCCTTTATTTTAAGTAAGCTGCCAGAGAAGAAGTGCTTCCTTGATAGCTCAGATGATAAAGCATCTGCCTGCAATGCGGGAGACCTGGGTTCGATCCCTGGGTTGGGAAGATCCCCTGGAGAAGGAAATGACAACCCACTCCAGTACTCTTCGTTGGAAAATCCCATAGATGGAGGAACCTCGTAGGCTACAGTCCATGGGGTTGCAAAGAGTCAGACACGACTGAGCGACTTCATTTTCTTCTTTCCCGGAGAACTTCATGAAGGTTGTACTGTGGGTGATTAGGAAACAACTGATTTAGGTAGTCAGTATTGTTAACTTACAGTCATATCCCTTACCTGTTCTGGGTGTGTTTTCATAGAGTCTAGGGGAAGTAATAAAATTTACTTCCCACCAGCCTTTTGAATTGTAGAGTTGTACATTATTCTCAATTTTCTTTGAATGGTGTTGAGAGGAAACAGTCCCATAATATTTGGCTCCTTAAGTTATTTGGAGCAACTTCGCTGTTGGGACCAGTTGATCAAACTTGTTGGTCATGCTGCTTTGTTTTCAAGGTTCTAAAAGTGAAAGCTGGGTAGGGGATTTAAATTGTCAGGTAGAAGCTACCAGGAAATGTTTGTTAAAAGTTAGGTAAGTGTATCACAAATGTAATTTAATAATGCAGTAAGAGCAACGGGAGAAGTGATCATAAAACAGAAAAGAAGCCAGGCATAAGGAGAAGATGGGAAAGGTGAGGGGAAATGAAGTGTGAATAAGGACAGTTGATCAAACTGAGCCATGTAGCTTGTAGTTGTGTAATGTCCATTTCAGCCGTAACACACAGTACAGTCTGCTGTTAGAGCTGGTACTTAAGTTGGAGAACTCGTGTTTGTTGATAATAGGAAAGTTTTAAAAAAAAAAACAAGTTTTGTGGGGAGAAAATTAGGAGTAATAAGACCAATTTTTAAAAAACAGAAGTCAAAATTAGTAGGAGTTCATGTTGCTATGCTTAATGACTTAAACTAGGTAAATTTCATTATATTTTTAGCATTTTTCATCTCCCTTTGGGGAGAGACTGCTCATTTGGGTGATGACTTGTTTATTGTTTAGAGGATTGCAAATGTGTTGATTAGATTCAGCTTCTAAATGATTTGATTTTGTTTAAAAATAAAAAAGCTAGAAACTACTCATCTTTAAGGAAATATGCATATCCATCTTTTCCAGGTTGAAACAGGCCCCAGCTTGCACAGCAGCAGCCATTAGTATTTCATTAAAACAATAAAAGCATTGTTTTCTATGACATTCTGAAGTGTGTGAGCTAAAATACTGTGCCACTGTGTGTATTTGATTGCTTTGTATTTCTCTACAAACTCATCTCAACCAGGCAAGAAACAATAGGTGATATTTCCATCTTGCTGTGGTTGGTGGTTTGTGCTGTCCATCCACATTTGTCCATAATGGATATTCAGGGTCTTCAGGATACATTTACCTCAGGACTCATGAGCTGGGGCGCCCTGGCCCATCGTTGAGGGTTGCAGGCCAGTCAGTCTGAGAGAGCCTCACACAGCGTACTCTTGCTATACCATGACTTGTTCAGGGTTGTACTGCTCTGGCAGGGCTTTTAGTCAGAAAGTTTGAGTTGAGATACGTTTGTTCAGTTATCAGTGTGCTCCTACTATGTGCCAGGTGCCAAGCTAGCCTGTGGGAACGTAGAGGTAGATTTGTTATGGACCAGCCCACACGACTGAAGCGACTTAGCAGCAGCAGCAGCCCATGAGAAAGTCAGTATGGAAGACAAACATTGACATACAATGAAATGTGTTCACAGTACCACCAGTCCTAGGTTGAAGCTGGGAATCTGGTATTTAGAGGTTTAGAGTGGGGAATGACTAATACCACCTGGTATTAGATTTAGATTTGAGAGATTTGGCAAAATCATCACAGAGGAGATGACCTTTAAGCAGCATTTCTAAGGTGAAGTGAGCGTTAACCAAGATGCAAAAGCATTCCAAGCATATCAGTATGGGCCTAGAGTCAGGAAAGGACAGGGTGTGTTTGTGGAGCAGTGAGAAATTCAGAATTACTGCTGTGTGGTGGGAATAGGAGAAGAGCAAGATGGAGCAAGACCAGAGGGCCCTAGATGAAGAGTTAGGATGTTGTTCTACCAACAAAGTTCTTAGAGAAATGACATGATGAGATTGGTGGGGTTTTGTTTTGTGTGTTTTTAAGGAGACAAGCACTATTGGCATAGGAGAAAGATAGGAATAGGAACAATTCTGTGCCTGTTCTTAACAGTTGAGAGACTGGTAGAATTGTTTATAGAGAGGAATTGCAAGGATCTTAACAAAAGCAGAGGATGAGATGATTGGATGGCATCACCGACTCAATGGACATGAGTTTGAGTAAACTCTGGGAGTTGGTGATGGACAGGGAGGCCTGGCATGCTGCATTCCATGGGGTCACAAAGAGTTGGACACAACTGATTGACTGAACTGAACAACCAAAGCAGTGACAGGACAGAGGAAGAGAAGAATCTGAGGAGAAGTTGAGACAAGGATAGCATTGGTTTGCTAATCACCATATGGTTGCGAAGAGAGAAGTTGAAGAGAGGGCTCAGGTTCCTTTGTGGCTTTCCTATTACAGGGTGGGTAGGTGGATGTCCTTCATGGAGATAGGACTGCAAGTGGCATGCAGCTTTGGAGGAGGTGATGAATTCATTTTGGAGATGTTATGTTGCTTTTACAACATCCAGGTAGTTTAGTCTGCAGGTTAGTCTAGAGATGGGAGAATGACACGTTGAACAGCATGGTGCCCAGTCACATATAAACCTGAGGGTGGAGCATAATTTGAATAAAGGGACAAGGACAGAATCTGGGTCAGGGAGTACAAGGTGGTACAAAGGAAATGGAGAAAACAATCATGAAGATAAAAGGAAGACCAGAAGAGGGTAGTGACAGTAGTGACCTGTGAACAAGAGAGAGGAAAGGTTCTAGAACTTGTGATGCACAGGGTCACATAGTTCCGAGTTTAAAGAGAAGATGAACTGATTGATTAAATGCATGTGTTGGGAGAGTGTGTGACTTCTCAGTTCTATCTCACTGCAACAAAGATTTGAAATGGCAGGCCAGTGTTGCAGCTCAGAATTTTATTTGGTAAACAAAGGATAGTACACCCTTGAGGTGTGAGGGTGGGCCACCCCAAAGGAGAAGCCTCAGCCCATCTTCAGTTCAGTTTAGTTCAGTCATTCAGTCGTGTCCAACTACCCCATGGATTGGAGCACGCCAGGCTGTCCATCATCAGCTCCCGGAACTTGATCAAACTCATATCCATTGAGTCAGTGATGCCATCCAACCATCTCATCCTCTGTAGTCCCCTTCTCCTCTTGCCTTCAATCTTTCCCAGACCAGAATCAGGGTCTTTTCTAAGGAGTCAGCTCTTCTTGGCTTTCTCTTTTTATAGTTTTGTCTCCTTCCCCACTCCCCCCACCCCACCCCCGCCTGCCCTATGCAAATTAGGGCTAGCCTGGAAGGGGGCATGTTTGTTTCACCTCAGGTTCTCACTCAGGTCCGTGGATTTTTCCTTTGTTCCTTTTTCTTGGGCTTTTCCCTTTCTTTGTCTTTTAGCTATTGCCATTTTGGACTCCTTTTTCCTATTTTAACTACCTGATACATGGAGCATTGATGTGGCTGTTGAAAGACTTAAGTGTCACTGTTAGTGAAAGCCAGTAAGGTGAAATGTATGTCAAGTAATAGTTCACTTTACTGTGAGTAAGACTGAGGGGAAGACTAGTTTAGATGGTTGTTGGGGTAATAAGAGTGAGTTGCATCCACTTGTGTCTATGAGTTATCCTTAAAACAGTGAAGAGGGACACTTCTTTCTCTGAGATTGTGGGGAGGGGAAAATGGTGTTTTTTCATTAAGTATACTGGGAGATAGGGAGTCAGTTGGTCCAATTCCACCATCTTTTTAACCAAGGGGTTGAGAAGGAATTATGAGGTTAAAAGTGTTAAAATTTGATGCAGTCATCCTGGAAAAAGTAGACAGTGGTTTTCAGATACCTATGGTGAAGGAAAGAGTATAATTGCTAAGTTGGAAAATTTCAAATTTGGTCTCTTCTGCATCCCTCCATAGGTATAGTGGATGTGACTTGAAAGTAGAGCTGACTGGCACTGGTAAAATAAAAGATTAAAATTAGTGTTCTTTTTGTATGGCTCTGAAGTGTAACCTGTTGTTATTATCAGTCTTGGCAGGCTGTAGCTGAGTCCCATAACCCATCTGAGATTGGAATTTGATAGAAACTTAAAAATACTATTAGTTCCATGTACTCCTGAGCCAGAATTTCAGATTGAACAGAGAAGTTTTGCAGTAGCAAAAATACAACATAAAATCTGTTATTGGCAAGTTTTGCTGTGAGATTTCAGGGTAGTTTTATGACTGATCTCTCTGGCCTTAATGTTAAAAAATTTATCACTTTATCATTGATATTTATTAACACTTACTGTTTAAACTTTTGAAAATTTAATTGCATTCCAACTTATTGTGCATTCTTTAAAACTAAGTGAACTTTTACCTTTAAAAGCAACGTGGACACTTGTTTCAGCAGCTTGGAATGGCCTCCAGGGAGGGAGTCTTCTTTTTTGGTACTTGACTTTCCTAGCATCAACTCCTTAGTCTGTTTTTTCTTCATTTATTCAACATGTTTATCAAGTGTCTGCTATGTTCACTGTTCTAAGAATGGGGGATACAGTGGTGAGCAAGACAAAGCTTATATCTGAGTGAAATAGACTAAGCATGCATGCTCAGTCATGTCCGACTCTTTGTGACCCCATGGATTGTAACCTGCCAGCCTCCTCTGTCCATGGGATTTTCCAGGCGAGAATACTGGGATGGGTTGCCATTTCCTTCTCCAGAGGATCTTTCTGACCCAGGGATCAAATCCACGTCTCCTGCATTCCAGGTGGATTCTTTACCACTGAACCACCAGGGAAGCCTGAAATAGACTATAAATGAGTAAATATAATCTATCAACTTGTGAAATGCTATGAACTAGAAGGAAAGCAGAGTAAGGAGATGGAATATTAGAGTGCTGATTTTGGAGATAGTGTGGTCAGGGAAGATCTCTCTTGAGCAAACTTGATTGAGGAGAAAGAGAGAGAGTCACTTGAAGAACAAGGCAAGAGACCAGTAAGAACCAATAAGGCGGGATCCTGGCAAAAGCAGGAAGAAGGCCAGTGTGACTGGAAAAGGGTGAGTTGAAGGAGGGGACCTTGCTAAAGTGGTTTGTGTGTTCACATAATTAATCCAGATTAGATGTAGTAATTAATGTGATGTATCCAAATCATCACGTTTGGCAATTATTGTATTTATACTACTGTATTATTTTCACTATAGGATGGAACAAAATTCATTTGTATTGGGGCTCTATATTCTGAGCTTTTGGCTGTCAGCAGTAAAGGAGAACTTTATCAGTGGAAGTGGAGTGAATCTGAGCCTTACAGAAATACACAGGTATTTCATTATATTAAATCTTGCATTAAGGAGCTCTCCAAATCAGTATACAAAATGGTAATCACTTTTCTTATGCTTTCAAAGAATCCTTCCTTACATCACCCACGAGCAACATTTTTGGGGCTAACCAATGAAAAGATAGTTCTCCTGTCTGCAAATAGCATAAGAGCAACTGTAGCTACAGAAAATAACAAGGTATGACATCCTGTGATAAACATTTCTTAAATTCTTGATTTTCTTCCTCTCCCTGCCCCTTTTCCATCTTTTCATTTCTATCTTTATAACTTAAACCTACAAATACCAAGTGTCTTAGGCTTTAGTACTGTAATCCAGTGTATAATCTTTTCTGTTTTATCTCTGTTTTATAATTCAGTTTCAGAGATATCTTTCTACTTTAAGGGAAGAAAAAATATTCAAGCTAAGTGCTGACAAAAGAGATACTGAAGAGTTACAATAGAGGAAGTATAGCTATTATAACTATCCTCAGATTATCAGTTTGACTTTAGAATCACTAAATTCTTTTAAAAAATGTTGGAGCAGATGTTTATTTTCAATTAATGCCTTAGAACCGTCTATTTTAGTACCTACTATTTTGATTGATTTGTGTGAAAGAAGTATTTTAGTTTCTAGTCTTATTAAGAACCTTTTCCTAATTACTTGTTTTCCTATCCTTTAGAATTCTGGTCCACAGTGTAGATATTCCTTGCTCTTTTTTTGACCACAGTCCCTTTGAAAAGATTACGTGTTTTTACTTGAGCTTGTGATATTTTATTCTTCAGGTTGCTACCTGGGTGGATGAAACTTTAAGTTCCGTGGCTTCTAAATTAGAGCACACTGCCCAGACTTACTCAGAACTTCAGGGTGAACGGATTGTTTCTTTACATTGCTGTGCCCTGTATACGTGTGCACAGCTGGAGAACAATTTATACTGGTGGTGAGTATCACAGAGTTGGTATTTCTTACCAGTGGAGGCTTTTATGTACATTATTGTTGTTCAGTCATGTCCGACGCTCTGCAACCCTATGGACTGAAGTGCCCCAGGCTTCCCTGTCCTTCATCATCTCCCATAGTTTGTTCAAACTCATGTCCATTGAGTTGGTGATGTTTATGTACGTAGATAGGTGCTTTAAGTAGTCAAAGCAATAGAGAAGGTCAGTTTAAAGATAATGCTTTAGACTCACAGACATAGAAAACAAATTTGTGGTTATCAGTGGGGTAAGGGGGCTTGGGAGAGATAAATTAGGAGTCTGGGATTAGCAGATACAAACTACTATAAATAGGTAAACAGTAAGCTCTTACTGAATAGCACAGGGAACTATATTCAGTATCCTATAATAAACCATAATGGTAAAGAAAAAATAGAATATGAAAAGAATATATACATATTGTATACTTTATACATATTATACATATACTCTTTTTCATGTTCTATGTATATGTATAGCTGAATCACTTTGCTGTGCACCAGAAACTGATGCAACGTTGTAAATCAACTACAATTAAAAAAAAAAGATGCTTATACAGAGGGAAATTTTCACCTTGGAGCAAAGTAACATTGAAAATAAACCTTAAGATTAAAAAAGGTTACAAAAATAATATATACTTAGTGACTATAATTATGAAATTTTTAAAAAGTATAAGTAGAAATAAAAATCACTTATAATCCTACAACCTGAATATAACTACTGTTAACATTTTGGGGATGTTTTATTAATTTTTTTGGTGTATATAAATGTGTATTTTGCTTAATTAGAAACAGTATTTTTCACACTTTTTTCATTTAACAGTAACATAAAATAGAAATTTGAGTTATTAAGGTATTTCATTGCCTGAATATTCTGTGCCTCACTTTATTCCTTTAATTTTCAAAAGGGACTTTAAATATGTTTTCTGTTGTGTTTTAAGAAATCAACAACTTTGCATTAGTAGAAATAACAAAGGGAGATCTACTAATTAAAACAATTAGTTAAATTAAACTAATTAAACAGAAGAAAATATCAAATGATGAATTTCCTGTAAATTTTAATCCTTAATGATTAAATAAGGGTTAATAATAAAAGTTAGTCCAATTATATACTGTCAGACCTGTAATCAAGTTATTATTAATAAGTTGCACATGTTAATAGTTAATATTATGCTGAAGCAAAAATGTTAGAGAAGGAATATACCAGTAATAGTTAAATACAATGTGTGAAATTTTAGATTTGTTTAATGGCTTCTTTGCTGCTTATTTGTCCAATTTTTTGCTCTTCACTTTTAGGGGTGTAGTGCCTTTTAGTCAAAGGAAAAAAATGTTGGAGAAAGCTAGAGCAAAAAACAAAAAGCCCAAATCTAGTGCTGGTATTTCTTCAATGCCGAACATCACTGTTGGTACCCAGGTAAGTGATTAGAATTAAGTCTATCTTAAGGGACATTGTTGCTCTTCAAAATCAGTTTCTTCCCCTGTAGTCAATTCCCCAATAGACAGTTTTATAAATGAATGTCATTTTGAAGGACCAAGTCCTAGTAGTATGTATGTGCCACATCACTTTTTATTCAATAACTGAGTCACGTATAGATTCTGCCCTGATGTCAGTTGGTTTTCCTGTGGGGCAGGGATTCCTAGATTTGCCTGATTTTAGTAATCATTCTGTACTTAACTGTATAGCCAGAAACTTTTATTCCTTCAGTTGGTTGCTGGTAGGACCCAGTCTTCATTGTGTTTAACAAATATACCAGATGATTCTTAATGACCAAGCAGTTTGAAAGATTTTGCTCTCTGGTCATACTGTCAGCATGAGACAGGAGGTTTCATCAAATCCCTGTGCTTCTGCTAGTTTCTGTGTTTTGATTCTGAGATGGTTTTGAAGGAGGAATCAGAGTTCTTGTTTGCGGAGCCAAAGAATGAAATCCATGAACACAAATGCTCACAGTAGCAAGTGAATAGGATTTATTAGGAGGAAAGTACAAAGCTCTCAGCATAGACACTGAGGTGGGGGGGGTAAAGAGTCCCCCCCAAAACGTGGGGATTACAGCAGTTTTATATCTTTACCAGTATTAATCTGTACATTTTTGGTTGGTTCTGTCCTTAAAATCCATTATTTTTAACCAACCAATTTAAAGGTCCAGATGCTTAACTTAGCATCTTTATGGCTTCTCTTGATCCTCGGATTAAGTCACCACCCTTCTTCATGCCCACTGGCCATTTTATAATAGACCAAATGTGTGGGTTTAAGATTAATGATCCCCAGTTGTTTTTTCCTCAGCATATGAAACAGAAGTTAATTACTGCTGTTCCCTGGATCTGAGTGCGATAATTTATCAGTCAAAGACATAGTGCTAACTGCCAAGTCTCTTCAGTTGTGTCTGACTCTTTGTGACCCTCTTTGTAGCCCACCAGACTCCTCTGTACATGGGATTCTCCAGGCAAGAATACTGGAGTGGGTTGCCATTTCCTCTACTAGGAAATCTTAACCCAGGGATTGATCGCACTTCCGTTATGTCTCCTGCATTGCAGACAGGTTCTTTACCACTAACACTACCTGGGAACCCAGACCAAGGATACATTTGGAGGGAGATGTTTATTGAAAACAAGGTCTCAGAGTCCTACATTGCCTAACAATTTCTACCTCACTTTTAGGCTCATATATCTGATGGAAGGTGATTTTCTAGTATCCCAATGGTTCTCAAAGTGTGATCCAAGGACTCCTGCTGCCTTCTCAGCTCTTTCAGGGGATCTGTAGAGTCCTTCTTTTTCCAGTTACCTATCTTTGTTAAGGCTGAGTTGTCTTTATATACTTTAGCTAAAGTAACATATCATGGCAAATTGAATGCAAAAAGCATACCTGGGTCTCCAACTGTCTTACATTAAATTAGACATTGAGATCTACAAAAATGTAAACAATGCTACTTTTCTTGGCTGATTTTTTTTTTTAATGTAGCTTTTTTAAAAAAATATGCATGTTAACATAGGGTTTTTAAATTTTAAGTAAATACTTAAAGTTATCAATTTTAATTACTAACATGTTAAATACCAACTATAATCCATATAAATGAAACATTTTGGGGTCCTTGGTAATATTTAATGGGGTAAGATAGTCTTGAGGCTGAAAAAGTTTAAGAACTACTGTTATACTTCTGATTCATTAGATTCTTATAGGAATTTATCTTCAGGATAAAAGTTGATGTTTATATTATTATAGCAAGTGCTGCAATGAGTGTTTAAGGACTTAAATCTCTTTTATTGCATGACATGGCACTAATTCCCTCATCTAACATTTTGTTTTAATTCAGCTTTTTCACTATAAGATGGTATCATTTACATTACCTGTTTCTTACAAAGTAATTACTAGTTTAGCTATTTTGTCTAAAACTCAGTTTAATAATGTATTTGTTATATTTGTTTGGGGCTTCATTTTCTTTTTTTGTCCTATTTGTGGTTGTCTTGTTCTGGCTCCTTTGTAGCCTTGCTGCTAGGAAGTTTTTAGTGATGACCCATTATTTTGGTTATTTGTTGTTTAGTCTTAATTATTTATGTCAGTTGCTTCAGACAGATCTCTCACTTCTAGTGGCTAAACTTTACTTATTCAGTTCACATACTGATCTCTTATGTTTCCAAAATTCCTTATTTATTCAACTCACGTATTAGCCGGATATCCTAGCAGATGCCTTATTAGCATATAGGATGACATTACTATAGGCAGGGAGGGAAGAAAAAATCCTTTAAATGTGCACTGAAGGAAAGCTTTAAGCAAAATGGCTTGGCACTAAATTGCTGGAAAAGAGCAGCATATTCCAATACTTCAGTGCAGAGTTAAGGTTCTGTTTTGAAGTGTAGGAAGCAGGAAGATTAAGGCAGCCATGGCCACAGAATGGGGAAAGCATTCATATGTTAGCATCAGAAAAAATTGTTGATCGGCTTCCCTGGTGGCTCAGAAGGTAAAGCATCTGCCTGCAATGTGGGAGACCTGGGTTCAATCCCTGGGTTGGGAAGATCCACTGGAGAAGGAAATGGCAATCCACTCCAATACTTTTGCCTGGAAAATCCCATGGACGGAGGAGCCTGATAGGCTACTGTACAAAGGGTCACAAAGAGTCGGACACGACTGAGCAGCTTCACTTCTAAGAAAGAGTTTGCAGCAGCACCTGCATTCACAGATCATAACTGTTGAGAGTAGTTTGTTTAGCAAATATTCCTTGCATGTCTGTTATGTACTGGATTTATACCTCTTTGTCTTTAAGGTGCATTTATTTTTATTCTAGGATATTAATAACTTATTCTCTAATATAGTTTGCCACATTTCTTTTATAATTATAGCCTTTTTATTGATCCTCTTTCAGGATTTAAGCTTTCACCGGCATTTTTTGAAAATTTATGGATGAAACTTCTCTTTTAAGTCAAGCTAAGCATACCCTTTCAAGAAGTTGTCTCTTAACTATTCATTCTATGCCACAGAACTGTATTTAATGATAGAACTTTTACTCTTTGTCAGTATTTCCAGTTCCTATACTCCTGTGTGCTACCTTCTTCTGTATGACTTATATTTAATTATAACTCCCATCCCCAAAATCTTTTTATATGCCACAGTCAAGTGTAAGGTAATCATTAGTTATTGAATGACTGAACAGAATGTCAGTAAGTTTTGGGCTACTTTAGAAATCAAAAGAGATTTCCAGACACAATGTTCATATCACAGTAGTAGCTTTTGTTGGTGCATTTGGCAGGGCCACCTTACGAGTTACTGGTTTTAGAGTATGACCTGGGGGTACTCCCTGGCAATAAGAATTTATAGGTTTTTCACTCTTGAACTCAGTTAACTTCTAACACTAATGTCTACATATTCTGTTTTTTTTAATGTAAGAGAAAACTTACATTATCTAGTTCAAATTCTAGCTTATAGAAAACAATCTTCTGAGGGAAACAAATACCTGTAGAGGTGAAGTTTACGGAGCCTATATATAGCATCATGAATTAAGGGAGAAAATAATTTCAAATTATAAGAAACAACAAAAAAAATTGTTTTGTTTACATTTTACTTTTAATAACCTTTGTACTTTCTTCTCTGCTGTTTCTCTTCTATGTCCTTGTGGCAGAATGGTCAGGGTATTTGCTGCATGAAATATCAGTTCAGTTCAGTCACTCAGTTGTGTATGATTCTTTGTGACCCCACGGACTACAGCAATCCAGACTTCCCTTTCCATGACCACTCCCGGAGCTTGCTCAAACTCTTGTCCATCGAGTCAGTGATGCCATCCAGCCATTTCATCCTCTCCTCCTGCCCTTCACTCTTTCTCAGTATCAGGGTATTTTAGTTTGTTTTTAGCAAGTGTGCAAAAATTATTCCTGCTCTTTGATTTTGGTAACACATAACTCTTCTAGTTTGTTTAAGAATTATGTCATTCTGATGGTGATTTTTCTTTTGTTTGCTAGGTATGCTTAAGAAATAATCCTCTCTATCATGCTGGAGCAGTTGCGTTTTCAATTAGTGCTGGGATTCCTAAAGTTGGTGTCTTAATGGAGTCGGTTTGGAATATGAATGATAGCTGTAGATTTCAGCTTAGATCTCCTGAGAGCTTGAAAAGCATGGACAAAGCTAGCAAAACTACTGAAGCTAATAAGTAAGTACTGTGTCTTAACTAATCTTGATTTTTCTAGTTTGCTTTGTATGTAAAGGAAGATAATCAAGGGAGACTTAAGAGAGGTGTATGGTGACTTAGAAAAGTGTTAACATGTGGGGGTCTTGTTAAGATCCCCCCGAGTTTTGACAGGAACTGGTAAAATGTATTATTTGCAGTTTTGTCCATATTTGTATATTACAGTTATTCTTAATGTTTAGTGGCCAGAAGGGCCAATGCAGAGTTCTCTCTTGATGTCTTTGTTTGATCGTTAGAGTGTATCCTTTGAAGGCGGTGTAGAGCAGTGACAGTGTGTTCAGCCTTACTGTCTTAGGCTGACTTTTCCCTACTCTCTTCATGGGTAATCATCTTAATTCCTACCTAACATCTTGCCTGCATCTTGATCACTGGAAGAGTTTTATAGGTTAATGTACTGGGGAGGGAAATGCTATAAAGGATTTTTGTGAACTTTGGGGTGGGGGATAATGTGAACAGAAATAGCACTGAATTGTATAAAACCTACATTCTGGAGCTAGCTTACTATTTGGGAGCCATGTACAGATCTTAACACCTGTACTTTTAGAAGCATCTACTCATCTTTAAAAATACTGTGTATTATAATTTGGCTATTTGGTACTTGAGCTTTAATAAAGTTTCAAAATAGCTTTTTTCTTAATTTTATAAAAATACTTGAACATTATAGAAATATGGAAAAGTAATATAATATCACATTGCAGAAATAACATTTTAAATATTTCGATGTACTCTTTTTCTAAATGTATACAAGCAATTGAAAAGAAATGATGGGGACTATACATACAGGGTTTTACATTTCTGTAACTTTTTAGTTCAAATGAATATAATGATTCTACAAGGATTACTGCTAAGTTTAAAAATATTCTTTTGTAATTCGTGCCTGATTAAGGTTTTTTGCTTTGTTTTGTGCTTTAGACTCTGTCTTGTTTTTAAAAATAGATTTATAGACTTTCTCTCTGCTTATATTGATTCTTTTTTTAATCTTAAAAGCAGCATTTATGAAACCTTGTAAAGGGTATTTGAAATCTTTTTGATATGCATAAAATGAGATTAAAATAGGTTGTATTTATATTTTGTTATTAAGATTTTCAGAATCTTCCTTGAGATTTGCCATCTATATTAGTATACTTAGTAAAAGAGTTAAAGTGAAATTAAATGTTAAGACGGTAATAATTTTCATGTCAATAGATGGAAATGTGTTGACTTTAAGCGTGCTAGTGATGAGTCAGTACTGGCTGGCTTCCACCGTCACAAGATTTGCAGAGCAGCCATGAGTATTCATGTATGCTTGTACGGAGCACATTGCTAAGATGCTTGTGAACATAACTCTGTTTTTCTCTGGACTATTTTCTAAACTCAGGTGAAATTCCTGACGGGAATAATAGCAGATGAGAGGATTAAGATGATGGCCCTGATTATAATATATACCAGAATGATCTGTATATGACAGATTTCTGAGTAATACAGGACTTTTCTTTGTAAAAATTTACTTCTGCCATTTAATGAATAAAAACGTTTTATTTTTTATCATCTGTAGTTGCTATAGTTATCTTCTCAAGTATAGCATTAATGAAATAACTGAAGGAAGAAGGATAGTTTATTAATACTATAGTTTTCCATTTCAGTTAGAGCAGGTGGTTATTCTTGAACTATCTGGTGGTTAACAAACTTTTATAAACCATTGCAGGTAGAGTTTTTCTTTTGAACTCTAGGAAATTAATGATCTGGAGGACTATTATTTATTTGCCTTTATCATCTTTTCAGTTAAACTGCTGTATGCAAGTCAGGGTTCAGTAAAGTGTGAAACTTGTTTGCTTGAGAGGCTTATGATAAAGCTGTGTAGACAAATTGAGTGTAGCTTCTGTTGTTATTCCTAGATAAGGCTTATCTGAATCATTGTTCCAAGTTGTTGATAGCTTCACATAGTGTATTTCTTTCCTGCTTTAAAACATTTAAAATTTGAGATGTGCACTGTGTATCTTTTTTAGTACCTTGCACTCTAAAGAATAATGCAGTTTGTACAAGTTTTTACTATTCCATTCCGTTTTGAGAATAAACTTGAGTCTTACTATATAAGCCATTTGATAAGTTCCTGATGTTTTATTTTCCTAATTATAGAGAGAATGTTGTTTCTAACTGCAGGCCTGAAAGTAAGCAGGAACCAGTGAAAACAGAAATGGGTCCCCCACCATCTCCAGCATCTACATGCAGTGATGCATCTTCCATTGCCAGCAGTGCATCGATGCCATATAGTAAGTTTTATGTGTAGTGTACATTGGTCAAACTAGGGTGCCAGGCACACAACTGTGAGGCTGTGTTCAGTTTGTGCTTCTGATTGGAGACGGCTCAGACTATTTTTAGTATAAATCTTTTAGTTTCAATTGTGCTCCTACTAGTTTGATTTTTTTAAATATTTGTTTATTTACCGAACTGTAAGGCTTATGGGGCTTGCAGGATCTTAGTTCACTGACCAGGAATCAGACCTGTGCCCTCTGCAGTGGAAGCGCAGAGTCCTAACCACTGGACCACTAGGAAAGTCTAGTGGTCTTATTTAAATGTAAAAACAATAGTTATAGTGTTGACTATTCTTATTTTTGAGAGTTATAATTTTCCACAGTATATAAAATGCACTGCAGTAATAGAAGGAAATAATGGCCACTCTCTAGAATATCTGCCTGTCTTTGTTGAGACTGTTATTGTAAATTGGTTATGGCCTGGTCACAACTTTTGCCCAGAATTTGTAGAATTTATAAACCGAGGTTTGCTACTGCACCTTGGATATAAAGAAGTTGTGTGTGTTTTTTTTTAAGCTTTCCAAAATAAATGTATTTTTTAGTTGTGGTTGCTTCATACTTGAAATTGAAAGTTAATAGTCATTTTAATAGTCTTGTGTTAATTTTAAGGACAGCCCAACATATCTTCCTTTTTTAAAACTTGGTCCCATAGCCCTAATTTTGAGGGTCCAAAACAAGTTTTAAGTTTTTAAATTTTTTGCAGTTGTTTACTATGTGTTAATATTGTTAAGCATTAATGAATGAATTCATAAAAAGTGAATTTTTTTTTTTTTAACCATGAGTTCATCTAAGTGAAAGTTAGTCACAAAACCTCAATTCAGAAGGCAGTAGTTTGTGAAATATGTTCAGATATCTCAAATATGTATCCCTTTACAAATGATCTTTCTTCATATATTTAGATAAAATCTATAAAGTCTCTTTCACATTTTCTTTTTGGTACTTACCATTTTGTTGTTGTCTAAGAACGACGACGGTCCACCCCCGCCCCCAAAGAGGAGGAAAAGGTGAACGAAGAGCAGTGGTCTCTTCGGGAAGTCGTTTTTGTGGAAGATGTTAAGAATGTTCCTGTGGGCAAGGTTTGTTCAGAATATCTAAGAACTAATTACTAAGTGAACTCTAGTGGTATCGATTATCAAGGAGTTTATGGTTGGTGAGTGCTCATCAGCCCTTTCCTCCAGGCTGCCTTGTCTGTCACCTCTCATCTCTTTGGCCCCATCCTCCCACCTGATGCACCCTGTCTCCTTTGTCCCTGACAGATGGACCGGTGATGATGCTGCCTGTCCTTGAGCATTAATGGTGATAGGCTGCTTTTTAAAAAAACATTATTTTGAAATAATTTTAGATTTACAGAAAAATTGAATATAGATAACATTTTTTGGTACAGTCTGTTCTTTGGGACTGATAATACAGCGTTTTCATGGAGTTGATGTTTCATAACATTTATAAATCTTACTACTATCTTTAAGCTTCCACTTTCTCTTGTGTTCTTCCTAGAGAGGGTCTTGCTCTCTGAGAAACCAAGTGGATAGAGTTCATCAGCTGGATTGTTATTAACTTCATCTTTGTCTTCACACATTCTTAATACAAAATGGGATGATAGCTATAGAATATCTGCAATGTAAATCTTTTCCTGATGGCTTTTTACTTTCTTAAATGTGATGGTCTTTCCTTTATACTTAAAGGACCGATAACTTATGTCCTGCCATTTACAAAGGCTTTTCTCATGTACTAGTCCATTTGATTTTTTCAAATAGAACTCTAGTTTATGAGAACCTTTTTTTTCCCTAAGAAGATCCCACTGGCTTAAAAGTAGTAAGTAACAGAAGTGGGACTCAGGTATTCTGATTTCAGGTGCTGTGCTCAGCTTTTTGTGCATTGCTCACTCTTACTTTGTCCATTATGGTAGCTATTGGCCAGATATATGTAGCAAATTAAATTTACTAAAATCAGTAAAATTTAAAAAGTCAGTTTCCAGTCACATCAGCTCCATGTGCTCAGTAGCCATTTCTGGCTAATGGCTGTCATGTTGGACAGCATGGATGTAGAGTGTTAGACCATCATCACAGAAGTTCTTTTGCACAGTGGGGTTCTAATAACGAGGGAGGGTAGGAGGAATTTGTGGATTGTACTTGATTGCTAAACATCCACACACTAATCACTGGCTGTGTGGGTCAGTTTTCCTACAGAAAATATGTCTTGGATTTAGACATCAACAATAAATTTAGTGAGTGTGTTCAGATTAATTTTATAACTTGATGATCATTGAAGAAATATAAGGAATTTAATGCCTTCAGTGTTAAATTTTCTCAATGAATATAACTTGCATATTGATTTCATATGAGTTAGTGTTAACATTTTTATCATATCTACCTATATTCTAGGTGCTAAAAGTGGATGGAGCCTATGTTGCTGTAAAATTTCCAGGAACATCCAGCAATACCAACTGTCAGAGCAACTCTGGTTCAGATGCTGACCCTTCTTCTCTCCTGCAGGATTGTAGGTTACTTAGAATTGATGAACTGCAGGTAAGTATGGAGGAGTCACCCACTCAGCAGTTGAATGTTAGGACCCTGAGCATTACAGATTTCAGAGCAAAATTCGTTTTTGTGTCACGCAGGTTGTCAAAACTGGTGGAACACCAAAAGTTCCCGACTGCTTCCAAAGGACTCCTAAGAAGCTTTGTATACCTGAGAAGACAGAAATATTAGCAGTGAATGTGGATTCCAAAGGTAAAGATTTTGTAATTTTTCCAGCTGGAGCACTATATATTCTTCCAGTGCTTGTGCAGTAAGTGGGGATAGGATAAAGTGTAACAGTATGGAATGAAGTGTGTCTGTATTTGAAATGTGACTGCAGATGTATAATTTGGTGGGTACTTGCCATTTACTAAAGATGTATAACAATTTTTTTTTAAACATCTGTATTTCTGAAGGTGTGCATGCTGTTTTGAAGACTGGAAATTGGGTACGGTACTGTATCTTTGATCTTGCCACAGGAAAAGCCGAACAGGAGAATAATTTCCCTACAAGCAGCATTGCTTTCCTTGGTCAGAACGAGAGGAATGTAGCCATTTTCACTGCTGGACAGGTATAGAGGCTTATTTTTGCTTTTGAAAATGTATATGACAACATCAGCTTTTTTGTGAAGCTGAGTTTGGTTCTAGTTTCCTTGTTATTAAACTGTTGAAGAATTTAGAATATTCAGCACATTTTTAATAAGTTTTTGTTTGGTCACTGTTACAAGCATATGTAAAATGTAATTTGAAAATAAACACACCTCTTGTAAAAGTCAGACATGTATTTGATTGGGAGCCAAACTTTATTATTTTCCCCTCTGTTATAGGAGTCTCCTATTATTCTTCGAGATGGAAATGGTACTATCTACCCAATGGCTAAAGATTGCATGGGAGGAATAAGGGACCCCGATTGGCTTGATCTTCCACCTATTAGTAGTCTTGGAATGGGTGTACATTCTTTAATAAATCTTCCTGCCAATTCAACAATCAAAAAGAAAGCTGCCGTCATCATCATGGCTGTAGAGGTAATCTGGTGTTTGAACTGCTTGGCATTTCCGTTGAGAAGACCCTGCTGGAGGCCAGGGAGACAGTTTAGATAGGTGATTCATTGCCCCTTCCCTGTAGGAGCTGAGTGTTTTAGGGCAAGAGAGAGGAATCTACCGTTGGTTACAGTGTGAGACAAGTGCTGGGTAAGGCAAAGGTGTAGAAGCACAAAAGGGAGGGGTTAAATTAGACTGTGACGGTAGAGGCTTCTCCGAGGACGTGTTGCCCGGACATAGTTTTAAATAGCCAGGTAGCTGTTTCCTAGACACAGGATAAAGGTAGGAGGTGTTATCCCAGGCATGAAGAGCAGCCTTTGTGAATCTGAGTAATATGTTGGGAGAACTTATACATTCTTTTGATTATTTAAAACTAGAAGATAGGGCTCATATGAAAGGGACTGGGGTGCCTTGAGTGTTAATCTGCGGGACCTGAACTTCCCCTGAAAGCTCGGAGGAGAGGGCTTTAAGCTGCTATTTCTTTTTTTTTTTTTTAAAGAAGATGAGCAGTGGATGGAGAAGCAGCAGAAGTTTAGAGACCAGATAAAAAAGCTCATGTCATTATTCATGTGAGAAACAAAGTGAACTTGAACCCTTGGAAATGAGGAGGGGATGGACTTAAGAGATTTTAAGGAAGTGGAAGCTTTAAAGCTCTGACAGGATGGCAGCAGTAAATGAAAGGAAGGGGTTATTAAAGCTTTGATTTAGGTGATTTCGATGGGGAGATGAGAAATAGGGGGAAACAAATGGGATAAGGTGAGAAGATGAGTTTAGTTTTGAACACACTGTGGCTGAGATGTTTTTGTTAGATGTGGAGGCAACACTTCTGGAAGTTATCAGAGCAATTTGAGCAGAGATTGACCTGATTTGCCTAACATTTTCAAAATAACACTGCTGACACGCTGAGAATACAAGGGGGATAGGTTGGAAGTAAGGGGGCCAGTTAGGTGGAAGGTGCTTGGCCCAGGAAGTGGAATGATGAGTGACTAGACTCTAGATATCCTAGAAATGTTTTAAAGTAGATCCAACAGGATTTACTTATGGCTAAATACAGGGTGTCATATAGAGGAAGTAAGAGGGAGAATGGTTTTGAAGAATGATGTTGCCATTTATCGAGATGAGGACACTAAGGATGAATGAAGCAGGTTCAGGAGGGTAACATCAAGTTTGTTTAAGGTTCTTTTGTTTTTGACTGCACTGGGTCTTTGTTGCGGCACACAAGCTTTCTCTAGTTGTGGAGCTCGGGCTTAGTTGCCCCACAGCATGTGGGGTCTTAGTTTCCCAATCAGGATGGAATGTGCAGATTCTTATCCACTGGACCACCACAGGCGTCTCTAAGATTCGTATTAGGTATCTAAGAGGAGTTAGTGAAGAGAGAGTTGGGCGTGAAAGTTGGAAGACCAGGAGAGAGAGGACCAAGTTAGAGAAGTGTACTTAGGAGCTGTCAGGATATCTGTGATATTTAAAGGAATTAAACTGCATGAGATTACTAAAGTCTTGGAGAAGGAAAAACCTAAGGACTGAGCCATTGAAATAGTCTCAGCATTTAAATGCCAAGAGGTAAAGAGGAATCTGTATAAAGGGACTGAGAAGGAGTTGGAGGAAAACTAGAATGAGTGTTGTCTTGGAAGCTAAGCCAAGAGCGTGTGTCAAGCGGGATGTGTTGTTCAAGTATATCATGTGATGCTGTAGGCCAGTGAGCCTTCACATCATTTAAAAATTCTTGATTTGTTGCCAACATTCCAAGTCACAGGATTTATATTTAAAATTCAGATTTTAAGTTGCTCTTTAAAAGTTAGAAGACCTGGTAACATTGGGCCATCACAAAACATTAATCTGTTCCTTTTAGGGGGCTATGCATGGTCTCTCCAGTTCATTGCAGAGGATGTTTAAAATTTGTTGCTCTGCATTCAGTGTTAGTCACCATTTATTACGTGGTTTATGTTACCTTTTTTTTTTCAGCCAGCTTCCTCCATTCATTTTATACTATATCAAGTGCTTCTGTAGGCCTAATAATGCTATGAACCCTGGACTTTGTCAGCATCTTAATGGTAAAGATAAAACATGCCATCATCCTAGGGGTAGGGATGAAGTATGTCATCATTTATCTTTGTACCTCATTTACCAGGACTTGATGCACAGTACATGTGCAAGAAATTTTTGCCAAACTCTCTGCCTTTTGTTGGACTTCCCAGGTAACTCAGGCAAAGAACCCATGTGCCAGTGCAGGAAACACAGGAGACGTGTGTTTTATCCCTGAGTTGAAAAGGAAATGGAGGAGGAAATGGCATCCCACTCCAGTATTCTTGCCTGGAAAATCACATGGACAGAGGAGCCTGGCAGGTTATAGTCCATGGATTCATAAAAGAGTCAGACACGACTGAGCACGCACACATGCTGCCTTTTGTTATAAGAATAAGTGACAGCATATTGTGATGCAGAATAAACTGTCTTGCTCAGACATAGTAAGTGTGGTATTGATACTGTCAGCATAATGGCCCCTGTATGGTCTAGCAGGTTGGAGATGAGAGCTCCTCTAGAGTAGCTGCTTCTAACCAGACGACTGATTTGTTTGAAAACATTCGATATCACAACCATGTGCAGCAAAATATCTTAATTTTAGTTATTTCAAAATGTACTGTGCTTTTTATTCTTTGGAGAGATTTTGACATATTCTCTCAATGTATTGATTAATGCATATTTGCCACTAGATTTTGACAAATTTAGTCCTGTGTGGCCCACCTCATGTTCTTGAACTGGAGTTTGTAGTTTATGGGGTCACTTCAGAGCCGTAGTTAGTTCCACAGTCCAAATGGCCTGTTTCACACGAGTCACATGCTGAAAACAGCTTTTTTGGTAGTTTGTAAAGAGGTGGCAAGTTCAAAAGCATCTCTCTTCTTTCCTTTGTATTTCCATATATTTTTTTCCCACCTGCTTTCCTCCAGTTCCTAATTTTAGTTAAACGAATTTTCTTGTTTTCCTTAACTAATGCTTTACATTCAGTCCATTAAGTGTCCTATAACTATAGTTTACATTCTGAAAAAAGTACATTTCAACTCTTTGATATATTAATGCTGTATCTTAGTTTGTTTAGGCTGCTAAGGTCAGAGTGACTTAAACAGCTGAAATTTGCTTTTCATAGTTCAGGAAGGTGGAAAGTTCAAGATCAAGGCATGGGCAGATTTGGGGTCTGATGTGTTCTTTCCTGGTTCATGGATGGCCGTGTGTTCTCACACAGTCAGTGCGAGGGGGGATCTCTGGTCTCTTCCAGTCCCTTTAAGATCAGTGATCACCTTGATGAAGGCTCAACCCTCATGACCTAATCACTGTCCAAAGGCACTACCTCCAGATACCATTACCTTGGGGATTATTAGGCTTCAGCATGAATTAGGAGGGAGCAAATACTCAGTCCCTAGCATGCTGTTTCTCAGGTAGAAAATGGTACGATCCATAAGTAGTTTATCATGACTACCTTGTCTGTGACAATGAAGTGTGTATTTAGCTGTCACCTTCGGGGAAGTGTGTCTGTCGTGATTTCTGGGGAGGTAAAGGTTTTCGCTTTCATAGTGTGATGTAACCTTAGCGAGCACAGGAGGGTGAGAATAAGCTTGGAGTGAAATGTATACCCTGTGCTTAATCGGCTAACAATATCAATAGGGTTCTAGTTTGCTAGTTGTTTATGACGTAAATAAGGGTTCTGTAAACTAGTGGGACCTCCTAGGTGGCGCTAGTGGTAAAGAACTCACCTGCCAATGCAGGAGACTTAAGAGATACGAGTTCAGTCCCTGGGTCGGGAAGATGCCCTGGAAGAGAAAACGGCAACCCACTCCAGTAATTCTTGCCTGGAGAATCCCATGGACAGAGGAGCCTGGTGGGCTACAGTCCATAGAGTCACACAGAATCATACCTGACTGAAGCAACAGCACACACACAAACTACGATGTGTAGGTCCAGTCCAGCCCCTCCCGTTCATCATTTGCACCTTGTACATCTGACTCATTTCCTGCTGCAGTTACTGAGTTGAGTTAGTTGCAGAAGCTGAAAATATTTACTGATCCTTTGCAGATCACTCTTCCATTCCTGTCAGTTGTTGTCTCTGCTTAAGGATATCTTTAAGTTAAGTTCAGCTTCTTTTGCCAGGTCACCTTAAATTGTCTCTACTTTCCGCAGAGCTGATTTTATTATTGTGTTGGCCATGTGAAATTTTTGACATGTGTATTGTGGTATGCAAATGCATTGACGTTTTTTTCCTAATTTGTCTGAGCACAGAAACAAACCCTGATGCAGCACATCCTGCGCTGTGACTACGAGGCCTGTCGACAGTATCTTATGAATCTTGAGCAGGCAGTGGTTTTAGAGCAGAACCTACAGGTGCTGCAGACGTTCATCAGCCACAGATGTGATGGAAATCGAAACATTTTGCACGCTTGTGTGTCTGTTTGCTTTCCAACCAGCAATAAGGAAACTAAAGAAGAAGAGGGTGAGATTAAGAACTATAACATGATCTTTAAAAGGAATTTTGGGCAATTTTGAAAATACAAAAATTACTGAAAGAAAGGAAAATCACTGTAAAGAATTTGTCTATGTATTTTCACTTGACTTTGTAAAATCTTGGCGTTTCAGAAGGTAACATTCTCAAAAGGTAAAAATGCCTGTTCTTTTGATAGGATGAGTAGATAACATGAGTAAGTAAATTTTTCATCAGTGTGTTTCTGTTGTCTTAAATTCTCTTTTTTAATACAAACTATATATATAGAATCCTTAAGAGCTTTACTGGTTTTATAATTGTAGGTGACTTTTATTACCATGGGACTTACTTAGCAAGTTAAGTCAAATTATATGGAGGCAACTTTTATCCCAATTTTTAGAATGTAGAGGAGAAAATAGTTATTAGATATTTTTGGAAAAGTAAATAAACTTTTCTTTTTGCCATAAGGTTTTTAATTGGCTGATTAAAGGGAGGAAGCTGAAAACCTGAAGTGCAATTGTGTAATTCATATTGGTTTTCCTTATTTTGAATTCTACTGATGACATTGTGGTAGCTAAATCTTTGAAGAGTGGTTTTCAAGTTTCTGACTTTTTATTCATTATCATTGTCTGACTAAAGGATTATAAGTAGTGCATAAACTAAGACTGAGGTCCTGATATGTCAGCCTTTTCTTCCTTGGTAGTGAGAGCTACATTTCAGCCTGCTTGTGAATAATACTTTTTATCTTGCGGGGTTGAAAAGTAAGGCAGAATAAGGAAATAATTCATGTTAAAAGTCATAGTTCAATCTAGCTTAAGTGTTTATTCCCCTGAGGAGGCAAAATTAAACTGTTATCCCTAGTGTGTGAATTAGAACACTAAAACAGAAGTTAGCACTTAATGGCTTGTACATACTTAATCTCTTAGTTATTTTTTGAAGTTTAAATTGATCCTAATTTTTTCTCTTATGTTTCAGAAGCAGAGCGCTCTGAAAGAAACACATTTGCAGAAAGACTTTCTGCTGTTGAGGCCATTGCAAATGCAATATCAGTTGTTTCAAGTAATGGCCCAGGTAATCGGGCTGGATCATCAAGTAGCCGAAGGTAATGTGATTTTTACCAGGGAAGTTCAGTTGATGGAAATGTAATCCAAGTACAGAAAGAAATGTATCTGTTATCTCTCATATGCATGAATTGGTGGGTCCTTTTGTTTTGTTTTTTGTTCCTTCGAATATCAGTCTGGGAAAAATATTTGACAGTATCTCGTATTTAGGTATAGAAAGGACCTAGGATCTTTCAAAAATTTGAGGTTATTTAGACAAGTAGTTTAAACTTGATTCTTTGAATGTGTTTTAAATTTTTCATCATTCTTTTTTCCTAGGAAGTTATTTTCTTTAGTTGGAGAACAAATAATATGATAATTGAAAGAACCTCAATCTTTTATTTTCAGATTGTTTATTTAGTTCAGTCTCTCAGATATACTAATGATCTGGGAAGAAAAGAAAAGCTGGTGTATATTATGAATGTTCAGTATTTAAAATTTTCAGGCTTTCAGAGTTCTGGGATGGACAAAACTTACAACACATTAAAAATTACTAGATGTTTGAATAGATGAAGACTATAAAGAATTCAGGATATAGGAGTTTCTTTTTTTTCCTGAAGAGAAAAAGCACATTTATATTAGACATGAGACCCAGAATTCTTGGATGCTTCACAAATCATTAATGTCAAAGCACTGCTTACTGTGCTCATGTTGTAAAGTCAACTTAAAATGAAGACTCTCTTTGCCTATTTGCTGTTCTATATTCAACTCTCCCTTTTAAAAATGATTCTTCTAAAATTGGTTCCAACCTGAGAGCTTCCCAGGTTCAAAAACATTCTGAGGTGAGATTTATCAAAAACTATTTATGGATGACCAAATTATAATTTAAAACCGTACAGAAACATTATATAGACTATGCAAAATGGAAATTATCACCAGCTTATTTATTCAGGACTGCACTAGGCAGACAAAGTGTTTGGTCTAAAATGGAAAGTGACTTAAATTCTTCATGAAGAAATTAGTGTCTGAATTATTTCAGGTATTTCATTTCCTCAGGGAAAATACAGGTTGAAATCAAGTTGGACTCTGATATGGTTGGTCCAATACCAGTGCTGCCATCTTTTTTTCATGTAAGGATTATTTTGAAGGCAAAGACTAAAAGGAGCTTCAGGAGTGGGTGATGTGTTGCTCACAGAAATAATTTGCAGAGTAAGCTCCTTTGAGGCATTTGCCGAAGATTTCACTGCAGTGCTCTTAACCAGTTCAAACTCAGGGCTGCCGGTTGAACAGATGAAAGCACAGGAGTCTTATTATCCACGCCGGGCAGTAGGAAGTCCACAGACTCTGCTTCATTGAAGTGAAACCCTCCTCTAGCCTACAATGGATTTTCTAGGCGATGCCCCTTGATGAGTATGCAGGCTGGGATTCATGAGCTGTAAGCTCAAAACCGATGCAGTTTCAATATTGAATGGAGTACTGTTAAATGCCTTCAGATGATGATTTGACTGAGAAGTTTTGTTATGTGACTGAATAGTGCCTGAGTTCAAAGGGCAGATTTAGTGGAAGGCTTGATTGATGCATCTGATTGCAGGTGTATGTACTCTAGAGATTATTAATCTGGAAGACACATGACCTTCGCTTTTTTGTCACAGTGGTATGTTTGAACATGACTGGATTCTAAGGCTTCTGTAGCATGGATATAACGTGCTTACAAAGAGGAAATTACATCATCCTTGAATTCTTCCATATTGTCAGAAAATACGATGACTCCAGGCAAGCCTATACGAAGAAATGTCAAAACTCTGAATCTTAGCAGCCAAGGTGGTATCTCCTCAGTATTGTCCTCAGCCACTGAGGATACAGGTGAATCTTCATGAATTGTGTACAACATCTTGAAGAATAATTTTCTTTTTTTTTTGTTTTTTGTTTTTTTTTGTTTTGAAAGAATCTGTAAGAGGAGCTGGGCATTGTATTTAAAAATATTCCCAAGACCTAATGAAGAAAAGAGGTTAAGGACAATTTTTTTTAATGACAAGGAATGACCCCTCATTTAATATTGAATTGACTACATCACAACAACAAAGTTGGGAGTTTGCAAGTTCAAGATGAGACTATGGTCTCAATTTATCTTCATACTTATTCTTAATCTGCTCCAAGCTAGAGATTGGAGAATAGCCCATATGTTTTGTTTGGCCTGTGCAATGTTAAAAATTTTTTTTTTCTTTAACATTTGAATGCCTTTAGATGAGCATGCACACACTTCTAGTTTGCCATGACCCCCTACTTCTTACACCTAACTGTCCTTTCCTCAATTTATGTTACTTTCCAGGCCCAGTAGGCATTGCGTTTGTGACCCTGGTGTAAGCATTCTTCTTGATAAGCCCAAAACATGCATTTATTTTCAGGTGATTTGCACTGCTTCCCAATTATTGCTGACTCTTTCTCTCTCTCTGTGTGTTTTCAGTAAGACACATTAGGATACTGAATTTCTGTGTTGAGCTTAATTAAAATTGTGTCAGAGCATCACAGTGTGAACAGTCACCCGGGCGTGTGCTCTTTTGGTAGCACTGCCATGCTCTGTGGGTGATGTCTTGGACAGGGAAGTGAACTTGACTGAAATAAGTCACTGTTCCCTGCTCCCCTCCGTATTATAAGAGCTCTTGGACTCAGATTTCTAAATTGGGAGAGAGAAGACTTGTTACCATAAAAGAATTAACTGTAGGTATTTTTTAATAGTGCATACTGTAATGACTAACATATTTTTTAGACATTAAAATTTACTTTGCAGAATCTTCCAAAAAAGTTACTCTAACAAAAGATATATTATCATACACAAGCCTTATAAAGTAGCTATGTTCCTGAAGGTAGCTTCTAAAAGAAATTTTGGTAAATACTTAAAAATTTTTTTTTCTTTATGAAACTGAAAGTGTATTGGTCTGGAGAAACACATATACCCTCGGATTAAATTCAAGCATTAATACAAATTACTCTGAATTACTTATTTGCAGACATATAATGTGTACGTGGTAAGATGTTAGGTTTTTCACATCAGAAATGTCATATCTTTGGGATTAAATCTGCCTAGAAGAAAGAAGTCCCTGATGTGTGGCCTGGCCCTTAAAACTGAATTCTTACTTTTTATTCATTTAAAAGCTCTAAAATCGTGGCCGAGTGAAGGGATTTGCCTTATGCGCTCTCTCAATTGCTGCTAGTTCTTAATGTATTAATTTTGTAGCCTTTGTAAGCTTTTATTCAGAGGTACAGATTTTTGTACAGGTAGTTCACTAGTTCCCCAATGAAGTCTTGTGTTTGTGATTATTTTTTAGTGATGTGCACACCTGTGCCATATTTTTTTCTGTATAGCAGGAAGAAAAATATATCCATGCCCAGACAATAGTCTAGTAACGTATTTTATAAGCTCCAATTTTATTCTTTAATTTCCTTGGGATGAAGTTGTATTGTTAAACTTTTTTGTATAAAAAATAAATCTAAATTGGTCTTTGTTTGAAAACTACTTACTGTGTGGATATTAGTTCACTTGCTTTTGAGATCACAGAAAGGGATTTAGTGGGCTAACAATATTGGTTTTGTGCTAATACAAATGTTTTGTTAATGTCTATATTAAACTTAATTCTTACTGGTGATAAACAGGGGACAGAATTTTTTTTGTTTTAATGTTCAGCTGTTCATTTATCTTAACTGTATAAAAGATTATTTCTAATTTTACTTCACCGCAACTTTTGTTCCCTGTGCTTAAGTTTGTGTGGGAGCTTAATACAGTGGTTTTAAGCGCTGAACTCGGTTCTGGGATCCCCCAGTTGAATTTCTATCCCTGCTGACTTATTTCATGATTCCAGAATGGGCATTTGTGTCACTTTCCTGCCTGGAGTATTTGCTTGTAGAACAAACTTTGATCTCAGATGAGAAGTTCTGTGCACCTTATTATTACATTTAGACATAGTAGTGAGCTCTGGTTTTGTCCATGTTCTTCTAGTTTGAGATTACGGGAAATGATGAGACGTTCATTGAGAGCAGCTGGTTTGGGTAGACATGAAGCTGGCGCTTCATCCAGTGACCACCAAGATCCAGTTTCACCCCCCATAGCTCCCCCTAGTTGGGTTCCTGACCCTCCTGCAATGGATCCTGGTAAGCCCTGTTATTTTGTTTAGTGTTAAACAAAAAGATAACGTCATGAAAGAAAAGAAACAATTCAGTGGGGTATTTAGAAATCTAAAATAGTTAAAAATTGGCATAATGAGTATTATAACTAGTCTATGAAGATTTGGTTTAAGGTGTTTGTAAGTTAAAACTTAAAATTCTAGGAAGTCTTGTTAGATAGCCCTCTCCTACTGAAACACATATTTCTATACCGATAAACCAATTAGTATTATATTAAGTCAATAATTTGTCTGGTGGGTTAATCCTCTTATAGTTTGGGAAAAAACTTTCCACTTAAACGTCTGTCCGATTTGACCTTTGGCTTGCAGAGAAAAGCCTTAAGGCCAGTTAAATGAACTTGGTAGGGATATGTTTCCTATAATGATGTACATCCTGCTGTTCTGTTTACTGAAAGATGGTGACATTGATTTTATCCTGGCCCCTGCTGTGGGATCTCTTACCACAGCAGCGACTGGCACCGGTCAAGGACCAAGCACCTCCACCATTCCAGGTGAGAATCTCTACTATTTTATCTACCTGTGTATTTGGAAGATAAAATACACACTTTGTATATAGATTTCTAGAGATCTACACTTTATCTCAAGGAGACTTTTCTTGGCTTAAAATATGTCTAATTCTCTTGACTTATGTTCTATATGTCAGTGAAGTTATGGTGTGTATGTGCATGCATTTCATCAGTTGAGATTTGTAAAACGTGTTAATGTGTTTAAATTTTCTGCCATGAAGTTACTAACTTGTTACTAATACCAGAATATTTTTCTGGTGGTTTATTTGAAAGATCCTTGGTATGTTATTCTAGAATAGTCTTTCACTCTTATTTTGTATACTCTTGTTTTGTTACCAAATGGATGTGCTTAATTGCAGGTCCTTCCACGGAGCCGGCTGTAGTAGAATCCAAGGATCGAAAGGCCAATGCTCATTTTATATTAAAATTGTTATGTGATAGTGTTGTTCTGCAGCCCTATCTTCGAGAACTGCTCTCTGCCAAGTAAGAAGTTTAATATACTTTTGATATAAAGATTTAGCTTAACTCCTTTTACTGTTAGGTCAGTCTTCTTGCAGTATATGAAACAACAATTATCTTCATTGAATTTAAGATAATTTATCACATTCTAGCATTCTATTCTCTGTTACTAACTTCCCTTTAGTGAAAAAAGCCTTCTGAATACAATACAGATAAACTAAATGAATACAGGGTGTATCTTTGTATGTTAGCTTGATGAGGGTGTATATTTGTTTGTTAAAAAGATCACGGTACAGTTACCCACAAATGTTGAATCTATAAGTTAGTATATATCACTGTCACCTGGAGAACTTGAAAAATTATACAGATTCTTCCCCAAGCTTTACACTAGAAGTATGACTTTCTTGGTAAATATTCTGTTGTAAATGCTCATTAACCATTAATAGGTTACATCTCTACTTTTAGTATGATTGTTTATCTTCCTTTACAGACTCATAATAGTTGTATAATAGTTATTAATCTGTACCAAATTCTACTTGCATTAATTCTCTTATTCTAGATATAACTGTCTGGAGTAGATAATTTGCAGCAATGGGCTTAGAGGTAATTAACTTGCGCAGGATCCCAAAACCTAGTGAGTGGCATAGCTGGAATTCCAGACCTGGTCTCTGTCTTTATTACAGAACTGAAATTCCCAGTTATGACCCTTATGCCACCTTTCCTACTTAAGTACAAGAAGATGTTTTGAGTTTTTTTTTATATTTGAGGACAAGGGAGTTTTCCTGTTTAAGCCTTACTACTCTTAGGATGAAAATGACCACATTTATGAAATTATGATTATTTTAATGAAGGCTGCCCCATTAGTAAAATAAGTCTTTGGATTGTAAATACAGTTATTACTACAGAAGCATCTTACTAATTTGTGGTTTGAGGCATAGATAAAAATACACACACACACACCCCTTTCTGCTTTTATTTCACTTGTCATTTTTGTTGCATTTATGTCATTTTTTTTTTTTTTTTTGGTGAAAATTACTTTTTTATTTTTATTTTTTTAAATTAATTAATTAATTAATTTATTTATTTTTTTATCACTTTTTATCACAATATGTCATTTTTAAGTATATTATCTTTGTATGATTTTCTTGTGCTGTTGTATGAAAAGTTATTGTATGTTCTTATTCCCTTTCTCTTTGTTATTAATCCATCTTGTATTTCTACAATTAATTTCTGTTTTGCTAGTCCTTTATTTTAGTACCCTCACAATGGTTGACTTTTTCCTTCTTTATCTAAGAAAATATATATCTGGAAAACACCAGATTAATAAACTGATGTATTAATAAGCTGGTATTAGGAGAGGTGGTGTTCTTTTGCCTGACATTTAGGTGAGAAGTATAGAGATTATCAAACTGGCCCTTTTTTGCTTTTTTTATACTACAAATATAGGAGAATTTTCTAGAGCTGCTAACACAATTTCCTATGTGGTATATTATTTACCATGGAGATGACTCAGTTTTGTTTTTTTTTCCCTTGTGAAGTAGAATTGACCTAAAATTATATTTGTTTCAGGTATACAACATACTAATTTGATATTTATTTCACATTACAGAATGATCATAAGTTTAGTTACCATTTCTCACTACAGAAAGTTATTACACTATAAATGATTATAGTTCCCTCTGCTGTACATTAGGTCCTCATGACTTGTTTATTTTGTAACTGAAAGTTTGTACCTCAGTCTCCCTCACCTGTTTCATTCATTCCTCTAACCCCCTCCCCTCTGGCAACCACCAGTTTGTTCGCTGTATTTGTGAGTCTGTTCCGCACAAGTCTTCCCTTTTCTCCACATCCTTGCCAGCACGTATTATTGGTTGTCTTTTTGGAAATAGCAATTCTGACAGGTGTGAGGTAATATCTTACTATGGTTTGGTTTTGATTTGCATTTCCCTGATGTCTAGTGATATTGAACATCTTTTCATGGGTCTCTTGGACATCTGTTGTATATCTCCTTTGGAATAATGTCTGTTCAGGTCTCCTGCCTAGTTTTTAACCAGATTGGTGTTTTTGATGTTGTATTGTAGTTTGGATATTAACCCCTTATTGGATATGCCATGTGCACACGTCTTCTCCCGTTTAGTAGGCAGCCTTTTCCTTTTGTTGATGATTTCCTTTGGTATGCAAGAGCTTTTTAGTTTGATGTGGTCTTATTTGATTGTGCTTCTGTTTCCCTTCCTGAAGAGACAGAGCCAAAAAAAAAAAAAAAAAATGAAGATCAATGTCAAAGCATATTGCTTTTGTTTTTTTTTTTTCCTTTCAGGAGTTTTATGAGTTCAGGTCACACATTTTAAGTTTTTAATCCATTTTGAGTTTATTGTATGTTGTGAGAAAGTAGGCCAGTTTGATTCTTTTGCTGTTAGCTGTCCAGTTTTCTCAGTACTATTTATTGAAAAGACTGTCTTTTGTCTTTTGTATGTTCTTTCCTCTTTTGTCGTGGATTAATTGACCATGTATGTGTGGGTTCATTTCTGAGCCCTCTATTCTGTTCAGTTGACAGAATGTGTCTGTTTTTGTGCCAGTACCATACCATTTGATTACTGTAGCTTTGTTAGTACTGTTTGAAATCAGAGGACATGATGCATCCAGCTTTGTGGGGTTTTTTTTTTCCCACCTCAAGATTGCTTTGACTGTTTGGGGTCTTTCGTGGTTTTGTTTTATTATTTTATGAAAAATTTCATGTTTATTTTGATAGAGATTGCATTAAATCGGTAGATTGCTTTGAATCGGTAGATTGCTTTGAATCGGTAGATTGCTTTGAATAGTATGGTTATTTCAGTAATATTAATTCTTCCAATCCATGAGCAAGGTTAATTTTTCCATTTGTGTCATCTTAAATTTCTTTCATCAGTGTCTTACTGTTTTCCAAGTATAGGTCTTCTACCTCCTTGGTTAGATGTATTCCTAAGTTGTTTATTATTTTTGATGAGATCATAAGTGGGACTGTTTTCTTAATTTCTTTTTCTGATAGTTTGTGGTTAGTGTATAAAATGCAACAGATTTCTGCATATTACTTTAGTTTTCTGCAACTTAATTCATTTATTTGTTCTAATTGCTTTTTGGTGGCATCTTCAGAATTTTCTGTATGTAGTGTATATCATCTACAAATAGTGATAATTTTACTTCTTTCTGATTTGGATACATTTTTTTTCTTTTTCTTGTGTAACTGCTGTGGCTAGGACTTAAAACACTTGTTGAGTAAAAGTGGTGAGTGTGGGTATCCTTGTATGATCTGAGAGGACATACTTTCAACTTTTCACCTTTTATTATGATATTAGCTGTGGGCCTGTAAGTATATGGCCTTTATTATATTGAGATACATTCCCTTTATATCCACTTTCTAGAGAGTTTTATCATATGTTAGATTTTGTCTCAGTCCTTCTCTGTTTCTACTGAGATAATCATATCATTTTATTTTATAATTTGTTAATATAGTATATTATGTTGATTGATTTGTGGATATTGAACAGTATTTGCGTCCTAAGATAAATTCTCTGTGCCCCTCACTCCCGCACCACGTCATCATAGTATATAATCCTTTTAGTGCATTGCTGGATTTGTCTTGCTGATATTTTATCTAGAATTTTAGCCACTAGACCAGGGAAGTCCCATGATTCATTTTCATTCTTTTTTTTTTAGTTTCATTCTTGATAATCATTGTGTTCTTATTTTCTATTTTTTTTCTGATTCAGTCTTGGGAGATTGTATGTCTCTCAGTTTATCCATTTCTTCTAAGTTGTCTATTTTTTTGGTGTATAGTTGTTGATAGTAAATCTCTTATGATGCTTTGTTACTTGTTTGATGTAACTTCCCTTTTAATTCTGATTTTACTTATCTGAGCTTTTTCCTTGGCTGAGTCTGGCTTAAGGGACGAATAAGTATACTTTGGAGTAACAGGAGGGAGAAATGTGTTCATTATACAGAAAGCCTCCTTATGAAGATTACGTTTGAGTAGAACCATGAGAAATAGGGAGAAGGAGCAACAACGTGGAGAAGTATGAGTATTTTAAGAAATCATAATTCATCCAGTTCAGAGTGAAAAATTAGAACAATTGTGAGTGAATCTGAAAAAAAAATAGGTCAAAATCGCCACTTTGGTCTCTGTTCTTTGGGCTTCAGTGCTCTGAATAACTGCCTTTGTTAGACTGTAATATTATCAAAGTGGGATTATAAGAATAGTAATGAGATGGTGGTATAAAAGAGATTAAAATAGGCAAAAGTAGGAAGGAGAGTCAAGTATGTTTTATATGTCTGTTATAGCCTTTAATATGTGTGTTTCAATAAACTGAACTAAAGAGTTGTTGAAAATTGAAAAGAAAGATGCATTAAAACATGGTTTAGGTAAAAGACTTCGTGAAGAATCCACATTTTTTGTCTGAAGTTACTTGGAACAGTGATACTGTTAAGTGACATAGGTAAGTTAGGTAGAGAGCAGCTTTGAAGAGAAAGATTATTTGAGTTTTCGATATGTTGAATGTAAAGTATCAGTGGGAAATCTTAAATAGGCTTATCAAATAAGCAAGTGTAGATGTTGGAACTGTATTATTGTGAGAGAAGTGGTAGTTTCTATAATGGAAGAGAGGGAGGTACAAATGGCTGAGAAACTGACTTTTGGGAAATGCAAGGGTCTAGAAGGGAATAGAAATTCAGTGAAGAATATTTAAAGTACATTTTAAAGTAGAAATTCTTAGTAATAATAATAGTTAACACTTACTGAATACATGTTTTTTGCTAGGCAGTCTCTGTTGAATTGAAGTAATAATTCTTTTATACTTCCTCAAAATTGTATGAGATAGAGCCTGTTACTATGCCCACATCTAGAAAGTATTAGTTTACTCCAGAACCCTTGCTGTATTCTTTAAAGTCAGTAAAGCCAAGAAAGGAAAGCATGGTTTAGAGACACAGAGATTCCACAGAAGTGACTTTTTTAAATGAGATAATATGAGACCAGAAAATACCACCAATGATTTTCTTTGAGCATTGACATTATCTACTAAAACATAACTAGTTTTTTGTTTCATCCTGAACATATGTTTCTTTTATAATATCAAGAAGGAAAATAATTGATACTATTTTTATATACAATTTTTCTTATTTTAGGGATGCAAGAGGTATGACCCCATTTATGTCTGCTGTAAGTGGCCGAGCTTATCCTGCTGCAATTACCATTTTAGAAACAGCCCAGAAAATTGCAAAAGGTAATTTATTTCAAGTTCTAAATGAGTTGCTTATTTTTTAATTTGACTAGATTCTCTTCTATAATTGATCAGAAACTATCAAGGTAATTCTTTTGTGTATATGTATAAAATTCATGTACTTTTTTCAGGCATATATTCTGTCAGCCTGTTAATTGGTATTGGTGATAAAATTTTATGGAAAGAACAGACCAGATGTCTTATTATTCTTTCTGACTGGGATTTACCACCTAATAGAAAGCGTTAAGGAATATCAGTTCTTGCCATCCAGCCTTTAAAAGATTCAGTAGTTATCTTTTGAAAAATAGTGGCTATGAATAATTTATGTGATTATCTGTAATTTGTTAAATAGAACTAGAACTTGAATCTTAACTACATAATGTAGAGTTGAGCACTTAGATGGCTGGTGTTTGATGTATTTGTATTGTTATCTTGTTTGGTTATGATGTAATTACCGCTTGCTTTACTTTGCACCAGAATTGACTGGATTTCTTTGCAGTGTTAACTTTGTATGTCATTTTATTTTATTAATATGTAGTAGTTTCTGATTTATACTGTGTAAATGTTAGAACTTTTCCATTGGAGGAGAGTAGTGCTTAAGTTCTTTCTTAATGTATGAACTACTGTGTTTTTAATCTTAGCTGAAGTATCCTCAAGTGAAAAGGAGGAAGATGTATTCATGGGCATGGTTTGCCCATCAGGTACCAACCCTGATGACTCTCCTTTATATGTCTTATGTTGTAATGATACCTGCAGTTTTACCTGGACTGGAGCGGAGCACATTAACCAGGTAAGTTATTTTACATTTACCTATATTTGTGCTGTCTTCAGATTTTCTTTTCTTCCCTTTGACCATCACTGGAGTTATAGCTCTTAGCTTTGGAATTGGAAGTCTAATGTTTAATTATACTACTTTTTTTGGATGATATAAATTATTTTCGCTCTTCTGGTAATTTTGATTCCCATTTGTATATCCATGTGTGACTGTTTCCAGAGCACATTAATTTTGCTGTACTGTTGTTGTGATTGAATTTAGAAAATACCAGAAATAATCCTTTTGAGATATACATACCATTCTTTTAAAAAGTATATCCTTTTAATTTTAGGATATTTTTGAGTGTCGTACTTGTGGCTTGTTGGAGTCGCTCTGTTGTTGTACGGAATGTGCAAGGGTTTGTCATAAAGGTCATGATTGCAAGTGAGTGCGATTTTAGTTTCTTAATGCTGTAAACTACTTAGATTCATACTGCCATATTTAAAATAGCCTGATATGCAAGAAATACGTGATCATACATTGTAACTAGGATCAGTCTTTTAAGAAACATATATATACAGAATGTTTTTGTCTGTATTCTCCAACCAAAGTCTCAGGTCCCCTGTAGCGTGGTCTGTTAGCTGGACATCACTGAAGGCATTAAGGGAGTCATGGTTTGGCCTGTGCCTTGTTTATTTCTTAAACTAAATGTAATAACCTTCATCTGGCAATAGAGTTGCTATGGCTAGTTTGTTAGTTTTCACATTCATAGACCTAAGAAGCATAAAATACCCCAGCACTAACATTTGCAGTGCCTCAAGGTCTCAATAGGGACATCACCTATGGCTGTGCTATAGATGTAGTAGTTAATAGAGAATTGGTTTGTAAAAACCATCTGTTGTGCTTTAAATAAGTATGTGGGACAAGTGGAAATTTTTTATAGATACTGTACTGATACTTATAATTTTTATTAAAAGAATTCTGGGTAATATGTTCATGTCATTTAAATATCTCAAAGTGATAATCTACTTATTTATTGATTGCTTACTAACAAGTGCCGTCACTGTGCTAGATGCTACATGGTGGTGGACAAAACAGTTAAGATACCTCTTCTTACGTATTGCTTTACAGACTTTATACCACTGAAGTAATCCCTGCTGCATTAACAGTTACACTCTGCATGTGAAAGTTAACAAGGTTTCTCTTGAGTTTCAATGAGTTAGGCCTCTGTAATATCAATATAGACCTTTGTATTTTTTTAAAATTTCTGTGTTTGTACTTGTGTATGAATTCTTTCTAGACTTAAACGGACATCACCGACAGCCTATTGTGATTGTTGGGAGAAATGTAAATGTAAAACTCTAATTGCTGGACAGAAATCTGCTCGTCTTGATCTACTTTATCGCCTGCTCACTGCTACTAATTTGGTCACTCTGCCAAATAGCAGGCAAGTTGTGGGATTTTTAGGACATAAATTAAGTTGTGAAAGCACAGCATAGGTAAGTAGCCTCCTTCGTCATAACAATGCTCTGTCTTGCAGAGGAGAGCACCTCTTACTCTTTTTAGTGCAGACAGTTGCGAGGCAGACGGTAGAGCACTGCCAGTACAGACCTCCTCGAATCAGGGAGGATCGTAACCGGAAAACAGCCAGTCCTGAAGGTGAGTTGATTTGACACTTATGAGACCTGGGAAAATCAGGATGTGTATTTCTGCCTTACCCACATTTCTTACTTTTCTTTGTAGATTCGGATATGCCTGATCATGATTTAGAGCCACCAAGATTTGCCCAGCTTGCTTTGGAGCGTGTTCTGCAGGACTGGAATGCTTTGAAATCTATGATTATGTTCGGATCACAGGAGAATAAAGACCCGTATGTATCCATTGAAAGTTTTTTAGACTTGTTTCCTGTGTTAGTGTAGGTAGTTACAGTGCATTCTCTTTCCCCTCAAGTCTCAGTGCCAGCAGCAGGATAGGCCATCTTTTGCCAGAGGAGCAAGTGTACCTCAATCAACAAAGTGGCACAATTCGGTTGGACTGTTTCACTCACTGCCTTATAGTCAAGTGTACAGCAGACATTTTGGTAAGTCTTTTGAATGGTTATTTACAAGCACATGAAAAGGGTATGTGTTACGTAGTTTCCCGTAATTTTACTAATTCAAGCTCCCATGCACCAGTAAGCGCTAATTAAATACTAGATTAAGGGGGATGGAATTTTGGAGGTGATTTAAATTTCTTGTTTTAAATTAATCAATCAATGAGAGCTCCTTTTTTTCATTCTAAGTACAAATCCTAGAGTGTATTAAAAATACAGTATAAAAATGTGTGAAGCAGGGTTCTAAATTAGTAATAACTCAGTGCAGATTTTTAAAAAGTATCTCCTTTTGCTGTGAATTTAGAAAAGAATATAAACTGTTAAACCCACTGCTGGAGAGGTTATGGCAAAAAGAACATACTTGTATACCGATGAGGTGATCCTTCTTTTGGTACTCCTTTGGAAAACAACTTGGCAATATCAGGAGCCATAAAACTAACATTGCCCTTAGAAATTGTCCTAAAAAAGTTATATATAATATGAGAAAGAGAAGCATTGTGTCACAAAACAATATAAAATTAAAAACTAGATATACTCTATGGATCCAATGATAGAGGAATATTACATCCAATTATAGTCCAACCGCTTACTGAAATATAATGCAGTGACTTAAAAAATAAAGGTTATTTTAAGTACCATTTAAAAAACAACAGGGAAAACAATGTGAAATTGGCTGCTCTCTTTAATTAGTAATTTTATGATAGACCATGTATAGAAATGAGGCTAGAAAGTAATGATAATGGTTAAATGAGATGATGGGATTATGAATTCATTAAACATCTGAGTCTGCTTTCATATTTTGTTAAGTATCCTATATATTGAGTGAAATATATTCTTCCTTTGATTGGACATATTAGGTATTGGTCTTCTAAATATTAGTTGTTACACATAGGAGTTTAAGGCTAGAAACAAGAAATCAGACATTTGAGACCCACTGTAAGTCAAGCATAGTAGTGGGCATGTGGCACAAAGTTTATCACTGACATTATGTTGATTCAATATATTTTTATATTTTTATCATGAAATGTTAATATTGAAAACATGTTAGAACTTTTTATTTACGAATGCCTACATCTTACAAGATGTCTCAACATTAACAGAGGGATTACTGGTTTTAAAGCTTCTAGATACTCTGCTAGGTACACTAGTGAAAGAACTCCAGAACAAGTACACACCGGGACGAAGAGAAGAAGCTATTGCTGTGACGATGAGGTTTTTGCGATCAGTTGCAAGAGTTTTTGTCATTCTCAGTGTGGAAATGGCTTCATCTAAAAAGAAAAAGTAAGGCATTCTTTTTGATTTTGGCTTTTATATTTTTTACGCACATTTTTTGTGATAATGATAAAATTATGTATATGAAAGGATTCAAAAGATTTCTATATTTCCATTTTTGCTCTAGCAACTTTATTCCACAGCCAATAGGAAAATGTAAACGTGTATTCCAAGCACTGCTGCCTTATGCAGTAGAAGAACTGTGCAATGTAGCAGAATCACTGATTGTTCCTGTCAGAATGGGTATTGCTCGTCCAACTGCCCCTTTTACTCTGGCAAGTACCAGCATAGATGCCATGCAGGGCAGCGAGGAATTATTTTCTGTGGAACCTCTGCCACCACGGCCATCATCTGATCAGTCTAGCAGGTAAATTTCTATCTGGTAACACATTCTGATTATTTCTCTGCAAACGTCACTGATGTTACCAAAACTAAACTAAACCTGAGGCATAGGCACTCTGGTTATGTACAGGATCATTTATTTAACAAATGGTAAAGATACTATCTTGTTTGGAACATGCGAAAAGCCCTTTAAAAACTACATGTCTGTACATCTAAAGTAATAGACATAATGGGGAGGGCGATTTGGTTTGTTTGTTTGTTCAGAAAGGCACTTTTTATTATACCAAAAAAGTAATCTGGTAAGAAAGTTTACTTTAGGCTTCTGTGCCTCATTACTTTTTTTTTTTCCTTACCTTTAAATGTAGCCTGCTAGAAGGCCAAGCTGAAGAATGAAAAGACTTCTTAACTTTCTCTGTGTCCAAAGCCTTGGGCAAGGGGGGAAGGTTATTATATAATCTGAATAACAACAGAATGGTAGAATTACTCATATTATATAGTAGTGGTCCCTAGCCTCTGTGGCACCAGGGACCGATTTTGTGGTAGACAGTTTTTCCGTGGACTGGAGTGAGGATGATTCAAGCACTTTACGTTTATTGTGCACTTTATTTCTGTTATTATTACATCAGCTCCACCTCAGACCATCCTGCATTCGATTCTGGAGTTTGGGGATCCTTGTTGTATAGGATAAGACTAAAACAATTCAATTCTAGTTACAACATTAATCTTAAATCTAATTTTTCAGTTTGTTTAGTAGTTTACCTAACTAGGCTCTAAGTTGGCTGAGTCAGAATGTTTAGCAACTAAAATGTTCTGGGGTCTTTTATTGCAGTGCTTCTCAAATTTTAACATGCATGCAGAACTCTTGGGTGTCTTATTAAAATGCAGAGGCTGATTCTGGAGGTCTGGGTGGGGCCTGAGAGTCTGTATTTCTTGTGAACTCGCAGATAGGACCGTGCCAATACTGCTGCTCTCAAGGCCACACTTTTGAGTTGCAAAGTTTCTAAGGTGTACAAGAGACATCTTAAACATCTTAAACATTATAATGGAGATATCTGTCCATTCTTGCCTGTTTACGACTCACATTTTTAAGAAATTCGAACTTTATGGCCTACCCAGTATTTTGCCACCCCATCTTTTATTATGATTTATTTTATAATTGTACTTCGGAACTTATTTTTTTCCCCACACTCATCAGCAAGTCAGTGGTTAATAAGCTGATGCAAAGTAGGTCATGTTAGTCAAGTCTCTTAAAGAGTAGGTTACTTGTAAATAAGGAACTCTCCTTAGTGGGTGAATGCTGGTACCACAGCCTTGGAAGTTCAAAGGTTTAGAGATGGAAAAGGAAACATTGTCTCTGTAGAAAGATTTCAGTGGAGAGAACTCAAAAAAGTATGTGCATTAACACAGATTTGAAATGTCTTACTAAAAATAAAAACCATTCTGAGATTTATAAGTTAAATCTCAGGTAAGATGATTTCTTTGGGGCTACACATTTTCTGATATACCATAGATTAATTATTGTTGGTTTCCAAGAAACATTCGGTCAGATTGGAAATAGCAGGTTGTGAACCACGTTGAGTAACACCAAGAGGTCTGCGCTGTCTGTCAGGGCGGTAGCCGCAGTGAGCTCATCAGCCGCTTCCTTACAGCTCCAGTCAGTCGCAGTCGTCCTACATCATCCGGAACCCACAGCAGAGGCGCATCAGCCAGTCACAGCCTGTTCGCGGCCGCGATGAAGAACAGGATGATATTGTTTCAGCAGATGTGGAAGAGGTGGTTTTAATTGTTTTAACTGTGATACATGAGAAGCTTTTATTTGGGAGGGAAGGGGAAAGTAGTTACTAGAAGTTTTATTAACGGTAGCTTACCACTGTTACATGTATATGCTTCTACCTTTTAGACTTCTGTTATATGTTCTCATTTGTAGTTATACATGTTAAAATATGTTAATAATCCTTGTTTTATTGGCTAATAAGAAATTAGAAATAAACGTAACTCTACTTAAGGGTTCACAGAAAAGATACTCTCAATGTTAAGAATTCTCAATCTTAAGAAAGTTTTAGTAGTTTTGTGCAATGTATTTGAAGGTAGAGAGACTGCTGCATATTTATTATATAAATTTTATGATTGCTGAAGTTTAAAAAACATATACTCCACACACAGTTTTTATATTTCTAATTTTAAGGTTCTGTGTATGGATAGTAATCATAAACTTTGGGGTATGTTGGCATAATTTTTGATACCAAATTTTCACTAGCAAATGAAAAATTTCAAAACTGCTTAGTGTTACAGTTCCCTGTAGTTAGTGATCTTTGTATTTTAGTTACTAAATGCTGTGGGGGAATACTGGTAGAGATGTGGGTTTATTATGTACTTTGATTGTCTACAAATAAGATCTGGATTTAGGTTGAGGTGGTGGAGGGTGTGGCTGGAGAAGAGGATCACCATGACGAACAGGAAGAACATGGGGAAGAAAATGCTGAGGCAGAGGGGCAGCATGATGAGCATGATGAAGACGGTATGCAGGTTATTGGCAAAATTACTCAGTATGAGAAAACCGGGTGCTTTTAAAGAGAGATTAATACAGAGGAAGTAGTACTTGATGTATAGTGAAATGTTCAGCATACTTCTGCCAGGGGATTCTGTAGTATCTGTCAGAATTTTACACACATAAATAAAAATACTGGATTGGCCAAGAAGTTCACTTGGGCTTTTCCACATCTTATGAAAACCCAAGCAAGCTTTTTGGCCAACCCAATGTATAGACTTTTATATGTTTACATGTATAAAATAATTTATCATCTCTCCATTTACCTTTTGGTTTACACTTTCTATTTTCTTAAAAGACTTTTGAAAATCAAAATAATCATAACCAACATAACATTTGAAAATTGGAGAAAGGGAAAACAACCCATAATCCCACCCAGACGCTAACAGCGTGTTTTTACTTTCAGTCCTCCCCTGTAGCGCCCATTCCCATGTGTGTCTTTCATATTCTGTGTAAATTTTTTACTTTGTTTTTTCACTTAGGCCTTTTTGCTCCATAGTCATCATTCTTCTTAATAGCCATAGGATAGATTTCTGGGGATCAGCTTTATTGAGGTTTAATTGACGTGCAGTAAACTACACATGTTGAAAATTTATAACTTAGTATGTTATGATGTGTGTGTATATACAGTGAAATACAGAGGATACACATGTTTATTAGCCTTCTTTCCCTCTTGGAATCCCAATATGTAAAATTGATGAAAATGGAGCAGTGGCCCTAACCCCGAGCTCTATCCACTTGTTGAAGTCCTGCTGCCTAATATTTTTTACCGAAGGCTATGCAGGCCAAATTTTGTGTCTGTGTTCATTGAGTACCATGATTTACCTGGTCATTCTTCTGTTAAGTGAGCAGTTATGCATACTCTAGTAGCTACCAGTTCTCTCTGCCCCGCTCCCCTCCTTTCCCACCCTTACAGTATTCTGTCTTATCAGCCTGTCTTGATCGATAGTGAGTTTGTACCTTATTTTCTTGTTATTTAAATATATTTGCTAGGGAGTGACATGGAGCTGGACTTGTTAGCAGCAGCTGAAACAGAAAGTGACAGTGAAAGTAACCATAGCAACCAAGATAATGCTAGTGGGCGTAGAAGTGTTGTCACTGCAGCAACTGCTGGCTCAGAAGCAGGTATGTTACCTTCTAGCAGTTTTCTTGCTTATACTAAGGTTGTGTGTGAAGAATTGGTTAAACTCTGCTCAGTGTGATATTCCCAAGGGTGGCTAACCCTTTTTTTAAAAACTTTGTTTCTCTAGAGATACTGGTGAAGAAGATTATTATTTCATTGACTCTCTTTTTTTCTTTTTTCTGTTTCACTTTTCTTGTTTTTAAATAATGAATTAATTTTAAGGTTCACTGAAGAGTTCCACAGTATTTCGGTGATGGGTTTTGTGAAATATTGGACATAGTCTGGCATTCTGTTTAATATATTTTCCTAAATGAAGGGTACACTGTAATTTTAAATACCAACAAACTCACAGTGGTTTTGGTTTAAAAATTAAAAATTTAGGTGCGAGCAGTGTTCCTGCCTTCTTTTCTGAAGATGACTCGCAATCAAATGACTCAAGTGATTCTGATAGCAGCAGTAGTCAGAGTGACGACATAGAACAAGAGACATTTATGCTTGATGAGCCGTTGGAGAGAACCACAAATAGCTCACATGCCAATGGTGCTGCCCAAGCTCCTCGGTCCATGCAGTGGGCTGTCCGCAACACCCAGCACCAGCGGGCAGCTAGCACAGCGCCTTCCAGCACATCCACGCCAGCAGGCAAGTCTGTAAACTTGGTGCTCCTGAGAGTGCTTAAATAGGTTTAAAAATTACACATTTTCCTCTAAAGAACAGATTAAATAATTTCATAATAGTTTTTCTTTGTTTTGCTGAGTTCAAATACAGAATTATTTACTTATTGCTTATAGCAGGGTTTCTCAGTCTCTGCACCATTGCTACCTTGGGTTGAGTAATTAATTTATAATCATGCCCTGTAGGGTGTTTAGAAGCATCCTTGACCTGCATTCATTAGATGCCAGGAGCGCACTCCTGTCCCCAGTTGTGACAACCAAAAATGTCTACAGCACTGCTCGTGTCTGCATAGGGAGGCAGTGGCAGAATTGCCCTAGTTGAGAACATTACAGTATTAATAATTCTTACCTTCATCATTCCCCACCCCAAATTAGAGTGGCTTAAAGGAAATGCTCATTTACCACATTTACTAATGTAATTGACCTTTTACTTCAGATATGTACAGTGTTAGAGAAACACTGTTAGCAAGTGACATTAACTTATTGTGGTTGTTTTTTTCCTTCCTGATAGCAAGTTCAGCGGGTTTGATTTATATCGATCCTTCCAACCTACGCCGGAGCGGTACCATCAGCACAAGTGCTGCCGCTGCAGCAGCTGCTTTGGAGGCCAGCAATGCCAGCAGCTACTTAACATCTGCAAGCAGTTTAGCCAGGGCCTATAGCATTGTCATCAGACAAATCTCGGACTTGATGGGCCTTATTCCTAAATATAATCACCTAGTTTACTCTCAGATTCCAGCAGCTGTGAAATTGACTTACCAAGATGCAGTAAATTTACAGGTATGAAACCACTGAAAAATTACTCATTCAAATATATTTTTTGGTCATCTGTTATGAAAATTCCAGTATGATGGGAGTGAATGTTACAAGTACTTAAATGTCTATATCATATTACTCTATCAAATTTAACTTTATCTGGGTAGTTTTAACTGTTTTAGTTTGGTCTTTGTAGAACTATGTAGAAGAAAAGCTTATTCCCACTTGGAACTGGATGGTCAGTATTATGGATTCTACTGAAGCTCAATTACGTTATGGTTCTGCATTAGCATCTGCTGGTGATCCAGGACATCCCAATCACCCTCTCCACGCTTCTCAGAATTCAGCTCGAAGAGAAAGGATGACCGCACGAGAAGAGGCTAGTTTACGAACCCTTGAAGGCAGACGGTATGAAATTCTTTGTCTGTTTAGACAGAAACCTTTTAGCCTAGAAATTGAGAGCTTTTTGATTGCCATTATATAAGACCCCACTCTGTTGTAAAGGAGGAAATACATGCCTTGCGTTATTTCTTTTAAATTGTTGTGTAGTTGAAACAAAACAAGCTATAATCCAAGCTGTTATTCAATTTTATGCGTTCTTTATATGTTCTGGATACAAGTTCCTTATCAGATAGAGGATGTGCAGAAACTGTGTCCTGTTCTGTGGGTTGTCTTTTCACTTTCTTGAGGTGTTCTCTGAAGGACGTGTTTTTTAATTTGGGTAAAGTCTAGTGCTCTTCATTTTCTTTTGCTTTTGGTGTCATTTTAGGCAGTGATTCTCAAAGTGTGGTTCCCAGAAGAGCAGTATCAGGATCACCTAAGAGCTTGTTAGAAATACAGATTGTGGGTTCCACCCCATTCTTCTGACACTATAGGGCGGTGTCCAGCAAGCTGTTTTCAGAACTCTTCCAAGTGATTTTGGTGGACACAAGTTTGAGAACCCATGTCTCTAGGGAAGAAGTACCTTCTGGCAATCCAAAGGACGTGGGAATTTCTTTCCTTTATAAATGTACAGTACTGTAAATAATACTCAGTGATTCTATTTCTAAAGTAGAGCCCAGGCTTAATTAGCTTTTATTACGGATAGTCTCAGTTCCTAATTTTGCATGTTTATAACAGTGGTAAATTTCACATTTGTGTTCTTTTTGTAAACATTGTTTTTTTTTTTTTTAATCCCTGTAGACGTGCCACATTGCTTAGTGCCCGTCAGGGAATGATGTCTGCTCGAGGCGACTTCCTCAATTATGCTCTGTCTTTAATGAGGTCTCATAATGATGAGCATTCCGATGTTCTTCCAGTTTTGGATGTTTGCTCACTGAAGCATGTGGCATATGTTTTTCAAGCACTTATATATTGGATTAAAGCGATGAATCAGCAGACAACATTGGATACACCTCAGCTGGAACGCAAAAGGTATTCATACCTGCTGTGAAATTGATACAAGAAATACTTGATCAGTGTGATCTTTATTAGTACACTGATTTTTGGAGTAGGGAGAAATAGTACAAGAATATTTCATGTGGGCAGGTTGGCTTGAGTCTATCCAGCCTTTCTCTATAGCCACTCCTCACTTAAATTATGAAATCTAAGAATCCAGTTAGGCTTTATGTTGGAGATAGTTTGTCCTGATTTGTTTATCATGTTTCTGAGTTTGTGTAAGGACTCACTGTTTCCTGATGCGATTAGCCTTTTGCTTCTTTTGAGCCTGTTTTGTAATTGTAGTACATTTGGCTGATCAGTCTTCCATCCCTAGGGTCTGAAACTTATATTGCAGTAATAAACATTGGTTAGGTACTGAACTGACCTCCTCAGGATTTTTATATCGCCTTTGCTCCTGTTCATACAGCGTGAAATACTCATGTAAAATGACTCACTTATCTTTTTAAGGACTCGAGAGCTCTTGGAACTTGGTATTGATAATGAAGATTCAGAACATGAAAATGATGATGACACCAATCAAAGTTAGTGTACAGAAAATCTGCTAACCTACTTCAAGAAATGGCTGCCTCAGTATTTCCCCTTCAAGCTTTTTAACTTCATTATTTTCTGTCTGGGTGGGAATTTCTCTTTTCTTCTCTATGTCCCGTTTCTTGCATTTTCTGTCCATTTTTCCTTATACATTCTTGCATTACTTACTTCATAAATAAGAATTAATGAACTTTTTAGTAATTTATATTTTTTGTTTTGATTTTGTATCTCTCCTTTGCATCTTTTATGTTTACTTTTATGTGTGTTGGTAATACATACATTTAAATAGAATTTTAGCAGAACTTTTGTTAATATTGCTGCAAAATAGAGTGTGTCAAGAAAATGGAACTCATAAATTTCATTGGAACTTAACAGTTAATGTAATTAAAAGAGAAAATTTTCCCAAATTGAAGAAATTTTGGGACCTTCTGCACTTTCATAGTTTTCTGATATTATTTCAAGTAGAATTAAAATACTTTTCTAGTGGGGCCCACTTACCTGTTATTTAATATCACCTTGTACTTTATTACTTTTATTCAGCCTTGGGAAAGACAGATATCCTTTAATTTCTACTTTTTGAGAACCCAGCCATAGCTCACTGCTATTTTCAGAGCATACTGTAAGCACTGACAAAAGTTTTATTCCTTTAATGGGAGTTGGTGTTGGTGGGTTGATTTCCTGTTGGGTTACTTGAGTTGCCCAGACATTTCTCTTTTTATCTGCTTATAGAGGAAGCAGAACTTACAAGTAAGCAAATGCTTAAATTTTAGCTCCTTATTTTCTCCTCCTTTTGAAGTCATCAGTGCACCAGATCCTGAATATGTTCAGGGAATGGGCTATATTCAGGTCTGAATCTCCAGGGAGATAAGAGGTAGATGTGGCTAGTCTCCACCCAATGCAAAATGGAACAGTATTTGTTACTGCTAATATTTTTTGCAAGCTTTTATTATATTGAAATATGCATACATTTTAATCATTGTAACCATTTTAAACCAGTATTTTGAATTACCACTTTAAAATATTAACCCAATTTTAGACTGTTGTTTTTGAGTGACATTAAAATTTTATCAAGGATTTTTGGATTGAACAGACGAAGAATCTCTCGCCCTTCCCCAGCGGTTAATTTTCTAAAACAGCCACATGTTGTCTCTCCATGTTTAGGTGCTACTTTGAATGATAAGGATGATGACTCTCTTCCCGCAGAAACTGGCCAAAGCCATCCGTTTTTCCGGCGCTCAGACTCCATGACGTTCCTTGGGTGTATACCCCCAAATCCCTTTGAAGTGCCTCTGGCTGAAGCCATCCCCTTGGCTGATCAGCCACATCTGTTGCAGGTGATTTAAATGAACTAGCCTTAAGGGTTCTTTTCAGCTGAACTTATTTAAGTGTTCAGTGTAACTGTTGTATTTTTGTTAAAATTCCAGCCAAATGCTAGAAAGGAGGATCTTTTTGGCCGCCCAAGTCAGGGTCTTTATTCTTCATCTGCCAGCAGTGGGAAATGCTTAATGGAGGTTACAGTGGATAGAAACTGCCTTGAGGTAAGATAGTAAAAATCATTGCAATATGATACTTGTAAGCTGAACACTTATCCAGGCATTCAGTTTTTTGGAAATGCGTTAATTCAGAATATTGTATTTATCCAAATAATAGAAGTATCAGAAGTTCTTATGAATTCAACAGTATCATTAGTCTACTTTGAGACTTGCTGTATGTAAGGCTAATGCACCTGTAAAATGGTAGATTCATTATGTGCTTTGCCTATTTCAGGGTTGATTGTTTTAATGTTACTAAATATTTAAATTTTTGCACATATGAGCATATATATTAACTTGTAACTTTTCTTTTTGAATCTAGAGTGGGAATAAAGTAATATTAATAATGATACCTATTTGTTGAAAAATTCTGTCTCCTGGGCACTGTCTCAGTTAATCTTTATAACCATGTTGGGTAGAAAACATTATTGTCCTGATTTTATGGGTAAGGCATAGAAAGGTTACAAGAATTTCATGTGGGGATGTCTATTGTTAGACAATGAGTGAAGTGACAGATCTAGTTTGAGCCTGAAATTACACTGTCCTGTTTCTCCAGTGAAAAAGTAATAACATGTTTAAGAGCAGGCATATAGAAGACATGTACTTGATGGAATTTTCGTCATTATCTAAGTGACAAGGGAGGATTTGATGTACATAAGACGCTTAAGTAACCATAAATATTACAAAGATGCCTTTTAAAGTTCTCTAAGGCTGCTGTGGTAAATGCATGGAATTGGTGCTCAGCTGTGGTAATCAGACAAGAAATAGGTTACATCCTTCTAACTAGAAGTACCAGAAAGGGATTATTGAACTTCCATGTGATTTCTGTTGAATATTAGTAAGTTGAAAAGGAAATTATAGTCAATTTATTCTTAATATCTAACATTTAAATGTAAAAATTCATAGGTTCTTCCAACTAAAATGTCTTATGCTGCCAATTTGAAAAATGTAATGAACATGCAAAATCGTCAAAAAAAGGAAGGAGAAGAACAGAATGTGGTGCCAGAGGAAGCTGAGAGTTCAAAGCCAGGCCCATCTGCTCATGACCTCGCGGCACAGTTGAAAAGCAGTTTACTGGCAGAAATAGGACTGACTGAAAGTGAAGGGCCACCTCTTACATCTTTCAGGTATTTGTTAAATGACGGTAGTTTTTCTGTGCTGTGCCTTTATGGCTACTCTAATTTTTATAAGAATTTTTATTTAGGAAATTTATAATCTATGTATTTTATTTGTATATGAATAATAGGATGGAATATTATTATTTTTGTTTTCCTAGTTTATAATCAGATATTTAAAATGCTAAGAGTTTTCTGGATTTGGGGGGAGGGGGTTGTGACTGTTTTGTCACTGATTGGCGTTCTGATTTTCTGTGTTTGTTGGAAAAATTCTGACTCTGTTTTTAATGTTCAGTGCTGAGTTAAAGTATATATATCCACATCAAATTGCCAGTTACACACTTGTTCGCAGGAGCTTAGATGTGGTAAGTTGGGGGAGAGGATGGCATGTGAAAAAAAGAGTTTCTAGATTTGTGATCTACACATTTGCTTGGTTTCACTCCTTTGCCAAGTTCACATTTAGTAATTCTCTTGCAAGAGGTAGGTTCTTTGCTTTCCCAGTAAAAATTTGCCATAGTATATACTGTGACTCGGTATGGCTCATCACCTAATGATCTGTTCAGTAAGTGTTTTATGCTCTTTGGTTTTTTGGTTATGTAATGTCAGATTTCCTTTTTTTTTTGCTTAGGAGGAGTTAAGCTAGTTTAGGAAACTATGTACATCATATATACACAGTACAGTAATCTACAACCATAAAAAACAAGAATTGTGGACTGAGGTGGCCCCAGCTTCCTAGAGACAGTATGATTTGGACTGAGATGGTTAGAAAGTGTTAGAAGCAGATAGACTGAAGGAGAGAAGAATTAGAGGTAGAGAGAGAAGCTATTACTCATTCTGGCTAGTGGTGACAAAGGGACTGAAGTGGAATATTGTCTTTGGGGATGAAAAGGAAACCATGGGGTAAGAAAAGAAACTCATGAAGGGCTTGATCACTCTGGAGGAACAGAGGGAAGAATAAAATTTGTTGAAGTCTGTGCAACAGGAAAATAGGTGGTACTTTTGAAGGAAATTAGGAGGCAGTGTCATTGTAGTGAAGAGGTCATACTCAGTTTTACTAATTTTGAGCATGAGTTAAGTGTGATCGAAGTGGATATATTTCACGCAATGAAATTCTGGTCCATTGTGAAAGTTTGAACTAAATAGGGGTCTGGGAATCACCCAGTGGAGATGGACACTGGACTTTAAGGAGAGGAGGTAAAATTATAGATGAATTAAAGATGAAGGAGGCTGCCTCTTGGGGATGTACCCTTACATAAAGGACAGAAGGAATAATAGAGTAAAAATGAGAAGTTCTGCAAGGAACAAGTAGTTACAGGAAAATTCTCCATTAGAGAGTATGGGGTTATAAATTAAGATCTCAGCATATTAAAAGACCAAGTAAGTTACTGTTATTGACCAAAAACCAGGAAGTTTTTAAGAGTTGGCTAAATTGCTCCTCCTCTCCCCTTAAATTTCTCACAGGCCACAGTGTAGCTTCATGGGAATGGTAATTTCCCATGATATGCTGCTAGGACGTTGGCGCCTTTCTTTAGAACTGTTTGGCCGGGTGTTCATGGAAGATGTTGGAGCAGAACCTGGATCAGTATGTATTTTGAGCACCTTACATTCTAGTCTGCCTGATAAGTACATATTCAGAGAATAGTTTTGTCATGCATTTATGGTTTTTTTTCATTTCGTGTTTTTTTTTTTTTTTTCTTTTCTTTTTAAAGATCCTAACTGAATTGGGTGGTTTTGAGGTAAAAGAATCAAAATTCCGTAGAGAAATGGAAAAACTGAGAAATCAGCAGTCAAGAGATTTATCACTAGAGGTAAAGGTATTTAGAGTTTCTTATACTATACATATAGTATACTATACAATACTATACATGTAGTATTTATATAAAGTTTGAAAACAAAAATAGTAGATACACACCATTTAATTAAAAATTTAAAGAAAATGAATGGTAGTCACCGAATTTAGAGTAGTGGGTATCTCTGGCAGTTGGTTTCCCATTATCATGTAATGATGAACAGTGGGTTTGTTTGAGTATCATTGTGAATACACAGATTTAAACTGTTGATGTGCTTCATTTCATTCATGCTCAAACAGTGTTTTCTGTAGCTGAGAAAGTGAGACACTCACTTCAGTGAGGGTCCATCCAATCTTTGATCACTTCCCTACTATTTGATGTGTCTAATTTTCTGTTACTTTCTGTCACAGTCTTTAAATCAGCCATTTCTTCAAGAAGCCTTGGTTCCTTTAAACAGGAAATTGTATTTTGAGGTTATAATCTGGACTTTAAGTTGTTCACTGCCTGTAGGGTTGGTCATTGTTTCCAGGCCTTTTAGTGGATAGAACTAGGAAATGCTTCTTTAAAAAAATAAGAAAATTATATCATGTGTTCACGCTGATACTCCCATTTCATATTCAAGATTTAGAAATACAAGTTTTGTTTTCACCCTTTAGTCTTTACTTCCTCTTTTCTGAACTGAATAATATCCAGCTCTCCAGCAACACCACTAAAATTACTCATTTGCTTTTATCCCACAGCATGCATATAGCAGTCTTAGAATCATAATGTCAACACTACTACTAACAAAATGATTATTGAAAATAGAGTTAAGATTTACTTGCAGTTTTTGTTCTTAGAGCATTTCCAGTTGGAGATTTGTAGTCAAATTACATTGTTTTAAAGTCACTTGAGATAATTTCTTCTGTGTGGCTTTAGTACCTACCATCTTATCTCCACACAGTTAAGGCCTTTTGGGTCATTTTGCCTTCATTTTTTAAGGATTGCTCTCTTTTTTTTTTTTTTTTAAATTTTATTTTGTTTCATAATGTAAACTATCTACATTTGCAAGGTGAACTCTGTAGAAAAAGTTTATATTCAGAGAAATCTAGTTTACATTCCTATCTCTTTACTTTAGGTTCCCCCTACCCCCTTTTGGGATTTTTTGTTTGTTTTTTGATCCCCCACCCCACAACTTATTTCCCTCCAACCTTCAAAAAATATAATCATGTATATGTGTTCATCTCTGTCCCTCACTCCCCACCCCGAGCATCACACTCCAAGTAAAATGTTACACATTTTACTCCATCTTGATTTTTCCAGTTAACACTATATCCTAGAGAGAAAACTGTGGCTCTAGAGAGAGAAATGTTCTGTTCCTCTCTGTTTTCTAACTACCTAATAGTCTTAGTACCACATTTTATGGCTTTATCAGTTTTTTTTTCAGCCAGTGTCCTGTTGATAGACATTTGAGTTTGTTTCCAGTCTTTTGCTGTTACAAACAGTGGTGTGATGAACAGCTTTATGAGTGTTTCTCTATTTGGCTAGTGTGTCTTTGAGATAGAATCCTAGATACAGGTTAGAGAGCATGCGTATATATAATTTTGTCAAATATTGGCAAATACTCCTACATAATGTCTGTATATTTTTGTACTTTCTGCATCAATACAAGAGTACCTGATTCTCCAAAGTCCTGCCTGCAGCTTGTAGTCAGATTTTTAGATTTTTGCCAATCTGATAGGCAGTATAATTTTAATTTGTATTTCTCTTATTTTGAGCAAAGTTAAACGTTGTTTCATAGATTTCATGTACTGTGGCTGGTTCTTTTTCTGGGAACTATTATGTATGTTGACATATTTTGCCCATTTTTCCTATTGTTTTTTCCTCAATTTTTTTAGAAGCGCTAAGTGATACATATATACTGTTCATGAATCTTTGTTGGTAACAGAAGGTACAAATATTTTTCCCAGTTTTATCTTTTTTTTTTTTTTTTGCTTTTACTTTGTTATGATATTCTATAGCAAAGGAATATCCTATCTTTTTTTTAAGGATTTAAAAAATTTCACACTTTGATCTGTTTGCAGTTTATCTTGCTATATCCCCAAACTGGATGAATGGCTGTGTCCTGGTGGATCTTTTAAGAAAATGTTCTAATTGAGTTAAATTCCATTATCCTGATTTAATGACACTCTTGTGTGATTTAGAGTCCTACTTGGAATGTATAAGCTTTTGAGAACCCAAATACTTTATAGCTATTTCAACTGTCAAGGAAAAGCGAAAATTAGATTTTCAGATTTTACATAGAGAAGTTTCAAGGTGGTTTCCAGCACTGAATTTACTGCTTTTTGTTGCATTTCAATAGGTTGATCGGGATAGAGATCTTCTTATTCAGCAGACCATGAGGCAACTTAACAATCACTTTGGTCGAAGATGTGCTACTACACCTATGGCTGTACACAGAGTAAAAGTTACATTTAAGGATGAACCAGGAGAGGGCAGTGGTGTAGCACGAAGCTTTTATACAGCCATTGCACAAGCTTTTTTGTCAAATGAAAAACTGCCAAATTTAGATTGTATTCAAAATGCCAACAAAGGCACTCATACAAGTAAGTACTCTAGAGGTAACAAGCTCATAAAAATTCTTTCCTTGTATGATTGAAACAATGATGATCATGGTTATATGTGTGTTTAGTGGGAGAACTTTATACTTTTATACTATTTTATTCTAGATCAATTACTTAACCTTGTTTAAACTAATAGACAGTTTACCAGTTGACTCTTTTACTGCCACATTCATTTTCATAAATGGTTATGATTGTACAATTGAGTTTTTCATCTCAGTTTTAATGTTTGGGAAATGGGAGGTTTAAGGTAATATAAAAATTCAAAGAGCAAACTGCAGGATTTCCCAATAAGTACAGATACTGAGAAGAAAATGCTGTTATCTAGAACAGTGCTTTTTAAAGTATGATTTGCAGAGTTTCTGCCAGTCTCCAGTGAGATGGATTTTGCAACCAAAGGTAAATTGGCTATGTCACTAACTTCACTGTTTAACAAGACTTTTTTTTTTTTTTTGTAATAAGGTTTTCTATGTTCACATCCTGGTGCAAGTTCTACCTCCTCAGTGATCACCACTTTGGGGTTAGGATTCTCACATTATTTTCAAGATTATGATAGTGTATTTTAAAATGTGAAAACTACAAAAGGTTGAAACTCGGGATTCATGTAAGGAAATCGTCAGTCTTGTAGGTGAATGGATACACTAATTGAGGGAGAAGGAGTTAACTAACAGAATCCTGTGTTTTATTAATACCTAGACTAGAGCTGTGTCTTACTACGGTTCTGTAAACTGCACCATAGAAGCTGAATGAGCTCTGGAAAGAATTGAGGATGAAAAGATGGGGGGCATACCTCAGCCTTTCATTATTAGTTTAACCATTTGACTTTCTGTAGTCTTACAGTTTTTTAAAAAATTGTCAAATGTGAATGAGGAAACCTAGGAAGTCATGACATTTCAGAAATAATTTTTCTGCACAGTCATTAGGAAACCATATCTTGGTTTATGCTTAAGGTTTTAAAAAAATAGCTGAGTGTTTTTAATGCTTTTAATGCCAAAAACTAAGAATAGAGAAGATACTCAAATATGTAAGAAATCTCAGCTTTGTTTATGTTTGAAACTAACATAGTCCTGGTTGCTACATTTTGTTTCACAACTCTGAGATGACAAGGAGATAAATTCATTCTACAGAATCACTCCCAACACTCAAAACCATAGGGAGACTAACAGAAAGGCACTAACACAGATGCTAAGGAAAATGATCTTCAGTTGTCATGTTCTTACTGTGGTTGTCTCATTTCCTCACATTGACTTTTAACATTTAAAGTAGTTGCATTTACATTCATTAAAACAAAGTGTATTTCCCTTCTTTCCAGGTTTAATGCAGAGATTAAGGAACAGAGGAGAGAGGGATCGGGAAAGAGAGAGAGAAAGGGAAATGAGGAGGAGCAGCGGCTTGCGAGCGGGTTCTCGGAGAGACCGGGATAGGTGAGATGGTTTTGTGTCTTTTATTGAGTACCGTCGTTTTGGATGACTTGGAGGTAGGCCTGAAAATAAGAGTCTCAATTATAAACTTTGAGAAAATGAAAATTAATAATTGGATAAGTGATGCGTTGTAACTAAAATAGTCTAACCAACTGTTACCTAATATGCTCTGCTTTAAAAAGCCAGGGGCAGTTGAAATTGTTTTGACTTTTTATTTATCACCCAAGTTCCTAAGTTTGTTTTAAAAATGTTAAATTGTGGCAATTGTGTTATTTAAAACTTACAGTTTTTCACATGTTAGAATGAGTGGCATTTCACTTTTGACTTAAAATTTCTGGGAAATATGGGTGGTCTCTTGACTTCTGGTATTTTAAAGTCCTGTTCCCTTAAAATCAAATTAATACATGCATTGCAGACTTACAGATTTTCAAGTGACAAAATCTAGATAGATTTTATTTTCCAACCATCGTTCTTTTTAGGCATTCTTCCACTCTGGTACCATAACTGGAGCTAACTATATGCTCTGGTTTCCCACTTTGTTGCAGTGATATTTTCCATTTTGCAGACAAGGGAAATGAAGTCATCATAGCTTTGTTCATCTTTCAGGGATTTTAGAAGACAGCTTTCCATAGACACTAGGCCCTTCAGACCAGCCTCTGAAGGAAATCCTAGTGACGATCCTGACCCTCTGCCGGCACATCGTCAGGCGCTTGGAGAGAGACTTTACCCCCGTGTTCAAGCAATGCAACCAGTACGTATGGCGTGCTTAGCTACCTCTTAACTGGCTGTGCCATTTTGGGTTTTGAATTAAGGCTGGTATCTTGAGAGGTTGTCAGCTACTGGAAAGCCATATGATTTGAGGACTGCCAAAAAGAGGAAGCTTAGGAGGGAAAGAAGCAACACTTACTGGAGAATAATTGTATATAGCTTGATGTTTATTTTACTACATATGCCAGGTTAGCATTCTACCTAATAATTTCCTTTTGTGCTAAGGAATTGTCTGTGCATTGTATTTATTTGTACAAGTTATTGTTGCTTTTTAAAGCCAACTTTGTTATCAGCTTGTAGCTGGAACACGTTGCAAATAGTGTACTTCACTTGATAAATAAGACAGGAAGATTTTATTTTGAATGTTCTGTCAGGGGTTTCTTTCATATTATATGAAACATATAACATAGTTTTCTTTTTTGTCTTTATACATAACTACCTTTACATACTAGAGCAAAAGAAAAATAAAACAAGGAATCAGTTATATTTCAGTAAATTCTTAGCCTTAAATATGGGCATCTTTTTTCTTTCTGCTTCTCCTTCCTTCACATCTTCCCTCTCTTTTTTCCTACACTAAATGAAAAAAATGTTTCCAGGCCTCTGATGAAGAAGGGGGAAAAATGGACCTTGAGTATTTTTATGTTTACTCATGAATATCAAAAGTCTTTTTAAAAGACTTGTCAACAAATAAATATTAAACCTGCTTTAATAAGACTGCTAATGCATAGACTACTTACTCCCTACGAAAGTTTTCTATAATTAAGCTTCTAATCTCATAAACTCATGTGGTGTTAGTTCTAGTGACTTCTTTGTAGATTGTGTCATTGTTTTCTACATGGAGAATCTGTTGTCTATAAAAAAGGAGTTTTACTTTTTCTTTCCAATCTGGATTACTTTTATTTTCTTTACTTGCCTTCTTAAACTAACTGGAACTTGCAGTATAATGTCAAATGGGAAGAAACATTACAGTTCTCATCATCAAGTATCATGTTAGCTGTGGCCTTTTTCATAGATGTCGCTTATCAGGTTAAGAAAATTAATGGCTCCTCCCTTTCTCTTCTTCATAGATTCCAGTTAGAAAATATTTTGGAAGTTTTTCAGTTTGTTATCCAAGTTTCTTATATTTTCCGTGTCTTTTTTTCCCCCCTTGATAAAACATTGCTAATTTAGACAAGAGGTTTTAGAGAGTAGAGGCAAGTGGCATTTGTTTGTCATTCACAGGCATTTGCAAGTAAAATCACTGGCATGCTGTTGGAGTTATCCCCAGCTCAGCTGCTGCTGCTTCTAGCAAGTGAAGATTCTCTGAGAGCAAGAGTAGATGAAGCCATGGAACTCATTATTGCACATGGACGGTAATATGCACATTTGAGAAGATGTTTTAAACATTAGCTACTTTATTTTTAGGATATAGGTGTTAGCATATCTTATAATCTGTATTAAACAGTGCAAGACTTGAATGGTTTTAATTTTAGGAGATGGCTTAAAAATCTGAGTGAGACAGCCAAGTTTACTAGAAGGGCTGAATTTTAGCAGTCACTTTAGGTTTGAAGATAAATTTTATGAACCTTATTTAGAAATTAACTTATAAGAAGTACATCTCATTCTCCACCTGAATACCTCTAATGGCAAAGGCCAGATACCTCAAGGAATTGGGTGTAATTCCTGAGTCTTTGTAGTAAATAAGAAATTTCTTCTAGGCATCCTGATTTATCTTGGAAATCATGCAAATGTTTGCTTTTATTGTGCAATATATTTGTTTTTAATATAAAACTTAAAAATATCGAACAGTTAAATTACTTACCCATCTTTTCCCCCAAGTGACAGGTTAAAGTGACAAGAAGATATGCCACATTTAATCTGTGCCCTTCTATCTCGGGGTTACTCTAATAACCAGTTTGAGGCTTTGAAGTGTCATTTTTAAATGAAAATGTGGTTTTTTTTTTCTTCCTAGTCATGATATTGAATGACGAACTTCAAGATTAGACATGGTCCTAGAGATGGATAAGTGGGTTGGCTAAACCCTGAAGTAAACAGCCGTTTAACTTATTCTAGCTGTTTACAGATCTCAGAGCCTTTGAATGGTCCAAGCCAAAGACTTGCCAGAAGTCTCTTTTCTTTGCTGTTAACTATTTTTCATTTCTTGACTTTTATGTACTACATTTTCATTCCTCTTCCTTGCTTCTGGATACAACAACACTAATATAGCTTAGCCCATTACAGAAAAAGTTGCAAATAATGTGCATTTTTGCAGGGGGCGGGGGGGAGGAGACATTTGTAAATATATGTAAGGGTTGCTATTTTAGTAGTATTTTCTGTTGAATACAAGAATATATAATATTGACTGCTTTCAGCTGCCTTTATGGATTGAACAGTGAATTTGTTAGTTTTCTAGGACAATTAAATACACTGGAACACTTGATTCCTATTGTGGTTGCCTTCTGAAATTTTTCCTGTTCTTTTACAGTGTTTTCCCTGAGCTCAAGTTTCAGTCCCCCTATGAAGACTGCATTTATTTTGTCTTAAATCGGGTAGCCTTTAGTTCATTGTCTTGAATCATACATGTAGTATTTTTGTGTATATTATTGCCATTTCTGCTCCTAGAACTGCAGTATGACTAGTAAAGTGTCCTAGATACTTATTTACTTCAAAACTTAAATATATTGATAAAGTCTTAAAAATTTAAATGTATATGGTTTTCTCTACACTAAATTCTAGAAATTTCAGTTATCTGCAACATGAAAGGTATTGTTTGTTTTTAGGGAAAATGGAGCCGATAGTATACTGGATCTCGGATTATTAGACTCTTCAGAAAAAGTACAGGTAAGGGATGTTTTGTGGGCTTCCCTGGTAGCTCAGATGGTAAAGACTCTACCTGCAATGTGGGAGACCCAGGTTCAATCCCTGCATCAGGAAGATCCCCTGGAGAAGGGAATGGCTGCCCACTCTAGTATTCTTTCTTGTCTGTTAACGTGCATGCTGTATTTCAATTTGTAGGCTACGTGAGAACTTCTGTGCCAGCCAGGATATAATCATATCCCTTTCACTGATAACAACTTAAAACTCTAGAAAAACTTAAGAAAGGAACTGCTTGAGCATTCTGGAAAGTAAACAGTAGCACACAGATTGGAGGGAAGTCAAAACTTGAAAAACAACTGTTGGGGCATTATTTCAGGCAGGAGAGTAAAGCTGATCCCCATTACTCCATCTTAACTGGAAGATAGCACATGCTTTAAGAAATAAACTACACTAACAGACTATCCCACATGGTGCATATGCAGAACAGACCCATAGTAGAATTAAAAGGCTTTTGGTAATGGAACACTGACTACTCATTGGAAGGACTGTTATTGAAGCTCCAATACTTTGGCCACCTGATGCCAACTCATTGGAAAAGACCCCAATGCTGGGAAGGATTGAGGGCAGGAGGAGAAGGGGGGCAACAAGAGGATGAGATGGTTGGATTTCACAAGATAGTGGAGGACAGAGGGGTCTGGAGTGCCGCAGTCCGTGGAGTCACGAAGAGGCAGACACGACTGAGCAACACTGGGACCACTGCACACAGAGGATACTTCCAGGCTGAACCTAACCAGGTTGTTAACTACCAAAGCCAAAAAATTTAGCATTCTCCATATTATTTCAACAAGACCCAGAGTTCTATAACTTAGTAAAAAAATGTCCAGGATACACTCCAAAATTATTCAACATACAAAGAACCAGCAGAGACTCACCAGTTCTCCTGGGAAAAGAACTAAGTGATGCTAATCTTGAGGTTACCCCACTTGTTGGAATTATCAAAAACTTTTCTCATGTTCTATAAGATAAGCAAATGAATGGAAAAGTAAAGATTTGCAACAGAGGAATAGAAAAAGAGAACCAAGGGAAAATTATAGAAAGTATTCATGAAAATTAAAAAGTTCACTGAATAGATCAATAGCAGAACGAAGATGATATAGGAAAGTATCAATTTGAAGATAGAAACTATCCATTTTGAAGAAGAGAAAGAGAAGAGATCTCAAACAACAGTTTTCGGAGACCTGTTGGACCATGTTAAACAATGTCATTGGAGTGCCCAGAAGAGGAGAATGAGATTGCTACAGGAAATATTTGAAGAAATAGTAGCTGAAACCTTCCCAAATTTGGTGCATGACATATTTATTTGCAGATTCAAGAAGATCAATGAACCCTAAACAAGATAAACTGAGAGAAAACTGTGACTAGGTATAATCAGGCAGCTGTAAAACTAATAAGAAAATAATAGTGACTTACATGTAAACAGTAATGTGCAAGGCAGTGGATTTCTCATCAGAAACTGTGAAGGCTAGAAGACAGTTGGAGCATCATCCTTAAAGTGCTTTTAAAGTTGTCAATCCAGACTTCTATCAAGGGAAAATAAATTTAAGGAATCAAGATAAAAGAAGCTACCAGAGTTTCACTGAGTGATTTTACTTAAATGGACAGAGAAGTTAACAGGCACAAGCTTTGTATATCACAATTCTGAAAGAATGAGTTAAAGTTTATTTATATTTAAATATGAAACTTGCTTTACCTATAGAACTTTACATTTAAGTAATTTAAGAGAACCAGTTTGTATGCTTTGTTAAATATCAGTCTTAGGTAATGTTAAAAATATTACTGTTAATTTTTTTTGGAGGAGGTACCTGGATTATTACTAATTTTAAAGAGGGCTATGATGATATTTTTAAATAATAATCTTTCCCTTGTATACACATATACTAAAATATAAAATCTTGGGACTTGATCTCCGATACTTTGTTATTAGGAAAACCGAAAGCGTCATGGTTCTAGTCGAAGTGTAGTAGATATGGATTTAGATGATACAGATGATGGTGATGACAACGCCCCTTTGTTTTACCAACCTGGAAAAAGAGGATTTTATACTCCAAGGCCTGGCAAAAACACAGAAGCAAGATTGAATTGTTTCAGAAATATTGGCAGGTAAAGTCACTCTAATCTTAGATTTGAATTTTTAAAAAATTTCAGTTTAATGAGATTTTTCTAAAATACATTAGTCTGTAAAATGTATATATGTTCTACCATAAAATTATTTAAGTGTGTATATTATGGTGTTATGTGGTCTAGAATTTTTTTAATTTAATTACTATTTAGTCTGTAAAATGTATATATGTTCTACTGTAAAATTATTTAAGTGTGTACATTATTTATGGTGTTATGTGGTCTAGAATTTTTTTAATTTAATTACTATTTGCTTGTTTTTATTTTTAGGATTCTTGGACTGTGTCTATTACAGAATGAACTGTGTCCTATCACATTGAATAGACATGTGATTAAAGTGTTGCTTGGTAGGAAAGTAAGTGATTTTAATGAATCCAACTGCTTTTACAGTTGCAAAATTTTTTTATAAAGTATATAGTTATGGCATTAACTTAATATTAAAATTTAAGGCATTCTAGTCATTATAAAGTCATTTTCAAGCATTTAATGACATGGAGAAAAATCTCAATACATGGAGGAGATAGCATAGGAGAATGAGTGACACAGAGGTGAGTTTAGAGGGGTTGACAGACCTGGATCCCGTTGCAGACAGATCTTTGGAATTTATTCCTCATTAATACAATGGTAAAGATAATAATATAGTGCCTGGCACATAGTAAGTGCTCAGTAAGTTTTATTATTACCTGTTCTAGCAAGTAATGGCAATAGAAGTAGCATTGTATTGAAACGAGCACCCCTAGCTTCAAAACTGTATGTAAGATGTATGTTGGTAGAAGGGAGAAAAGAAGGTAAGAACATCTAGCTCAGCAATGCTTGATAATTATCTCTTGGTGACAGAATTAGCTTATTTTCTTTTGTGTTTTGATAGTTTGACAGCTTGTACATTCCTTTATGATGGGGAAGGTAGGAGAAAAACACATTCTTTAAATTAATGCATAATACTAATTATAATACACTATAAATAGCAAAATACTGTATGGTCTTTGCTACAGATGCACACCACACATCTGATATGAGTTAGCATCATTAACATTGTGGTCTGTCAGTAATTTTCTCTTACCAAACCTACTAGTGAATATTGTTTTCTATTACAGCATATCATACTATGATACATATTTTTTCCTTTTTTTTAAATGCTAACTCTATTGACATCTTAATGTGTTCCAGGTAAAATGCTCTTGTACAGAGAAAGAACTGGACTTAAAAGCTAGCAGCATAGAAATGTTGAGCCTTTAACAAGGTTTATGGAAAAGGTCCTGGAATCAAACAGACTCAAATATAACCCAATGATATGACCTTCAGCAAGTTACTGAATTTGTTTGAGCATTAGATTTATCATCTGGAATTACAGAATGTGTATTTAGGATCAGCTGCTCAGCATAATCACTTTTTAATAATTAGTTCTGGTTCCTGCAGATCAATTTAGAACTTAAAGCTCTTACACTCCTGGCTTTAAATTTTTAAAAAATATATACTTTTCATACTTTGAAAATTAAATGTATTATCAGAGCCAAAGACTTACTAAAATTTTACCTCTTTAGACCAGTTATATTAGTGGGAGATTATTTCTTTACCAGTGTATTGTCTATCTTCAAATTAGATAAAATTTTTATCATAGATTTCAACTTAACTACTGAATCCAATTAAGATGTTTCTTTCATAATTCATTTTTAGGTCAATTGGCATGATTTTGCTTTTTTTGACCCTGTGATGTACGAGAGTTTGCGGCAACTTATTCTTGCTTCTCAGAGTTCAGATGCTGATGCTGTTTTCTCAGCAATGGATTTGGCATTTGCAATTGACCTGTGTAAAGAAGAAGGTGGAGGACAGGTAAAACAAATGAATTTGGTTAGTCTATTGAGCTTGAAACACAGAAAAACAATTTAGATAGGTAGGGACCAAGAAAGAGAAAGAGACACCCACACACACACACACAAAGACACAGTAAGAGATGGAGAGAAAGATACGAATGGATGGAGAGTTAGATTGAGAGGTTGAAGAGTTTATAGTTACTTAGGCCTAGAATGTCTGCATCTCTTAGTTGTCAAATACAGGATTGTCTCTTTAGATTTTAAAATTTTAGGAAATTGTTTTATGAACTGCTAACTTATTCCTGCTTTGTCAAAATTGGTTTTAAATGGCACTGCTAAATTTTCCACAGGTTGAACTTATTCCTAATGGTGTAAATATACCAGTCACTCCTCAGAATGTTTATGAGTATGTGCGGAAATATGCTGAACATAGAATGTTGGTAGTTGCAGAACAGCCATTACACGTAAGTTTTTTCCAGAAAATGTCACTTGATCTGATGAGGCTATTTGTATCTTCTGTGTTTTAAACTAGCTTACAGTGTATTCAGCTTGCTTATGAAGGGTCAAAATTTTTAAACCAAAATGAGTTTACATACAGTATAAATTATACCCGAGTCCAAACCAACTCCTTTCTTTTGGGTAAAACTACTTGGAAGAACCATGTAATCATCAGAAAGTAGATCTGGTGAGTAAAAATTTGGAAAGGATGCTTTATGGGACTCAGATGATTACCGTTTTGGAGTCCTGCAGCCATCCATGCCTCTGGTGACGTACTAGGTGGACCCCTTGGACTTCGAGGGAGTTATTGGTATGGTTTATTATAACAAAAGGACTCTCACAAGGGGAGAATTATATCAGACAGAGTCTGGAGGAATCCAGGTACAAGCTTCAAAATTCTCTTTCTGGGGGTATGAGTTGTCACAAAAAAATAGGTTCTTCCTCCAGCAGTGATTTACAGCAATGCCTATGCAGTGTTTGTGTTTAGGGAAGCCTACTTAAGAGTCAGGGCCCAGCTTTTTTACTGGAGGCCAGTCCTACTAGCAGAGGAAATATTAGAGTCCTGTCAGAATCCCAGAGGAAAAACACATATTCATCATAAATCACCTTTTTAACAGATAGTCTAGACAAGCTGTTACAGCAGGACTTACTGCCACATCAGTTAGTAATAGTGTAGGGAACATTCCAAAAGCCAAGTTTCCACATGCCTGTCAAGGACCATCCTCCCATCAGACTCTTCTAAAGATCAACATCGGGCCGACTATGTTAACTGTTTCTCCTCCTGGTGAAGAATGTTTATGAAGTGGTTTTGATCCCTGTGCTGGGAATAATTGTGTGGGCTCTGGAATTCTACTGTCCAGATTCAAATCATGCCTGCAGCCTGCTCTAGCTGTGTAACATTAGCAAGCTACTCAAGTACCGTGTGCCTTTGTTCCCTCCTCTGAAAATGAGGATGGGATTAATGTTAATTAACATATGTAAGGTGCTTAGAACAGTTCTTAGCATTTCTCAGTAAGTTTGTGTCAGGGATATTGGTTTTTTGTTATCATCATACTTTTCTTAGGATATTGACAGGATAGCATGATTGACAGATTGTTTCTTTTTTTTTTCCCCCCATTTATTTTTATTAGTTGGAGGCTAATTAACTTTACAATATTCTAGTGGTTTTTGTCATACATTGACATGAATCAGCCATGGAGTTACATGTGTTCCCCATCCCGATCCCCCCTCCCACCTCCCTTTCCACCCGATCCCTCTGGGTCTTCCCAGTGCACCAGGTCCGAGCACTTATCTCATGCATCCAACTTGGGCTGGTGATCTGTTTCACCCTAGATAATATACAAGTTTCGATGCTGTTCTCTTGAAACATCCCACCCTCGCCTTCTCCCACTGAGTCCAAAAGTCTGTTCTGTACATCTGTGTCTCTTTCTCTGTTTTGCATATAGGGTTATCATTACCATCTTTCTAAATTCCATATATATGTGTTAGTATACTGTAATGGTTTTTATCTTTCTGGCTTACTTCACTCTGTATAATGGGCTCCAGTTTCATCCATCTCATTAGAACTGATTCAGATGAATTCTTTTTAATGGCTGAGTAATATTCCATGGTGTATATGTACCACAGCCTCCTCATCCATTCGTCTGCTGATGGGCATCTAGGTTGCCTCCATGTCCTGGCTATTATAAACAGTGCTGCGATGAACATTGGGGTACACGTGTCTCTTTCAGATCTGGTTTCCTTGGTGTGTATGCCCAGAAGTGGGATTGCTGGGTCATATGGCAGTTCTATTTCCAGTTTTGTAAGAAATCTCCACACTGTTTTCCATAGTGGCTGTCCTAGTTTGCATTCCTACCAACAGTATAAGAGGGTTCCCTTTTCTCCACACCCTCTCCAGCATTTATTGCTTGTAGACTTTTGGATAGCAGCCATCCTGACTGGTGTGTAATGGTACCTCCTTGTGGTTTTGATTTGCATTTCTCTGATAATGAGTGATGTTGAGCATCTTTTCATGTGTTTGTTAGCCATCTGTATGTCTTCTTTGGAGAAATGTCTGTTTAGTTCTTTGGCCTATTTTTCGATTGGATTATTTATTTTTCTGGAACTGAGCTGCAGGAGTTGTTTGTATATTTTTGAGATTAATCCTTTGTCTGTTGCTTCGTTTGCTATTATTTTCTCCCAATCTGAAGGCTGTCTTTTCACTTTGCTTATTGTTTCCTTTGTTGTGCAAAAGCTTTTAAGTTTCGTTAGGTCCCATTTGTTTATTTTTGCTTTTATTTCCAATATTCTAGGATGTGGGTCATAGAGGATCCTGCTGTGATTTATGTCAGAGAGTGTTTTGCCTATGTTCTCCTCTGGGGGTTTTATAGTTTCTGGTCTTACATTTAGATCTTTAATCCATTTTGAGTTTATTTTTGTGTATGGTGTTAGAAAGTGTACTAGTTTCATTCTTTTACAGGTGGTTGACCAGTTTTCCCAGCACCACTTGTTAAAGAGGTTGTCTTTTTTCCATTGTATATCCTTGCCTCCTTTGTCAAAGATAAGGTGTCCATAGGTTCGTGGATTTATCTCTGGGCTTTCTATTCTGTTCCATTGATCTATATTTCTGTCTTTGTGCCAGTACCATACTGTCTTGATGACTGTGGCTTTGTAGTATAGTCTGAAGTCAGGCAGGTTGATTCTCAAGATTACTTTGGCTATTCGAGGTTTTTTGTATTTCCATACAAATTGTGAAATTATTTGTTCTAGTTCTGTGAAAAATACCGTTGGTAGCTTGATAGGGATTGCATTGAATCTATAGATTGCTTTGGGTAGTATAGCCATTTTGACAATATTGATTCTTCCAATCCATGAACACGGTATATTTCTCCATCTGTTTGTGTCCTCTTTGATTTCTTTCATCAGTGTTTTATAGTTTTCTATGTTATAGGTCTTTTGTTTCTTTAGGTAGATATACTCCTAAGTATTTTATTCTTTTTGTTGCAGTGGTGAATGGTGTTGTTTCCTTAATTTCTCTTTCTGTTTTCTCATTGTTTGTGTATAGGAATGCAAGGGATTTCTGTGTGTTAATTTTATATCCTGCCACTTCACTATATTCGTTGATTAGCTCTAGTAATTTTCTGGTAGAGTCTTTAGGGTTTTCTATGTAGAGGATCATGTCATCTGCAAACAGAGTTTCACTTCTTTTCCTATCTGGATTCCTTTTATTTCTTTTTCTGCTCTGATTGCTGTGGCCAAAACTTCCAACACTATGTTGAATAGTAGTGGTGAGAGTGGGCACCCTTGTCTTGTTCCTGATTTCAGGGGATATGCTTTCAATTTTTCACCATTGAGGGTAATGCTTGCTGTGGGTTTGTCATATGTAGCTTTTATTATGTTGAGGTATGTTCCTTCTAGTCCTGCTTTCTGGAGAGTTTTAATCTTAAGTGGATGTTGAATTTTGTCAAAGGCTTTCTCTGCATCGATTGAGATAATCATATGGTTTTTATCTTTCAATTTGTTAATGTGGTGTATTACATTGATTGATTTGCAGGTATTAAAGAATCCTTGCATTCCTGGGATAAAGCCCACTTGGTCATGGTGTATGATTTTTTTAATATGTTGTTGGATTCTGTTTGCTAGAATTTTGTTAAGGATTTTTGCATCTATGTTCATCAGTGATATTGGCCTGTAGTTTTCTTTTTTTGTGGCATCTTTGTCTGGTTTTGGAATTAGGGTGATGATGGCCTCATAGAATGAGTTTGGAAGTTTACCTTCTTCTGCAATTTTCTGGAAGAGTTTGAGTAAGATAGGTGTTAGCTCCTCTCTACATTTTTGATAGAATTCAGCTGTGAAGCCATCTGGTCCTGGGCTTTTGTTTGCTGGAAGATTTCTGATTACAGTTTCGATTTCCTTGCTTGTGATGGCTCTGTTAAGATCTTCTGTTTCTTCCTGGTTCAGTTTTGGAAAGTTATACTTTTCTAAGAACTTGTCCATTTCTTCCAAGTTGTCCATTTTATTGGCATAGAGCTGCTGGTAGTAGTCTCTTATGATCCTTTGTATTTCAGTGTTATCTGTTGTGATCTCTCCATTTTCATTTCTAATTTTGTTAATTTGGTTCTTCTCCCTTTGTTTCTTAATGAGTCTTGCTAATGGTTTGTCAATTTTGTTTATTTTTTCAAAAAACCAGCTTTTAGCTTTGTTGATTTTTGCTATGGTCTCTTTAGTTTCTTTTGCATTTATTTCTGCCCTAATTTTTAAGATTTCTTTCCTTCTACTAACCCTGGGGTTCTTCACTTCTTCCTTCTCTAGTTGCTTTAGGTGTAAAGTTAGGTTATTTATTTGACTTTTTTCTTGTTTCTTGAGGTAGGCCTGGAATGCTATGAATCTTCCCCTTAGCACTGCTTTTACAGTGTCCCATAGGTTTTGGGTTGTGTTTTCATTTTCATTCATTTCTATGAGTATTTTGATTTCTTTTTTGATTTCTTCTATGATTTGTTGGTTATTCAGAAGCGTGTTATTTAGCCTCCATATGTTTGAATTTTTAATAATTTTTTTCCTGTAATTGAGATCTAATCATACTGCACTGTGGTCAGAAAAGATGACTGGAATGATTTCAATTTTTTTGAATTTACCAAGACTAGATTTATGGCCCAGGATGTGATCTATTCTGGAGAAGGTTCCGTGTGCACTTGAGAAAGGTGAAGTTGATTGTTTTGGGGTGAAACGTCCTATAGATGTCAATTAGGTCTAGCTGGTGCATTGTGTCATTTAAAGTTTGTGTTTCCTTGTTAATTTTCTGTTTAGTTGATCTATCCATAGGTGTGAGTGGGGTATTAAAGTCTCCCACTGTTATTGTGTTACTGTTAGTTTCCTCTTTCATACTCGGTAGCATTTGCCTTACATATTGTGGTGCTCCTATGTTGGGTGCATATATATTTATAATTGTTATATCATCTTCTTGGATTAATCCTTTGATCCTTATGTAGTGTCCTTCTTTGTCTCTTTTCACAGCCTTTATTTGAAAGTATTTTATCTGATATGAGTATTGCGACTCCTGCTTTCTTTTGGTCTCCGTTTGCATGAAATATTTTTTTCCAGCCCTTCACTTTTAGTCTGTATGTGTCCCTTGTTTTGAGGTGGGTCTCTTGTAGACAGCATATAAAGGGGTCGTGTTTTTGTATCCATTCAGCCAGTCTTTGTCTTTTGGTTGGGGCACTCAACCCATTTACATTTAAGGTAATTATTGATAGGTGTGGTCCCGTTGCCATTTACTTTGTTGTTTTGGGTTCACGTTTCTACAACCTTTCTCTGTTTCCTGTCTAGAGAAGATCCTTTAACAATTGTTGAAGAGCTGGTTTGGTGGTGCTGAATTCTCTCAGCTTTTGCTTGTCTGTAAAGCTTTTGAATTCTCCTTCATATCTGAATGAGATCCTTGCTGGGTACAGTAACCTAGGTTGTAGGTTATTCTCTTTCATTACTCTAAGTATGTCCTGCCATTCCCTTCTGGCCTGGAGGGTTTCTATTGATAGATCAGCTGTTATCCTTATGGGAATCCCTTTGTGTGTTGTTTCTCCCTTGCTGCTTTTAATATTTGTTCTTTGTGTTTTATCTTTGTTAATTTGATTAATATATGTCTTGGGGTGTTTTGCCTTGGGTTTATCCTGTTTGGGACTCTCTGGGTTTCTTGGACTTGGGTGGCTATTTCCTTCTCCATTTTAGGGAAAATTTCAGCTGTTATCTCCTCGAATATCTTCTCATGGCCTTTCTTTTTGTCGTCTTCTTCTGGGACTCCTATGATTCTAATGCTGGGGCATTTCACATTGTCCCAGAGGTCCCTGAGGTTGTCCTCATTTCTTTTGATTCTTTTTTCTTTTTTCCTCTCTGCTTCATTTATTTCCACCATTTTATCTTCTACCTCACTTATCCTATCTTCTACCTCCATTATTCTACTCTTGGTTCCCTCCAGAGTGTTTTTTATCTCATTTATTGCATTATTCATTTTTAATTGACTCTCTTTTATTTCTTCTAGGTCCTTATTAAACATTTCTTGCATCTTTTCAATCTTTGTCTCCAGGCTATTTATCTGTAACTCTATTTTGTTTTCAAGATTTTGGATCATTTTTAGTATCATTATTCTAAATTCTTTTTCAGGTAGATTCCCTATCTCCTCCTCTTTTGTTTGACTTGGTGGGCATTTTTCATGTTCCTTTACCTGTTGGGTATTTCTCTGCCTTTTCATCTTATTTAGATTGCTGTGTCTGGAGTGGGCTTTCTGTATTCTGGAGGTCTGTGGTTCCTTTTTATTGTGGAGGTTTCACCCAATGGATGGGGTTGGACGATTGGTTTGTCAAGGTTTCCTGGTTAGGGAAGCTTGTGTCAGTGTTCTGGTGCGTGGAATTGGATTTCTTCTCTCTGGAGTGCAGTGGAGTGTCCAGTAATGAGTTTTGAGATGGGTCTATGTGTTAGGTGTGACTTTGGGCAGCCTGTATGTTGACACTCAGGTGTGTGTTCCTGCGTTGCTGGAGAATTTGCGTGGTATGTCTTGCTCTGAAACTTATTGGCTCTTGAGTGGTGGTTGGTTTCAGTGTAGGTATGGAGGCTTTTCGATGGTCTCTTATTACTTAATGTTCCGTGTAGTCAGGAGTTTTCTGGTGTTCTCAGGTTTTGGGCTTAAGTCTCCTGCCTCTGGATTTCAGTTTTATTCTTCTGGTAGTCTCAAGACTTCTCCAACTATACAGCACTGATAATAAAACTTCTAGGTTAATGGTGAAAAGATTCTCCCCCATGAGGGACACCCAGAGAGGTTCACAGAGTTACATGAAGAAGAGGAGAGGCAGGAGGGAGATAGAGGTGAGCAGGAGGAGAAAAGGGGGGACTCAAGAGGAGAGAGACAGATCTACGCAGTTGTCTGTTCCCAGAGTGTTCTCCGTAGCCCAGACACCCACAGAGATTCACAGAATTGGATTGGGAAGAGAAGGGGAAAGGAGGAAATAGAGGTGTTCTGAGGTAGAAAACGGAGAGTCAAAAGTGGGAGAGAGTAATCAACACACTCCTGAATAGAAATGGGACCTGAATATTGGATTCTTAAATGTCCAAAATTTATATCACATACTGAAAAGCAAAGATTAAAAATCTAGCGTAGAGGTTAGACTCTTTAAAGTACAATATTTAAAAACAGAAACAAAAACACCAAAAAAAATTTAGAAATATATATGAAGTTCGGTTTAAGGCTTCTCTTTTTTTTTGAAAGGTTATAGTGAAATGAATATGAAAATTAAGGAATATTAGAGGACTTTAAAAGGAAATAAGAAAAACAGGAAAAAGAAGAAAAAAATTTTTTCCCCTAATTAAAAAAGTCATAAAAATATATGAAAATGAAAGTTAAGGAGCAATGGGGGAGTAATAGGGAATTTTAAAAAAATAATAATAGAGGAAAAATTTTAAAAAGGTAAGAAGAAAAAAATTTTTTTAATTAAAAAAAATATCTATCTATCTCTCTCTCTCTCTCTCTCTCTCTCTCTAGGAATTTCTCTGGAGCTGTTGCGGTCAGTGTGGGTTCGGTTCAGTTTCAGATAGCTCCTCATTCCAGCTTACACTTCTCGATATCTATAGGCCCCTTCCAGTGTAGTCGGTGTTACCTACAGGGATTTTAATCTGTTGCACGGGTCCTTTCTGAAGCGGTTCCCTTTGTTTATTTGGCTTCTGTTTGCCGCCTCTTCGGTGTCTAATTTCCGCCCTGACACAGGTGGGCGGAGGTGATCTCTTATTTAGGTTCGCTAGTTCAGTTCAGTCCTGCTACGGGGAGGGCGGGGCGCTGCAGACAGATATCGCTGTGTGTGGATAGCACTCACCGTGTTCCGACCACACTGGGTTTGCCCCGCTCATGGGTGTCTGTGCTTTCCCCGTCTATACTGCTCAGGCTCCCTGCTGCTCTATAGGGAGCTGCCCTGCGTTGCGTGCGGTTCCAGTTTTCGGGTACTCCACAAAAGCGCGGACTTGGTTGCGCCTGCGTTTTGTGCCTTCCCCGGCCTGAGCGGCCCAGGCAGCCAGGGGCTTGACCGGCGCACTCTCCCTGGGTGCGGACTGCCCTCTCCCTTCTGCGGCCCCAGCCTCAGTTTCTGTGCGCGCCAATCGCCAGTCGGGTACCAGCGGCTTGTCTTTGTTCTCAGGAGCTGGCCTCTAGCTGAGACCTTGCCGGCGGCAGATGTCAACCATCCAGAATCTCAGGGAGTCTTTGGATAGAAACTGGAGGCCTGTTTGCAGTGTGGGAGGGGAGGCTGTCTCTGGGGCCGAGTGTGCCCCTTTCCCCTCCCCCCTGCCTACTACCTCCGGGGGCGGGGATGGGCTGGTCCGCCGCAAGCTAGCTCTTCTCTGGAGTTTCTCAGTCCCTTTGTTTTGCGAACAGCCGGCAGTGTGTTCGGGCTGGTTAATTTTCTCCCTTGCTATCCCACAGTTTAAAAGAGTTCCCTCTGATTGCTCTCAGGGCCTTCGGGCCGGTCCTTACCCTAAGCAATGCCGCCCGCTGCTCTCCCTTCGGCCCCCACTTGCTGGTGGCGGATGCAGGTGTCTGGGGTACTTTTCTGCTGGGAGTTGCTTTTAGGCACGTAATTTGTGGGCCTTATTTAATTTTTCCTCCCAGTTAGGTTGTCCTCCGAGATTTGAAAACTTCCCCTAGACCCGCCAGTGCGAGGGTTTCCTGGTGTTTGGAAACTTCCTCTATTAAGACTCCCTTCCCTGGACGGGTCTCCATCCCTAGCCCTTTTGTCTCTTTTTCTTTTATATTTTGTCCTACCTCCTTTCGAAGACAATGGGCTGCTTTTCTGGGCGCCTGATGTCCTCAGCTAGCGATCAGAAGTTGTTTTGTGAAGTTTGCTCAGCGTTCAGTTGTTCTTTCGATGAATTTGTAGGGGAGAAAGTGGTCTCCCCGTCCTATTCCTCCGCCATCTTGGCTCCTCCTCGACAGATTGTTTGTTTATGACTATCCTGTTTGTTACTAACATAATTTTAAAAACTATTTTAGTTAACTCCTGAGATAAAATAATATTCCTTTACTGTTGAACCTATAGCCCTTTTTCTCTTCTGCCTGTCTTTTGAATTTGTTAATAAACTCAAAATACAGAACTTCATATTATTTAGTATTCTTAGGCTGTTAAAATTAGACATTGGGCTTTAATGATAATAACTGCTATGTAGAAAATAAAGTACTGATCATAATAAATAAGTAATTTTTGAAATCCTCTAGGCAATGAGGAAAGGTCTACTGGATGTGCTTCCAAAAAATTCATTAGAAGATTTAACAGCAGAAGACTTTAGGCTTTTGGTAAATGGCTGTGGTGAGGTTAACGTGCAGATGCTGATCAGTTTCACCTCTTTCAATGATGAATCAGGTATGAAATTTATTAAATGTTTACATGAGAAATAAACTATACAGATAATTTGGTCAGTTTTCCGGGTTTCTGGTTCTTAACCTATTTATAGGGACTTAGGAAATGCTGTTTATTACTCATGTTTTTATATATTTTAAGGTATGTTTGAACTATGATAGCTTATTATTAGGTTATTCCTAATTCTTTTATTGCTTTATTTTTCTATGTTTTAAAGAATGGATGGTTTAGTATGAAATAGTAAAAATTCTTTGTGGTGAACAACTGTGTTAAAAGGGTTTTTATTTTTAGAAAAAAAATAATCCTTATGACAATTCTATTGGCCTTTCCCAATTCATGTTTCTTAAGCTCTCTAAAGAATTTGATTGCATGATGTAGCCTTTTTCCCCTTCTGCCTCTCTTTTGAATTTGTTAATAAGAAACTCAAATTACAGAGCTTCACTTTTTAGAAGTTCAGAACTGAACCAAGAGCACACTTAGAAAGACATACAACACACAACCACATGAAGAATCTAGAAAGAGTAACAAGAGGTAGTGATAATCCTAGAATAACATTTGTCATCAGTGCTTGATTTGTTGCAACTTTTTCTTTTCAAAGTCCCATATTCTAGGGGTAGACTTTTTAGCTGTGACTGTAAAATAAAATGGGCTTACCTGGTGGCTCAGACGGTAAAGAATTCGCCTGCAGTGCAGGAAACCAGGGTTTGATCTCTGGGTTGGGAAGATCATTTGGAGAAGGGAATGGCAACACTGTCCATTATTCTTGCCTGGAGAATTCCATGGACAGAGGCACCTGGTGGGTTACAGTCTCTGGGGTCGCAAAGAGTCAGACAAGACTGAGTGACTAACACATACAACAAAATACTGGAACTTCCAAGAAATTCATGAGAAGACTATATCTCTAGTCCAAGATTAATTCCATACATGAAGGTACCAGTTTTTTCCCTTTTATTATTCATATTTTGCAAACAGCTTCAGCCAAATTATAGTAAGTTAAATTTGGGTAAATTTCCTTGTTTTTCTTTGCTTGGTAACGTGCAGATCACTGCATAATAGTTTTTGTGCTAAATAATAATATAGTTTTTAATATTCGTGACATAAGAATTTGGTTTATTTATTGATATAAACTAAAAACCTAGAAGGCAAAAAATTTATCTGAAGACCCTCCAAGTATGATCCTCAAATCAACAACATCAGCATCATATGGAAGCTTTTTAGAAATTCAGAATCTCTGGTTTCTTTCCCCTTTCTTCCCCCATACCTAGTGAATGAGAATCTGCATTTTAAAAGGATCTCCCAAGTGACTTGTAAACTCATTAAACTTTGAGAAGCACTGGTTTAACATCATGAGAAGAATCATGACTTAGTGGTGGAATTAAAGTCATGTGATTTTTGAGGCTGTGGTTCGTTTTGCTTGTCTTGGTCATTGGGATAGACTAACGAACTATAGAGGTTTCACATTACACAAATGGTCTTGATTTCCTGTATTAGGATTAGACCCCCGCAGTCACATTTTAATTTTATAAGTAGTATTCTAAAAATACAACTGATACAGAATATTTATTGAATTTATGTTTATTTGTAGGAGAAAATGCTGAGAAGCTCTTGCAGTTCAAGCGGTGGTTCTGGTCAATTGTAGAGAAGATGAGCATGACAGAACGACAAGATCTTGTAAGTGTTTTCATAAAATTTGTAGAAGAAAGTGTAAAAACCTTAAATACTCTGTATGAAAGACAGCCTTTTGTTTTAAATTGGTAATGATTTTAATTTTGGCTAAGGAAATTGAAGACCAAAAATAAAAGGCAATTTTGTTTTTCTATTCTGTAGTAGGACATCTGAAGTACGACTGAAGTATGAGTAAAACTATAAAGAGTAAAATACATCTTAGCTATTAAAATGCTATCCTTAGTCCCAGAATATACAATATCAGCTTACTGTTGAGACACGTTTTTCCCCCTATAGTGAGTGCTAATGTATGTTAGTGGCCTCTTTCGTCCATCCTTAATCTTTTTGACTATCTGCAAGTGTTTGCAAAATTTTTTAATAGAATTGTAATTGCTCTGTGTGCTGTGAATAGAGTAATTGCGGCACTAGGTCTGTGATTTTAATCTTTGAAGTGTTCGGACTTCGCTGGGGGCTCAGCTGGTGAAGAACCTGCCTGCAATGCTGGAGACCCAGGTTCGATCCCTGGGTTGCGAAGATCCCCTGGAGAAGGGAATGGTCTATGATTTTAACCTTATTACTTATTAAGTTAATAAATTAAGACATAAATCATAAATTAAGACAGTATAAACTTCGATCATATTGAAGTCTATCAAGTCTGTAGCATTTATGTCCAACTGTGATTATATCCAAATCAACCTGTCCAGTAGCCTTAAAAGGTAGTCCCCTGTAGACTTTCTTGTAGAAATTCAAGGGACATTCCTTATTCAGAAAACTTCTATTCATATTCCTCATAGTTCCCTATGTCATTTGCCCCTGTTGAACCAGCCTTAGTTCTCAGTATTCTAAACCTCTAAACCACAGTATTGCAAACTCTATGTATAATGTATATGTAGAGGTTTATAACTTATAAAAAATGATACAATTTCTAGATATATCCCCCAATTTTATTTGAGAGGGGGGAATAGTTGGGCAGGAAAGCACAGAGCTTGCAGTTTCCGATTTACCTAGAAAGGTAGTCAGTAACTTATTTTTTGTGGGGAGGGGGCCATGCGTTTAGCATTCCTTCATCTTCACATGGCCCCCGGCGCCTTCCAGTATTTCCCTACTATAGCAAGACAGGTTGTCCAGCAGTCCTAGCTGTCAGGTTTTTTTTTTTTGTTCTTGGCTTGGCCATCTAGTAGTTTCCTAGGCTTCTCCCTAGGTTCATTCCTTATAATTCCATGTATTTTGACTTTCATAAACTTGTAGACCAATCCTGAAAGTCCCTACCAGTGCAGATACTGTATCTGTACCTGTTGGTTTTAAGAGTACCTGAGTTGCTTATTAGGGTTCCTGTAGTCAGTCTGGATTCAGAGCAAAACCAATATGTCTTGTCTAGTCAGTCAAGTTAAAATCTCACTGCATTTCTGCCATCTCCTAGAAGAGAAATTTGCTAACTATTCAGTCTTTTACAAAAGAGAGAGAATATCTCCCTCTGTGGGGGCCTCAAAATGTCCAGCAGCAGCTTTAATTGTGAGCTTCACTCTTTAAACTCCTGTGTTCTTTGGGCTTAGCAGTAGATCACGGTGTCTTTTACCTCCTCCTCTTCCCCTTTTGGGAGGTTATCTTCACATATTGTTAGGCTTTTCCATATGTGTCTTAGGGACATAAGAATATAACGGTTTCCTAAACTCTTCTCCCTTGAATTACTAGCCCTAGGGTTATGCAATAAAACTACATACATAGTGTATTTCCCTCTTGGAAAGTCATAGTTCACTAGTAAAAGTTTTGAGAAGTCCTCTGTTATGTATTTATCTTTTTCCAACTTCTTGGAGGTCCAGCAGTATAGTAATCTGGCTCTGGGTAACCACATTTATCCTTGGAGAAACACTTTACATTGTTTGTTTTTTACCTGTAAAATGAGTAGGTTGGGCCAGGTTTATGTCTATAGTACCTTCCAGCCCATTTATAAATTATTTGAAGATTTTGCAGACGCTGACACTTGAAGAGTTTCGTTTTTCCCTGCTTCCTCCTGTAGAATTCTAGATGAGATTTCTCACATAACTATGCTTCAGGAACTAGTTTAGGGTTCCTAGTCTGAGATAATGAATATATTTGTTTGTATGTGTTAAGTTGCTTCAGTCATGTCCGACTCTTTGTGACCCTATGGACTGTAGCCCACCAGGTTCCTCTGTACGTGGGACTCTCCAGGCAAGAATACTCAAGTAGGTTTCCATGTCCTCCTCCAGGGGATCTTCCTGACATAGGGATTGAACCCACAATTCTTAACCTCTCCTGCATTGGCAGGCTGGTTCTTTCCACTAGCGCCACCTGGGAAGCCCTTTTGTCTGTTTAGTTGTGTACTATAAATGCAAGATTTTAAAAGCTTTACCTTAAGAGATAGTCACTGTCTACTATCAATGAGGAAAGGTATGTATTAATAAAAATATTTCAGGAAAGTATATCTTTGGTTTTATTTAAAGAAAAAATAATTTACACTATCTTACACAAATTAGATGTGTTTTAAAACTCAATGTTAGCATGGCTTATTGCATGGATTTTGATGTACAGTATATGCTGTCTGACAATTACTATTACAAAATTATTGTATGTCACAGTGCACCACTGAAAAACATTGGGTGGTTTTGCTAGTAGATAAAATGCATAATAACTTTTTGATAGCCTCTGTGAATTTTGAACCTTTTTCAGAGACCTTGTGCCTTATTCCCACTAAGAGACGCTCTGCGAAATTTAGCAACAGGAAGGGCTCTTAGACAGCATTTGGTCAGGTAACCTCATGTTACATATGAGAAGCTGAGGCATTTGAAACATAGTCACTTTTCTACATAGCTGACACTTTTTTCTCTTCCAACCCTGAAACTTTCGTTTTGAATATAAGAAATTTAAAAGACAGTTCTAAATGATAACCCTTTGTAGGTTTTAACACAAGAATGGGGCTGTATGTATAATTGCCAGAATTAAGGATTGAATGTTAATCTCTTAAAAGCCAAACATGTGATTATTATACTTATGTTTAGGTTTACTTTTGGACATCAAGCCCTTCATTACCAGCCAGTGAAGAAGGATTTCAGCCTATGCCCTCCATCACAATAAGACCACCAGATGACCAACACCTTCCTACTGCAAATACTTGCATTTCTCGACTTTACGTCCCACTCTATTCCTCTAAACAGATTCTCAAACAGAAATTGCTACTCGCCATTAAGACCAAGAATTTTGGTTTTGTGTAGAGTATAAAACATGTGTATTGCTGTGTAATATTACTTGCTAATTTTGTAGATTTTTCCCATTTGTCTATAAGAGTTTATGGAAGTTGATGCTGTCGCATACCCTGTGGTACCTTTACCTTAAAGAGATGAATGCAAACATTCCTTGCTGAGTTTGTAGCTTAAAGGCCTGAGGAGCACTAGCAACATTTGACTATAATGGTTTGCTAGTCAACAACTTCTGGGTCTAACCCCAGCCAAAGATGACAGCAGAACAACATAATTTACACTGTGATTTATCTTTTTGCTGAGGGGAAAAAATGTAAAACGTTCTGAAAATTCACTGCTGCCTTTGTGGAAAGTGTTTCAGCAAAGGTTCTTGTATAGAGGGAATAGGGAATTTCAAAATAAAAAATTAAGTATGTTCTGTGTTTCATTTTAACTTTTTTTATGGTGTTTAATTTGTGGTTGGCTGCGGTTGTGTATCGTATATGGAACTTGTAAAAAAGTTCTGAACATTCAGATCTTAAGAAATGAAATATCTTTTACCTATAAAAACCACTTTTATTGCAGTTTGACTGCATTGAGCTCTAGGATATTAAAATGATATCACTAATATTTTGCATGTAATTTGTTCATTTGAGGGCACTTTTTTGTACATATGATGGGGGCCAATGCACAATACTTTATCACAATCAACTTTTTTCTTTGTATCCCTATTTCAATGAGCAGTCAGTCAGGTATTCTGCACTTCAGTTCTAACTAGACATTTGTACTAAGGCATTTCAGTTATGTAAACTCAGCCTGGGCACTTTCTGATAACTGTAAAATGTTTTATAAGATCATGATTATTGAAGATACATTTTGGAAAATTTTAAATGTTCGTGAGCAGCTTAACTACTTTTGTATCTAGCCTTTTTTAAGTATCTTGTTACATTTACTTTTTTAAATAAATTACAGAAGAAATGTCAAGTAATATGAAGAAACAATAGTTTTTATTTATGTAGTTGTACATTTTTTAAACTAAGGGCAATACAGTATTCACGGTTATGTGCATAAAAATTTTGTTTTAAAAAACTGAATGTACACACGGACTGTAAGAAACAGAAGGAAATTGGTCCACATTTTACAGTTAGCAGAGAATCCTGAATGGCACTGGCCAGGCCACGTTTTCTTTTATACAAATGGGGAAGTAAAATGAGCCTCACTTGGCATCAGAAGTCAATCCAGTTATATTTAATAACTGAGAAGTTCTTTTTTGATGATCCATTAACTATGTAGCTTAGGATCATTATCTCTAAATTCTTGTGGTTTTAGTAGCTTTATTCAGTGGCATAATAAGGAACACTTTTCTTCACCATGTCTTCAATAATGTGACTTAGACCAGTCACTTTTCATTTTGAAAATGAGAGTCTGGAGTCTTTCCTTTTTTGTCGTTCCTTTGTAGGACTCCTGGCCTTTGGGATGTTTTTCACATTCAAAGGCACTGTGCTTTATTATACATGTGTGTGTATATATATATATGTGTATATATATATATAAACAAACTTCCTTCAGAAGACTGAACCACATTATTCTCAGCCCTGCTGACACAATAAATACTAAAAACTAAAGCAACTGGTGAAACTCATTGTACTACTTAAAACTTAATATGATGTATTAGATGTGTAACTTAACCAAAGGTTATTTTACAAAATGATACATTGGTTTTTATGTCTAAATGCTATTTCTGAATAAATGAAATAGTAATTAGATTAAGAACTGATTTTCATCAGTGTGTCTGAAAAACTTCTGTATGCACATGATGGAATTGATAAATATTAAATGAGAACAAACTAGATATGATTAGGACATTTGAAAACCTAATTGTGAACTTATTTTTAATAGTTATTGAAAGGATGAAAGTATTTAAAATAATGCACAATGTCTTAAGTCTTCCTAAATCAAGATTTTGGTTAAAATGCTTTTAGGAATATTAAAAGCAGAGTGAGTTTTTTTTGTTGTTTTTTTTTTTTTTAAGTAAAGCATAAAATGGTTCTAAATGTAAAATAAAGTCATATAAAATAAAGTTCTCTTTTGGTCTTGTTTAGTGATTAAATCTAATGAACTTGAAAACAAATTTAGGAAGTGAAGACCAAGAATGAACTTTACTCAAGGTTTTCAAAGTTTTGCTACTTTTTTTTCCCCCTGAATTATCTGAATATCAAGATTGTGCCCTATAAATGGCTTCCTGGGGAATACTTAGGATTTTTAAATAGTGTAATTTCACTATTTAGTACTTGCCCCTAAAGATAAATTTATCTCCTAAAGATAGTATTTTTGTCTATTTAGAGGTAGTCAACCAATGTCTAGGTCTAAAACTGAGATCTTCCCTTGAGGTAGTAGTTCTTGCTTCTGAAGGTGTGATTGTCTCATGCCTGTTAATGCAGATTCCTAAGCTTTGCTCATCCTCTCAATCACATTTCGACTTAATAACTCATAAGAAATCGTTATTCTTAACAGCATCCCAGATGATTCTGAAACACTGTCCAGAGCATTCCTTCTATTCGTGAATATAAAGTCCCCTGTTGGTAAATTCCCCAGAGCCAAACCTTTCCTTCTTATGGAAAAGTACTTTTATTAATCATCTACTCCTGGATTAGGTTCTTCCTCTTCTGCCTGGGTAAAAAGATTTTCACTGTTAACATTAACCTAAAGATAAGCATTAACATAGAGATTAATTCTTCCCTAAACATTGTTTGATTAATACAGAAATGTATTTAAAATGTGACAGTCATATCAAAATACCATGAATTAAATATAAGCAAAGAATCTTACATTACCTCATAAAATTAAAAATCACTGGATTGTTTGCAAACATAAAGTTCTCTTTTATTGAGTATTTACCGTGTGCTAGGCAGTGTATCAAATGTGTTCTTTTATATCATTTTATTCTATGGCACTATTACCATCCTCACAGAGAGGAAATTTGGCATAGATTAAATAATTTGCTCAAGGTAAGTGCTGAAGTCAGATGTCTCCAGCCCTTCTGGAGATTGCATTCCCAAACATCAGGTCCCTAATTTTTTGGAATGTATGATTATAATTAAGTGAGTTGGTCATGGTCATCAAAGGTCCTGAGCACCCATTTTCAATATGTAGGTGTGTATATATGCAGAGGGGTTCCCCCAAACTACCAAGCAATGTGCTGACACCAGGTGAAAGTGAAAGTTGCTCAGGCATGTCGGACTCTGCGACCCCATGGACTGACCTTAAAGTCTGTGGAATTCTCCAGGCCAGAATTCTGGAGTGGTAGCCTTTCTCTTCTCCAGGGGATCCTATAATTCAACTCAGTTCTGACACTTACCTGCCTAGAGATAGCATCTAATTTCAAGGTAAAGACCCAGCTTCCACTGCTGAAACCAATTGCAAGCCCAAATAGTGAATAGTTACCTGTACTTCTGAATAGCTATAAATCAGGGGCTCCTATGACACTTCCTTGGGTTTGATGAATCTGCTGAAGTGGCTCACAGAACTCAAAATTAACATTTTACTTACTAGATAACATAAAAGGGTATAACTCAGGAACAGCTGGGTGGAAGGTAAACACTGGGCAAAGCCTGAGAAAGGGTGTGGAGCTTCCATGCCCTCTCTCTGCAACTGTGTGTGTTCACCAGGCCTGAAGCCGTCTGAATCCAGTCTTCCCAGGTTTTTATGAAGGCCTTGTTACACAGGCATAATTGACTAAATCACTGACCACTGGTGATTGATTCAACCTCCGGCCCATAGGGCCTCCCTCATAGCTCAGTCGGTAAAGAATCTGCCTGCAATACAGAAGGCTTGGGTTCGATTCCTGGATTGGGAGGATCCCCTGGAGAGAGGAAATTGCAATCCACTCCAGTATTCTTGCCTGGAGAATCCCATGGTCAGAGGAGCCTGGTGGGCTACAACCCATGGGGTCCACAAGAGTTGGAGACGACTTAGCGACTAAACTAGCCAACAGCCAATCCATGGGGAGTTAAGGACAAGTTGCTTGATGCCCCTGGCAACCAGAATCTATCCTAACGAGCGGTCCAAAAAGTCACTATACTATTATTACTTAGGAAATGCTGAGGATTTGGGGAGCTCAGTGCCAGAAACAGAGATAAAAGACCAAATATGTATTGCTTATTATAAATCACGATACCACAGTCATAGAATAATGAAATAGTCTCTAACTTGTCTTATGTTTGTACATAATTTCATTATAATAAAAATATATATATACTAAAATTTTCAAAGAATTTAAGACCATTCAAGTTGGAGAAATGAGGGTCTCTGCATCTTACGGGTACACTCTAAGCCAGTAGTAGCATGAAGTCACACACTTTCTGCACCAGAGGCTAAGCTGCCTTCAGTCATACCACACAACTCTCTGTAGGTAGATTGGAGGCTATTCCAGTTACTATGTTTGCACAACCAATTATCTTTAAGGTTAGTGGTATAAACAATCATTCACTGTGCTTGTGGACTCTGTGTTAGGAATCTCTGCAGGACACCATCATGATGGCTTGTCTCTGATATCCAGGGTTTCAAGTGGAAGGAAGACTTGATGGCTGCTAGCTGGAATCCTCAGTTTGTTCATTCACACATCAAGAAGTTGATAGTACCTATTGATTGGGTGCCTCAGGTCCTTCCTACATTGGCTTCTCTGTGTCATCTTTCTTTGTAGGCTAGTTTTTGGATTCCTGTAGGATGGTACCTAAGTTCTAAGGCAAACTTTCCAAAAGGTAGAAAAAACCAGGCAAAAGCTGTTCATATTGTTCTTTATGAACTAGACTTAAAAGCCATGTATTCCCTTTGTTAAAAGTCAGTCACTCCAATGGAACATAATTAAAATTCCAGAAATAAACCCATGCATATACAGTCAACTAATATCTGAGGGAGAAAATACTGAATGGAGAAAAAGTCATTTCAGTAAATGGTGCTGGGAGAATTGGATATTCACATGTAAAAGAATGAAACTAGAATATTACACCACTCACAAAAATTAACTCAAAATGGAT